CCCTAAAAATGTGAGAGTACATTTTTTTCAATTACACTACAATTTGCCGAAAAATATTCTCATAAGTTTCAAAAATAAAGTTAACAATTTTAAAAATATATCAAACTTGTTTTTCGTGACGGGGTGGATATTTGGTATGTTATGTTTTCCATTTTTATATGTAGTTTTTGTACAGTTTTAAACCGTTAAACAAGTTTAACAACTAATAGTGAAATAAATGTATTTAATGTTTTTATAAATGCAATAAATCTCCAATCAGCTGACGATAATATACATTGTTTATAACTAATATATAATGGATATTGTTTTAATGATGTCAAACGCATGCTGGCCGAATGACTTGAAAAATTTCCGAATATATAATAATATAATAAACAAAATATGTTTCTATTTGAAAACGGACAAATAGCGTTTTCAATGTGCGTTTTTTGTGCTTAAATAAACTGAAAAATTAACTATCAAACTGTATATGATGGACAGCGACGAAAAATGTCTACAAAAATCATTAACAAACGTCTCCGAGTATTTGGCTTGTGCCAAACAGCTGTTCGAAAACCGGCTGGAAAACGAAAAAATCGCAGAATCCAAGTTGGACGACTTTAACTTGATCAAAACTATCGGCAAAGGCGCTTTTTGTCGTGTCGTGTTGGCCAACCATAAATCCGATCTGAATACGTTTCTGGCTATGAAAGTGAGTGAAATCAAAGTGAATACAATATTGCTATAACACTTTGTTGACAGCACAATAATTTTATAACAGGCAATGAGTGATAATAATACTGATAGTAGTAATATCACATTTCTTCGGTATTACTTTTAAACCCTTCACTCGGTAAGGTTAGGTTTAGTTAGGTTTGGGTAGGTTTGGTTAGGTTAGGTTTGTTTAGGTTAGGTTAGGTAAGAGTCGGTTTTAAAGTAAAGAAAATAATAGTGCTTCTTAGGTTGGTCGCCGGAAGTTTTCTGCAGAGATGCGCAGTGTCGAGAAGGGTTTAAGAGGGTGCCAAAAAAATTATAAATTGACTCGATTGCAAATTTTTCTTTTTTAATTTTTCCAAAAGGTAATGAAGAAAGATCACGTTTTGCGCAAAAACAACGTGCACGCTTTGAGTGAAAAACAATTTTTGGCCGCCCTACGCCATCCGTTCGTCATGCACATGGTGTATTTCGCCAAAGACCGGTGCAACTTGTATCTGGTCATGCCGTTCGCCGTTGGCGGAGATCTGTTTGGTTTGCTCAAGAAGAACGTGTCCGGGCTGGGCGAACACAACTCGAAATTTTACTCGGGTCAGTTGGCGTTGGCGTTGGAGTACTTGCACTTGTTGGACATACTCTACAGGTGTGCTTAATACACACATATCGTGTGGATCCGTTCTCTCGCGGGACAGCTGAGTAGGATGACATACGACGATGGGCTTTGTGTATTTCTGTGTTTAGAGATCTGAAACCCGAGAACGTGTTGATCGACGGCAACGGTTACATAAAGCTGACGGTTCCGGGCAATTGCAAGCGCCAGGTCGACCGGGCTTACACAGTGTGTGGCACTCCACAGTATTTGGCGCCAGAGATCATTTTGCACAAGGGTTATGGCAAACCGGTGGATTGGTGGGCTCTGGGCGTGGTCGTCTATGAAATGGTCGTCGGCAGTCTACCGTTCGACTCGGAAAACGACCAGCAAACGTACAAGAAGATCACGGACGGCCAATACAACATGCCCACCGACCTTTCGCCCGACCTCGTGGACCTGATAGAGAATTTGTTACAGCCCGACTTGACCAAACGGTATGGCAACTTGAAAAACGGAGCCGACGACATCAAAAACCACCGGTAGATCACCAACAGCTAAATGATTTATAGCGAGTAGGTGTAATAAACGGCTAAATTTAGTGGAATCCCGTTAACCGAGCAAGCTCAACTGTTGGAAGCCAAGTTGTTTTTTACCATCTTTATTTGTTGTTCGTACACAGTACACCCTATAGGTAGTATTCGATGGAGCGTAAAGCGAAGAAAAAACACCTCTTGTTCATTTTACATCATTATTATTTGCATAGGCGATATAGGTATATTCTAGGTACTAGAAAAATCCTACTTATATATACTCTTAACACCTCTAGATAAATGTTTAAAATTTTATCCAACTATTTTCTACTGTTTACATTTTTCAATTTTTGTCTTAGATGGTTCAGAACAACCGATTGGTTAGCGTTGTTTAACCGGACTGCGGAAGCACCGTTTCCGCCTAGTTTCAATGGTCCTTCGGACACGAGTAACTTTGAAGTGTTTTCCGAGGAAACAATTGAATGCGATGGTCGCAACGATTCTGATAAAGCAGATTTTCCAGACTTTTAAATAAAATATAATATATTATATTGTAAAGCACCAACGTACAGAAAATTAAAAAAGAGTGAAAAAGGGACTTGGATGAACCTAACACACGGTTTTATTTTATTTACAACCGATAGAATTTAGTGGATGACTAGATTATAACAGCTACTATTGATTGTGTCTTTGCTACATATATTTTACTCGTTAACTTCCTAAGCGATCGACGAGACGATCAAATTTCCACATGATCTCCCATCGTTATATTTTCTATATTGTCACGTTGGATACGCGTTTAACGACCGGCATTAAACTTATATAAAGGTGCAAATAAAAGAGAGGCGAGTGAGCTCATCATACACATGGCGTGTCTAAAGTCAACCGAAGTCACGATCATACACACATGATAAAAGCGAAAAACGTCGAAAACAATTAGTGTTGTTGTGGCAAGTCAATTAGAGGGCGTACTCGTCACGCAATGTATAATGGAAGCCGGTTAGTGATTATGGAAATGATGTTCGGACACTATATTTATGTTTAATGGTTCTATGTTACACCTATTTCAAACGCGGCTATCAATATTGTCAGGCAAATAAACGTGTTATTATCAAATTACATATTTTCCTAATTGTATGTTTAAAAAGAACAGCGTAAACAACGTTTGATAAAAAATGTTGTCCTTCTCATTAAGGAGAAACATACGAATCACGAATAATAGGTTTTATGGCACCCATCCACTCTTAAATTAAATTCAAACGATTCAAATATGCAAATAAATTTAATAAACAATGTATACAAATTAAGAAAACTAGTAAAAAAATATATACAGTATAAATAAAACTATAAAATCATCATAAAAAGTATCTTGCAAATGTTGAACACTAAAAGGTTTGTATTATATTTTAGGAGTTTTTAAAATATTTACTGTTGAAGTTGTGTTTGCAAGCATTTAAATGGCGGAAGACAAAATAGTATTCACAATGTAATATTATATTTTTTATTCAAGCGCATTCCTTGAAATTGCTTTTTTTCTGATTTGTCTCATTACTTATTCAATACTACTCTATGTACAGTTGGTTTAGTTCAATTGCAGTTATCTATTTGATTTTGTAATTAAATGATGGACTATTTGCAAATGAAGAATTTTACTTTTATTTTGATAAAATGAACTACAAACTGGATTTATGTAAACTATTTATTGCTGCATAATCATTGAATATAAATATTATTATAGACATTATTTAAGAATATTTACTTTTATCCGTCGGTCTATGATTTAAATTACATTATATTAGATAGCAAAATCATGTTAATAGAACACTTTTATCTGTTTGTCTGTTTACACATTACACATTAAAAGTAAGCTAATGATTGAGACAGCTGCCCTGTTTTTTGTTTTTTAAATAAAAAATCTGAAAATGCAACCTCACCGGGGTGTGGTTATGGGAAATACTATTAGGGAAATTATTTCTCTATAAACAGAAAACGGTTGGGTTATATAAAATGACAATAAACTATAATTTATTTACATTGTTACCGCAGTTTATGAATATATTATAAGCTACAATACCGAATGGACAAAACTTTTTTGACAGTCGAATCGGATTAACCTTATCGTCCGCAGTGCAACTTTCACAAAAAGTTGTAACATGTGTTTCTTTAAAAAAAAAAACTTTACTTTCATTGACATTTATACTTTTCATATTTATTTTTAAATACAACTACCAAAACGGTCAATCCGGGGTAGCGCATGTTGTAGATGTGCACATATTCATTTTGCTCATCATTTATTCAGTCCCTCTAAGTTCTAGGTTAATTGTTATAACCCTTTGAGACTGCACCTTTGGGATAACAGCTAGTCTTTAATGCATTTAATTTGTCAGATTTAGGTACCTAACTGAAAACAATTATTATTTATTCATGGCAAATTAAAAGCGCAGCAAAACATTGTGTGTGTGATTTGGGTGGAACAAATGGCCAATCAAACACAAACAACTTTGTTTGATTATTATTATTAATGAAAGCGACGGGCTAAATAAATTCTGTCAACATTAATCGCACAACGCGACAACCAGCGAAATAATATTTTATAAATGTATTCAATCCGTCTGTTTGCATTTGGCTAAAACACAATAAACTTTTATAACTAGCTGTGACGATAAATTATCGAAGTGACGGTGAATTTTAACTATGATAAATTATTATTATTATTACATTTCAACAGTTATATTATGTACATTGCACATAATTGTTAATTTATTGATAGTTTTTAATTGACTGTACACGGATCACGACATCTAATTAGGAAGCAGAACTTACAAATACCAACACACACCTGTATAAGGTACACCGCCATAACTTTTATATTAATTGACATAATAATAAATGTTATATATTTTGTTACCATACACCATTTAATATTAATTACTTAAATAAATAATTAGGTATTGAGTGTCTTATCTTTAATGAATCACCCTGTATTCTGAGACAAGTTCTGGTTTTAGCAAAGAAAAACCATACATTAAAAAAACTTTACAGAACAGGCTGAATATACCTGGAAACGGTTTTTTATAACTATATTGAAAAAATAATATTTGAAAAAATGGCCATCAGTTTGTTTATATTTTTGGTCGAATATAAGTACATTTTTTATATTAATGCATTAAATTATTTTTTTATAGCGTGCAATAGGACGTATTACGGGGACGTTGGCAAAACTTATGAATTTGAATTACACCGGCCTAAACCAGACAAGTTACCTTTCATCTGCTTTATAAAACTCGTCGCTCCAGGACAACATCTAGGAGATCTCATACAAGTGAGTTAAACAACTATTAATATTATTTTAACCGTAGAAAATTATAATGATCATTCCATTTGGTTTTGTGTAGTTTTTTTGATTTGATATAATGTCCTATTTCATCAAGTTTTAAACCGAGTTTGGAGTAGATAAGTTATATGACTTAAACACGGTTTAAAACTTAAAGGAATTGGGCCAAATAGCTACTCGACCGAGATTTGTATTATTATTTTTTTTAATGTGCATGGCTCGTTCTTTCCAAATTTAATAGTTATACTTTACTATTAGTACTCATACTACTTAGTTACTACTAGTATTTTTATTGAAGGGTTTCAAATTAATTGCTATACAATAATATTGTATAGCTTTTTAGTTATTCAGTGTAGTTAATATTTCCTTTAAAATGTTTCATTTTTCAAACTATTGTCCATGGTAGTCTTATACTTCAAGTTTTTTAGGTGTTTTAAGTTATTTAATTAAATTTTGCCCAACTGTGATATTTTGAACTTTGCTTTATTATACTTAATATTATCTTAATGTATTTTATTAGCATATTTTTTTTGTGAAACTAGATTACAAAAATATTGAAAATAAGAAACCATACAATGTTACTGGAAATTATTTTGCTCGGAGGACCGAAAAAGTAGTTTATTTATTTAGTAGCTGAAAATCTGATAAACTTCTCGTGGGACTATCTAATTTGCATAATAACGAAAAATAACCAAAAGGATGAAATGGGATGTGAATTGGAAGATAAATCTGGGCTGCTATAAATGTTTATCGTACATTAATTTCCATAAAATTTAAATATACAAATACCCTACGCTTATGTTGTTTCAAGTTATTGTTAACGGCGCTATGAATAATTACCGTAGAGCAGATGTGATGATGTTAGAACGGACGTGTGGTGTCGACAAGATGAGTCAACTTGGGATTAGATGTTTTTGCACGGACTTATCTGAGTTATAATATGAACAAATATTTAATTATTATTCTGCTGAAGGTAAACGAGCAAAGGAGAGACTAGCACGGCTGTCAAATTCATTTAACCAAGTACAACACAAAGTTGTTGATTTCAACTGTACAATGTGAATATAGAGTTGATTTTGCTTATGACCGAATGGAGGCCACAGCAATCAGCAATGTTTACTAACTAATAATAACAGCAAATAAGGATAGGTATGTTTCCACTGGATTATCTAATTTTCAAGCGACTTGTCTAAATTATTAGAATTGAGATTACTATATAATTGTAACAAATGAGGTGTCAACCCTTGTAATCCTATTTTCGGACACGTTTCAAACGTTACCTGTCATTTGAGTACACAATTTCATTACAGTTTGCTAAGTTCAATAATATAGTACATACTGCAAAGTGATATTTGTGGCAGCTACCTTGGTAAACATTTAAATACTGTTATAAAAGTCGAGAGAAACCAGAAAAAATGTTTTCGACCTTATAACTTTTTGTGTGTTTTTATTTTTAATCATTAGTGCTATCATATTAGTCTTTCTGTTCTGTATACTATTTTCTTCTCTGCGGAACGGTAAGATATTGCCGGATTATATATTTCCCCCCAGAGGCCTGATAAGAGCTTTCCTAAGAAAATCCTCCCAAAAAAAATAGGATTCGTTCAATCGTATGATTTTTCATGTAATCCTTTTGAATTATGAGTTTAAAACTCATTTAGCTTATAAAGCTTTTTAAAGCTCTGCTCGATTTCAAAGAGGACTTTCTTAACTTTGATTGATTAAAATATGAAACCACATGAATTTTGGGAAAGATGAAAATCAATGTAGTATTATTTTATTTATTTTAGTGCATCCCAAGTAACGTTTTTTTATGACTTGGTAAGTGCACTTGGACGTGAAACTATTGTGTGATATTATTATATTATCTAACTCGGTATTGTCACCGAAATGGGGAAACGTTAATTTAATCAACGCCAGCCATGGTATCTCGTTTGCCCTGAATATTATTAAATTAGGTATAGGGCGGCACTACGCAGCTGTTGAGAACAAAGGATTTCGCTAACCACGATTTTTAGCTCGTATCAAGTATCACGAGCATGTGCATTATTACGGTCGACTTATCCCTAAAAGCCTGACGCCAACCGTTTCTGCTCAGCCCACAAAGGGAGGTGGTGGTGAGGTGATGACGCTGTGGTTTCCGCTTTTCTGACTTCAATACTCTTCAATGTGCTTGAAATTCGGTTAGTTTCCACCCGACACAACAGTCATCTGCACAAAAAAGTCCATACAAAAATGTGAAATTTTCATCTAGCACGAATTTGTAAACGATTTGGAAAAATCAGAGTTTTCTTTTGTGTACAAAAAATAATGCAAAAATAATACAAAAAATATTCTGAGACTAGCACTGCTGAATGTATGGTTATAACACATTAAATTAATTGCCAAGTTGCACAAAACTTTAACACCGGTCCATAAACCCAACCTAGCATTAGCGTAAACTTGAAACTTAACCGACTCAAAAACCGACAAATGACTGGAAGAACGGATAGTTTAGATATTGTTAAACCTCTAAAAAAAAAAAAAATGTGCTCAATTCTGTATTTTTGCATTGTAACAAAACATAGTATGTAGTACAATTAGGGAAACCTACAATATTTTAATTTACAACACAGATGCTTAAACGGTATAGCTGTATATTTTGCATTCAGAAAGCACTGGACAATTAACTTCAAGTTGTATTCTTAATAATAAAATTAAACCTTTTGTTTAAGTATGGTAATTCGTGTAACAATATTACTAGAACATTCCATGACTGTATAATGAGACTGAAAACAAACTTTGTAAATTAATCAATTAATATGTGTTTATGTTTTACAAACAATTTTTGCGGAAGTAGAAATCGTTTTCCTTTTTTTTTTTTTAAATTGTTAATTCAAACACAAATATTTATTTATGTTTATAACATAAATACAATTACACTTGATAAATAAAAGTTTCACTTTTTTTTTTTAATTTACACTATTCTAATTTATCAATCTTCATGAATACTTTGGTCAAAATGCCAAAGAAAAGAGGATTTGTTCAATTGCCATTCAAATAAAAAATTAATTGGCCCGAAATTAGCCTAAGTTAATAGAAATTAAAAAGTTCAAAAACAATATTGTTTTTAGAGCCATAAGATTACAGATAAGATTGAAGCCATGCGATAAAAGTATTTTGTTGTTTTAGGATTTTAGTAGACATTATTTGTTACTTTTATTGGATTTTTATTATTTTTTTTAAGTACCTATAATTTATAAAAAATATATACTTAGAATAATAGTTTTCTAAAATTCTAGCTTCTCTCAATAAAGATAAACTTTATAGTTTTTTACAAACTGAAGTTTTAAACAATTATATTCAATAATAAGTTATACTGTGTATATGACTCTGCGTAGAAAATATACAGACATAATGTCTGTAATACTTTCAAACTCTTCTTAGTATTTTGTAGAAATATTTTTAATACTCCCAAAGATTAAAAAATACTGTGTGTTAATCGACGTATGAAGTGCACAAGAATTTAATTACCAGGAAATCAATTAAGTTATTTCTAATATTTTTTCGAATGAACAAAGCTCATTCCATTTTGAACCTTAAAGTATGTTTAAAATCCATATCTTAAATAATAGTTGTTATTATTTTTACAAAGCGTTGCACGTTTATACAATGCGTGAAGGAAGCATTTTTCTATTTATTTTTCCTACAATTTTTTTTTTAGTAAAAATGTTATATATTTTACATTATATTTGTTTTGAACAAAAAATATTGCTATCACAGTATCTTCCGATTTTTAAAAAAGTAAATATTGGATGAGGAGTACTTAATTATAGAACTGCTTAAAAACAATTATTCGATGTAATTATTTTGTAAAAGTTTTTATATTATTCAATATTTTGTCTACCCATTAAAAGATGATTAGAATTTACTGAAGTTTCTGTACTTATATAGTTTCTGTTCGAACATAATACAGTTCAATCAAAATGTGTTAAAGTAACTGTTTATGTTTATAATTTAAAAATATTTGTGTGTAACCCAAATTATTCCAACCATTGCCAAACCTGTAATGTAGTTTTCCGGTTTAGGAAAACCGCTTTAGGAGTTCAGTATTATGACACATTTTTTTGAATTAAAAATGATCAATTGTCTTCTATAAATTAAATTTGGTGTCTTAATACACTCCTCTTATATGGGTTTTTTTTTTGTGTGTAATTGTTTAGTATAATTTGCGAAAAAAATGTATTGTGTGAATGTGATTTTTACTTGTTCAGTAATATTAGATTCGTAGATTTTGGTATAATATTATTGGCATTGGCGTGTTGTACATTTTTTGTAGTAACTTGTACACCAAAGAGCTATTATAAGTTCTTGGGATAAGATCAGACGGCTTTGCATTGTGTTTTTGAACTACTGACTTGGGACTAAAACCCAAAACGGTTGACTTTTTTGTTTGCAGGTAACGCTGGATAGTTTCACCATAGGACGGTTTGCATCATACACAAACGCCGGTTGTCCGGATGGCGACCTACACATTACCGAATCGGACAGGCCAGCTGTGTCGGGTGGGTGGTGTGGAACGTCTTGGGCTCCTGCACATTATTACAGCGAGACCAACTCGATTACACTGCTGGTGCGGTTGTATACGTTATCAAGCCTGGACAACGCCGGCTACAACTTTGACTTTCGGCTGGGCTACAAAATGCTCAACCGAAACCGCGCAGTTGTCCGTTACGGCGACCAACTACAGCAGACCACAAGTAAATATTTTCTCTTTCCAATATTGTCTATGAACATTTTAATACGTTTCTTTATTCGTACGATTGTAAGTAATCAATATACAGGACTGGTGGCTGATTCAAACAGCGCCAATCTCAGAGTAAATGTGAACATATATATATTTTTTTATACAGGGTGTTCCAGCTTGAAAGGTGAGTAAATAGGTGATCCGGGAAATCCGGGGACCCCCAAATAAGTCCCCCATTTTCATTTTTTCGATAAGTCAAAAATGAAAGGTTCGACAGTTAGTTAAAAAAGTAAATAACTTAAAAAAATGTATAGATGTCCTGTAATTCAGTGCGAAAAGCTCACCTTAAAAGAGGGGTCACATCATTTTCTATTCAAATCCCATTCGGCCCCTAATTCAAAATGTATTTTTTCTTATCGCTTATCTTATCATTTATTTCTTACCTCTAGTCTCTAATCATTACCTCTTATCGCTAATATATTATCATTTATTTCTTATCTATTGTTTCTAATTATTTATCTCTTATCATTTATCACCACATATTTATATATAATGAACTAGATTCCCAACTAGCGATAAGAATAATTGAAGCCGACGGTCCGCCATTCTAGTGGGATTAATGTGTGTTATCAATGCATATTATATATATCTGTGATTGTTATGAACATATATTATTCTTACGTGATAAGGTTCTAATTCCTAAGATGGCGAAAAGTGGCTGCTTCAATCTTCTCTATTGGTGGCATGTACAGTTAGCAATCTAGTTTATTATATACATCTGTGCCTATCTCTTATCATTTACCTCTAATCTCTCATAGTTTATCTCTTATCATTTATTTCTCATCACTTGTCTCCAATAAGAAAATAATAATTATTATTTTTTTCTTATCATTTTTCGAGTTAGGGGCCGAAAAGAGACGGAAAATGACGTGACCTCTCTTTTAAGGTGAGCTTTTTGCACTGAATAACAGGAAATATATGTATATATATTTTTTTTTAAGTCATTATTTTTTTACTTAAAATCTTTAATTTTTTACTTATCGTAAAAATGAAAACTGGGGCTTATTTGGGGGTCCCCCAGATGTCCAATCACCTATTACTTGTGTTTTATGCTGGAACACCTTGTAGTGTACAAGATACCTATTAAATATTGTGGAAACCCGTCAGGAGAAATGTGCCAAACTCTACCACCGTCAGGTTATACAGGTTATGCGATGGCTATTCGTTAGGATCATCATGACAGTAAAAGAATAACAGCTTTTTTTTATTCTCGATTTTTTTCTTCAGTGTTGACGTCACGTAAAATATATATTTGTATTCCGTCGGTTGACCGAACGGAAAATAATGTGTTTATGTCATTGTGTCCTTGCGAATGGTGCAGACGTTGAATTTGTCTTAAATACAATTAGGAGATGCCGCCGACGTTAAGACGTTTCAGTAAAACGTCGTGTTTGCAGAGCGAAGAGCTTAAGTGCCTTTTAGTGGTAATGCCGTTGTAATTTGCATATTATTATTTTTCTTCTTAACAAAACTCAACGCCGTTTAAACAAAATTCCGACTTTGTAAACGTTGCTGCTGTCGTATAAAGTGTAAAAAAAAGGTGTAACAGTTGTTGTAAAATAACGGGGGTTTTTTAATGGTTAAATAAAAAAACAAATGAAATATTACGAAAAATACATAATATATCTTTAGATTTACATTTTTGTATTAGGCCGTTTTCAAAAAAGCGTATAGCAATAAAAAAAACTGACATTTTCTGGAAAACTGAATTGATTTTGATTGGCTATTGTTCCAAGTTCACGGTAGGATATGAATATCAAATTAAACAATGTAATTTATCGTTTATGTATTTTAGGGCGTGGAACATTTAAAATAAACCAAAACAAAGTGTCAAAGTTTTTTAAATTTGATTTTAACGTACAAACTCAGTGAATGAGTATGTATATAAAACATTATACAAGTTCTACTTTGAAATTCTTAAACTTAAAGTTACGGTTGCCATTTTTTTTTTTTATTAATACAAATATTTTTAAAAAACAAAAGTTTTCACAAGAGATAAAATATAAAGTAAAATATACTCTAAAGCTTTAAAGCGTTTTTTTTTAAAAGTTCATTGTGGAAGTTATCGTATGAATTTATACTAAGCTTACTTTAATATTGTTCACTTTAAAATAAATAACTAGAATTGTTTCCGGTTGTGTTTGAACCGTTTTTAGTTCCTTTTTTTTTTTGTAAAATACTTAAGTTTATAAAACAATGTTATTATTATTATTTGATATACACAATTCTAAGGTTTATAAAAAAAATAATTTCATTGATAATAATTAATAAACATTATTTTAACCTTTGGATAAATAATAGAACAACAGTAAGCTCGTCAATATATTTATATATTATTTTCTTAAAAAATAAAATGTTACACTGAATTAATGAAGAAAATATCTTACCTATGGGCTGTAGAAACACAGCTTAACGTTGCAATGCGGTTTTATAAGATAATATTATTCTAGACAACACTTTGATTAATATTCCCGTACGGTATTTACTGACATCTAATTAAGTATATGGTTGCTTAATGAAAAATGTTGAATATCTGAAATTGTGTAACGAATGAGTCTTGTTTATTATATTTATACATAACTACCGACCATCTACCTACCGGTAGTAATTAAAAAAACAGCTCTCTTTAGTAAGTTTTAAAGAACACAAGTAATTTACAATATCAGCTAAGACCTGTTATTACTATTAGGTATTCCGTATTTTACGATTAACACATTGATTAATGTTATGTCTCAAAAGTACATATTTTGTTGTAGACATAAGACATTTGAGGTTTTTCGTTGCAACCACAGTGGCACAGCGTTTATTAAAGGAAGCTAGTTTTGTGTTCATTATAATATCAGACCTTATTGTAGCATCCGGCTTATATGTATATACACTCCTTCATTGTCTTAGATCTTGGGCATCTTACTGTGTAGAGTGTTTACTTTAGACCCGAACGGTCTGACATAATCCATAGTTATTAAAATCTTGTCTAAAATAATCCCAAGGGATTTTCACGAGTGGCGATAGAGTTTATATAATGAAGTCATTGTTTACTTTTCTAATTTAAAAATGTAAAATATAATTTATGACATAGTCTTTAAAGAAAACCTTTTCAATTTAAACGCTCAATGGGCAGTTATACACATTCCTGTGTATAATTTCCACTGATTAATTTGTTTATCCTAATAAAAAAAAGTTGAACAATTTAATACTGTTTATTCAAACTTAACAAACTTAACGCGGATATTTTTGAAACAGTATAAAAAATTAAAACAATATATAATTTATTAAACACATTAATGTATTTTTACTTTTTTAATTTCAACTTAAAATTGCGCATCCGCTTTTATAGGACTTATCATTATGATAATCCTATTAGGCATAACTTAAGAAGGACTTGTCTAATACAGTTTAAAACGCATAGCCTTCTGACTATAAGTTATATGCAAATTTAGAAAATTAAACTAGATAAATACATAAAAGAAAAAACACAAGGTATTGTAAGCCAAAGTTTTAATAAGAAAAAAAATTATTTATAATTTATACCATTTTAAATTTATTCTAAAGCGAAATCTAGTTTTTTTAATCAACTATATTATTGTTATTATACTAATTATTGACAACTTTTAAACGGTACGTTTGTTTTACAATGATCGTGAATCTTACATTTAAACAAATAAAATAAATCCAGCAATGATTTCATACATAAAAAAAAATAAAACTTTACAGAATAAATTAAAAAAACACAATGGAATAATTTATAAAGGTACCTACTTTTGTGCACGAATAACGATAATAGGTTTATGTAAAAATGTATAATATAATACGCGCATTGTTTGCGTCACTTTAATAAATGATAATAGCAGCTTAAAATTGTTCACTTTAAACATGAATTATACAACGCCACGGAGAACATTGTTTTGATTTCGATTGTTTATTATTCTCTTTGTTGGGTTTTTCAACCGAAAAAAAAAATCAGTCAAGTTGTGTTTTATTTCAAAGGTTTAATCGATATGCGCTAGGCGTTTGAGAATTGAATCGAATTGTGACGACCGTTATAATGAAATTATTTTGTCGTTTTTTTTTTTTCATTTATTTATTTATCAAATAGTGTCCAATGAAACGTTCGACATGGGCGATCTGATGGAAGGCACGTACTGTTCCCGGATATTTAGCAATTGCGATAAGAAACGGTGTGTGCTACAATCGCCCAACTATCCGGGACTGTATCCCCGGAACCTGACCTGTTACTATGCCATTCGACAGCACCACATACCGCACGGTCATCAAGCCCTGGTGTCCATCACTCAGCCTTACAGTCGATTGGTGTCGATCAAAACGGACAAAACCGATCAGGAAGGCGCGGATTTGAATCCTGTCGAACGAAAGGTATAATAATAATAATAATAACTGGAAAACAAATCGCTTATAAATATAATATGGTAATATGCCAACTGAACAAATCCCGGGACGAGTCCATTTTCATATATAAATTTCGATCCGGCTGCGCAAACAATATCATACCGATGGTTGATAGGTCTCAATCATAGAGTAATATAGAGGTCCCCTATAATGCCTGTATAACTAAATTGAAGTCAGAACTTAGACTCATTTTTCAGAACTACCGTTTTGTATAGTTTAAAATATTGTAAAATGTCAATATATGATATGCTGGTGCACTGTATTTTATCAACAAATGATATCACGGATTTTGTCAGTTACATACAACTACTTACAAAACATTTACAAAACGAAACATTATGTTCATGCTTGATTTTCACCTTTGGTTTTTATTGTACAGTACTCGTAATTGACGTAATTCATGCATTTTGTTAATAATTAACTATAGATTATATTGTTGAGATAAATACTTGATAAGTATCAGTACATAACTTTTTTCAATCGTTTATAAGTTTAAAATGTATATTACAATTTTTACCAAATTCATATCGATATTATTAAAAATAAAAATAATTTAGTGCATTATTCAGAATTTTTAGGGAATTTTAAAAGTATTTTAGGACATTAAAATCATCAACAATGATTATAATAATTGAGTAATTGACCCAGAAAAAGCCAAAGGGGGAGGGCAACTGCCCCTACTTTTCCCCTCCCCCTGCGGACGCCCTTGATATACATTACAATCACGGTCATATATACGGCCGTGATTACAATATATTTATCGTCTATATGTAAAATGTTTATTGGCAAATAATATTTTATCTGTATTTCGTAGGTTGGTACATATGAACCAAACAGTACAATATTTTATTTTGATAAAATGATAGTTCTGAAAAAGGAGTCGAAGTTCCGGCTTCAATTTATGAAAACAACGGCCCCTCTATATTACTCTATGGTCTCAATAGATGTAACCCTCGCTTTTTTCGATTTTGAGGTTATGATTGAAATCGATTGTACAGATAAAAATACACACTTTGGCCAAATTGTTGTAACCCTCGCATTACTTTATTCTGATCAAAATTTAACATTTAATTTTTGACATTTTCAGGCGTCTTAGCTCTGGCACATAACCGAAAAAACTGTCGTGAAAACTGACGTTGCCAAAAACTTGTTACGTTGTTATCTGATAAGAGATAAGAGATTAGAGATTAGAGATGAGGTATGTGGTTAGGGTGGGAATGGGAATGGGAATGTTTTAGCTCTGGCACATGACCGAAAAACGTGTTACCAAAAAAGCGTTACGCTGTTATCTGATAAGAGATAAGAGATATGTTGTACGTTCAACGTTTAAATCAGAACTAAATGATAAATTCAAAATAGTTTAAGGGCCCAAATTCTCTATGAATTGTTTTTTTAAGCCAGATATTAAACACTAAAATATTAGCCAGAAACTTGATATGTTTACTAGCCTCCTAATATACATAACAATGCTCTCTTTCGTGGTCGCAGAACTCGGCTGAAAAAGGCTTTTTTTTTATGTGACCCACAGTGACAAAATCAGTTTATAAAATGCCAAACGATGTAAGCCACTACATAATATCAATTATTTTAAGGAAAAATAATTTGTACGTTGTCAGTTAGTGTAAGCCACAGCGTAACCCTACAGTAATTTTAATAAATACATCATTTTAGCGGTCATGTAGTTTAACGCTCTTTGCAATAATAATTCATCAATTTTCATTGATTTTAATTAAAAAACGTATATTTTTTGAAAATTAATATGTAAACTTCAGTTATCAAAATTTTTTTTCACTATTTCGTTATCATAGATACTTTTATTCAAGATAACAACGTTGTGATTACAGTTTTCTGTCAACAATAATTTACCACTTATTATTGGCTATCACAATAAATTAAAAAATTGTTTTTTGTTAAACATTGAAAATATATCGAATGTGTTTTCGGTTTTAGTTTATTGGGTTTTTAGGATTCTTTCTACCATAATAAATTATTGCTTCGTATATTGCCAATTACAGTAACCAACACTAATCAATAACTATATTATCCCACAATAGTAACTAACGAGTAACTTCACTTTGGAGTAAAATAAAGTAGTCAGGCCTTTTATTTACTTTTGCAAGTAGTACATTAAATTATACTCAAACTATTTTTAAATCTATTAAAAACAAATTTAACTTTTTCGTTCATAAAATCAATACGCGCATGCCAATTCAGTGTCTCCTGTAAAAAAACAAATACTAAAAAAAAGTTGCACGCTCCAAAATTCACAGAAGTATTAATATTGCATACCCAGAGTGCCGCGTTACAAATTCAAAATCTAAAATTTCTCTACTATTTCATGCACAACTACAATATATATTTCTAATAGGGTTGAAACATTTAAAATATACATATTAAATATTATTGTTGTATGGGTAAATAATTAAAACACTATGAAGATAAGTCAACAATGTTGACTCAATATGTTAAGCTTGAAATTAGTATGAAAATAAAATGTATAAAATCACACCAGTTTATTGTGTCCCAGTTTTTCTTGGAATTTAGTCGTCTAAATTTAGTGTTATTTATACATTTCTCATTTCACTAAAATCAGCTGAAATTAGGGGATGTCGCCTTAAAATATTGAAAATTTTAGTTTGTTCTGTTAAGTACTAAAAAGTAAAAAGACCCCATCTGAAGCACTTTGATTGAGCTTTGTCTATATTGCGCATAGTCGTTAAAATTAAGTATGTACTAGGTATTAAGTTTATGTTAAAACAAAAATTGTATTACACGTTTTTAACTTTTCTCAAACAACAAAGACCTTGAGAAAGTTTTCAACGAAAACTTTGGCGATCGTCCGTCGATTACTCGTGCTTAATTATGGCACTGATCTTATATATTGCTATACTTTATACTTATTTACTTCCATTACTTTATTACTTGTATGGCATTATTACTAACGAATTTCGAACAGTATTAATCATGGCAAAGTATAAATCCAAAACATGTCCCACAACAAAGTTAATATATTACCAAAAAAAAAAAAAATAATGGGAAATAAATAATTGTAAGTGCAGTTTTTGCAAATTCTGTTTTTGTTTCTACTCAGTTTTTATATGTTCATAGTGCATACAATAATTATTAACGACAATCGTTTTAACTGTGCAGGACTGGAGCAAGTGCGATAACGTACCTGATTATGTAACTGTCTACGATGGTTACACCACTAGAGATCCGATTTTGCTAAGATTTTGTGGATCTGGTGAGACTGTCCCATTGACTACGTCCAGTGGTCCTGAGTTATTAGTGCAGTTTTCAACGTCTCCATACGGTACTTTGATGTATCCATTTGGCCCGTTACACGGATTTCAATTACAAGTACAGGTAAATGCTGTGTTTTTTGTGTACGTCAAATTAAAATTAGCTCAATCTCATTTAAATTATGTAGGACTAAGATTCAAGTGTAATAAGCGTGCGTTTAAATTGTATAATATTCAACATTTGCCTAATTCTGTGGCTCGTGTTATGGGCATAGTGGAGTTAATACATTGCTGGTTTAATTACAAGTGGCTGAAGAGATTAAAAAGATAGTAAATTTAAATATAAAACACAAAACTGTAAAGCTAATACATTATTCTAAATAGCCAACTTCAAAGCACCAAAACTCAAATTGCATAATAATCGAATTAATAGTAGTTTAACAGTTTGTTTTAATTAGTTCTTGTAGAATGTACTAATGGTATAATAGTTAATAACCGGTAAAAACAAAGGGATTTTTTTTTAATTAACCCTAATTAGGCGCGAACTTGAAATAAGACGATGGTTGTTAAGACGGTAGTCAATTGTTTTATTGTTCATTGTGGTTTACTTGCCTAATGCAGCTTTTCAAGTGGACCCTCAAAAGACACAATTAAAAACAATCCAGAAGCCTAAAAGCTAATTTTAACAACCTTGAGTATACTTAAGCACCGCGCCCAAGTACTGTGTGTAATAATTATTTACATTTCACTCGGCTAAGTGGTATACAAAAGAATTTGTTATAGTTTAAATAAACAACATACGTGGTTTGGAAAGAATACTCATAATTAGTGTTGTAAGAATTCACAAATAATGCACATAAATATTAGGTAGGTCAATATATGATGTCGGTTATGTTTTATTATAATTAATTGTATAGGTAATTTTTGTGATAATTTAATGAATGTTCTGTAAGCCATACGCTTGATAAATAAATAAATAAAATATATACTATGGGGAAAATGAAATGTGAAAAACTAGACTCTCCAGAATTGGCGGGGCTGGTAAAACAAATATTATGGTTTTTTTATACACCGTTGTTTGTAAATTTATCATGAACAATTTTATATGTAAACAAAATGAATTAACAAATTTCATATGACAGTATAAAACACATTAAAATAAAATGAGTTTATTGAAAGTAATCAATAACGGATGGATTTATAACATGATATACTTTAATAGTTAGATTAAAAAGGTATTTAAAAACAACCAAGGTATTGCGTTCAATGTAAAAATAATTGCTTGAGATAATTATGAGTGCCTAACTCGATTAAAGGCGATAAAATACATTCTTAAGACTAAAATAATTATAATACTTGCGGTTCAAAATAAACGTACCCCGAAATAATACTAAATTTATTGCAGAAAAAACAACAAACTTTAATAGAAGCGTTTTCGTGCTTTATATTAATTATAGTGTCAATTTGAGAGTTCACAAAAACTTAAATTTGACTTCTTGCCACTTCAAGTTACCTCTTTAACACTATTGCATTTCCTTTTAAACAATGTAATTTCTTATTTCCTTATTTTCACATTTTCATTAATAGTATTATAATAGTACTTTTTACTGAACTTATGAATGTGTTTTAATAATACTTACAACATTTTTGTGAGTATCGTTGTTTGTTAATCTTGATCCACACAACAAACAAGACACAGTGTATGTGGTTACAGTATTAAAGATGAAATGTTTCATTTTTTTTGTAAACCTAAATTAAAGATTTTTTCTTTAGGCAGTTTTATAAATAAAAAAGAGAATATGATGTTCAAAAAAAAAAATCATTGTTCAAATATAAAAAAAAAAAAAACAGGAAATCTTTTCTGTGTTTTTTTTATATATATTCAAAATATTATAGTGGTACATAGTACAAAAGAAATGGTACTCAAACGGCTATAATGTTGAATAGATGCATGCCGCATTTATTCAGATATGAAATAGTTCATCCGAAATATTCAAGATAGGGGTTTTGTGTAAACACGGGAATCTAATGGAAATTTCTTCTTCTTTTTCTTTTGGAAAAAAATACTTAAAACCTTTGAGGCTGAGTTTATGCGTGAGCAGATACCGCGTTTCTTGGTCGACAGCACAGATTTTTTTTACAAACAGATTTCATTATAGTAGCTGTAGTCGATAGAAAAAAAAAAAATCTCTCTTGAATAAATATTTTGCGCCCGTTCAAACGAGATTTAAGATTGATTTTAGCTAGCAATAGATATAAGAACAAAATAAATATACACTTCAGCTAGGTTTTTTTTTTAAAGTATGCCAACAATTTTGGAGCTGCAAACTAGAGTGGAGATAATATTATAGTATTGTAGTATATTGTAACGGGTATTAGACATGTTTTCTTATTGTTTCAAACGTCTTGCAACATGTTGCACATATATTACAGCGAACTATATACAGTTGGAACTATACATTTAGATTTTAGTTGGACAAAATAACTTCCAAAATTGCTTTAGGGTCAAAAGTTCAAAACGCATATTCAACGAGTAACTGTGTATTTAATGGAATACACGCTCGTCTGAACATCAGAGACTGAATATATAAGCTAAAGAGAGTTTTAAGGGAGCTTCTCTCAGAATATCAGAAATATCTTGATACTATATATTGTAATATGAGACGAGTCGGTCTCGTACGGAAAGACAATAAATCCCTTATGACAATGGAACGCCAGATCGTAATTAAATACATGCCAGATATGAAAACTCGATCGAAGAAAAGCATTGCCGGTTTATAAGGAAACCGCACACAATACATTAGTATTGCTTACACGTCATGATGAGCCATTTTCATTTCTCTGGAGCTTTAAAATGGTATGCACACTGATTTCAATTTGTTACAAGATTTGAATAATGTCAACTAACAGCAACTTCTAATACTGTTCACTAAAAAATAAGCATGAAAAGATATTTAAATGTAGACAAATTATAAAGTACATGGTTGCAATTGCCACAGAAAAAAATTGTCAATTCATAGTGAAAAACATGCATTACTTAGCCCAAGTAGTACTGATGACATTTTTGAAATAGAGTATACACTAACTACAGTTAGTACCTAATTATAATACTAATATATGGAAAAATTGATTATAATTGGTATTTTTTTCTAATTCTAGTAGCTTTGTTGAAATTTTGTTTATTTATAAGTTTAATAAGCAATTTTTTATCAGCGCTAATCACCATTCCAACACTAATTATGATGAATTAGAAATACACTTTGATATAATACTTACATTTCTGGATACCAAAGTAGTAAATAATTATTATAAGACTTCAATGAAAATATAGAATCAAAAAAAAGCGTCAGATCAATATTAAACTGCACACTACGCTTTTTCAAGAACACATGTTTTTGTGTAAAATAAAAGCATTATTTGCATATATTATTCAGACTTTAATACTTAGCACACAACGTATCACTGCGGTCGACCTGAGCTTAACCCTGACCATTGCTACTCTGATGGTTAGTCTGACTAATTAAACTTTTCGAACGTGGCCAGTAATTGTCACCGGCGCTAACTTAACCACATCCGACGTGACCCGACCCATATTACAGCAACTAGGTGTTCTTAATAGCCAAAAACTCCTAAGCCCGCATTACATTACAAAAGGGTCGTCAAATCAGGAATTTCATTCAATATGTAAATGGTACAACAACAAAAACCTTCATTACACAAATATATGAATTGCAAACTGCAGAAAAGGGACAAGTCTATTTTTAAAAATTGTTTATGATAGACAAATAACTAAATATCAAATGAATAAATAAGGATATAATTTTGAAAATTTAGCATGCATTTTTATTAGGTTATATCAAAATGTCTACCTAATTAGAAAAATAAATCCAATAGTTTTTTTTTAATCATTGTTTTAAGTCGAGGACGATTCCTCCTCCTTTCTGCAGTAAACTTTTAAAACATGTACCCTTATTGTACCGTAAAAACTATTTGATTTCTTATAAAATATCCAAGTATAGTAATATTTTTAAAACAAGAACATAGTACTACCGTTGCCCTTTCCCAATCCAAAACATTTTAAACAGTAATAAAATGAATAGTGAAAATTTTAATATAATATTTAATGGATCATTTTTGGAGCGTTAAGACATATTTAAAAAAACAGTGAAAAATCTAGTAAAAAAAAATGTAATCTTTATTCATCTGTGTTTGACAATATTATAAAACTGTGTCAATTTAAAATTATAAATTAAATAAAAAGTGTATTAAAATTGCCATTGTAGGTACTTCAACAAAAACAAAGCTCTGTACATTCTTCCATGAACTGGTGTTATGTAAACGCTATGATTATGATATGGTAATCATAACTGATTGTTATTATTATTGCATGAATGTTCTACATCGGTATTTTGACACTGATCAATTACCGTCGGATATTAGTTACCAAATACGATACACCCACACTGTGTTAATTTACCGGTGAAAATGGATTTCTAATTTATTTGTTAACAGTTAATTTTGCCAAATTCGTTTACGATTTGTTTAATCAAGGTGTAAAATGATACATTTATTCGCAATATCTTCTGTGTCGTTCTGATTTACTATAAAGATATGGTGAAAAATACCAAACTGAACACTACTATTTTATTTATCCAATTAGAAAATTCATTAAAAAACATAATTTCTTGCCTTAATTTATTTTAACACGGATATGTCTTATGTGCTGGCGTCATTATGGATTATGGAGGAGTATGTAGGTGAATAATAGAGGGATTATGGAGGAGGAGTTTGGAGGAGTATGGCGGTGAATTAATAGAGAAACTAGATTGCAGGACATATCCATGTATTGATGAATCTGCATAAAGTGTAGATACTCTTAAGTTTCTTGATTTTATATTTTTTTTTTATTGTCATCAAAATCTTAAGTGGCGTTGAATTTATGTTGTGACTTTTGGTCCTTTTAACTTGATCGGCCTAATTCATTTTCGATCACTTCACAGTGAGTTATTGAAACATAAGAACTGACTGAGAATCGGTTAGGTTCAACAGCAAAAGTGATCTGATTTTATTTAGGTGCATTTCGTGGAAACCGAATCGATCAAATACACGAGAAACAAACGGTGTGAATTTTGGATACGGGACACGGGACGCGGATGGCTGCACCCGCCGTACCATTCGCTGCCGGAGAACACCACTTGCTGGTACCATCTGCAGGCCACGCCGGCCGAGCCGACGGGCGTCCGTGAAATCGGCGGCGGTGTCCATTCTTCCAGGTACAAGGTATGGGTGTCCGTGCTCAAGTTCTACGTGTCCGGCACGCAACCCGCGGACTGTTCGACAAACTTGCTGATCTGGGACGGAACCTTGGCGTGTCATCCGTTTTGGTAAGTTGTGCGCAACTCGTGTAGGTGGTATACTATTATACGCCAGTGTCGGACGTAACCGATTACAACAATGATTAAATTAATCATTAATCATTAAATCGTTTTGTAAAAGTAATCAGTAATCATGATTGTAATCATTAATTATCGAAAATATAATTACGTTAATCATTCAATTGTAATCATGAAATAAATTTTAAAAAATTGTTTAACCGCCCTAAGCTTTCTCTAAAATATATTATATATAAATATAATATATACAGAGTGTTCCACGATGGTCTGACCTCTTTGGTAATATCTCTTGGAAAAAATCATTTTTTTAACTCTGCTTTTTCTAAATATTTTGTTAGCCAACAAGTAATTTATTTTTTGGAATATAATAATAATTTTACTTGAAAAACATTTTGAGTTTTGATAACGTTCATTAATCGTTACTTTTCAATTTTTAAACGACAATTTTAAACTGATAGTCAAGTCAACAAGGAATATTTTTTTAGGAGGGGGCTACGTTTTAGTCAAAGGGATAAGCCCTCAGCCTCCCTCCCCCCACTAGTTTCACCACTGAGCCCAAGGCGGTTATAAAAATATAATCGTTAATCATTTCACGATTACAATCGAATGTAATTATGATTATATAATTACAGTAATCATACCTACACGATTACATTTCTGATTATGATTACATCAATCTAACAGTATGATTACCGATTACAATAATTATTAATCGTTATCATTAATCAGATTACACAATTTGCCCAACACTGCCAGTATACACGTGTGCCAACAAAGTTTGAAGTTCATTGTTTGCTTGTTTTTGCCCTCCAGCGATTCGAGAAATTCTACTTTGGCGTACGGCCACAACAACGCCACGCTGTTGGCAAACTACTGCCCGGGTCAGACGCCCAGGTCTTGCGATCATTTCTTGTTGACCAGACAACAGCGGCCGTGCACCCTGTCCGAGAGTTTTCTGTCCACGTCCCGGTCGCTAACCGTTCAACTTAACATACAGCACGCCACGGCTCTAAAGTACCGTGTGTTCGGCGTCGGTCGGTCTAAACGGTGAATAACCCTACATATTTTGCTTGCATTTCAGACCGGTGTCGTTCAAAGCTCTGTACGAATTCGTCGACTTGCACCAGGACGGCAACGCTTGGCCCGAAGGCAAAAATAAATGCTCCAGAATTTTCTACCGGCCCAAGCACAGTCCTTCGAGCGTAATGGCCATCCGTTCGCCGAAGAACGTCTTTCTCTACGGCCGAGGCGGCAACAAAAACCTTAGGTAAGCAACGAGCTTATTAAGCTCTGTTTATCGAAAAGACAAACAACTTTCTGTTGGGTTCTCTCGACGGTATTTTTTGTAGAAAACTCAAATACGAGCACTTAAAAAAGTAAAAAAAATGTCAGAATAAAATTATAAATTTTGAAAGTCGGGTTAATAATATCAAAAAATGAATCGGAAGAAGGATTGTGTTTACTTAGTTTTCTTGAAACCGTCCGTTAAACGATAGCAACGTTAAAATATGATAATACATAGGGCTCGGAAGTTGATGACCCGAAAACCCTATAAAAATGACTTTAAAAAAATGCAAAAATGACTTAAAAAATCAACAAAAATTGCGCTGAAAAATGACTTGATAATGGTAATTAATGAGTATTAATGAACTAAAAATTTAAATAATGCAAAAAAATGACCAAAACTTTTTTTTAAAACAACTTTTTAACCTATTTAAAATCACAAAAATACTCTTTTTGATTACTTAATTATTTTTACAAACCTATTTTGTAATTTAATCAAAATTATTACATTGAACGATAATTGTATGCTTAATATTTTCTATATTAAATGAGCGACGATAAAAGGACACCCTCCTAATAACAATTATTCTCTGTTTTAAATCAGCTAATTTGTTTTCAACAACTTTTGGCGTTCAAATATAAATGGTCTAAAATACATAAAACTTTTTTAACGTTAAATTTCCATCTGTTTGAATACATTGACTATTGTAAATAATGGACAATACGGTAATTGCACTGTGAATTGGAACAAACTTGGGTAAAATATAGGCCAGGGCGAGTATACAATTTAACCCATTAAATTATTATTTATTATAAAATCTCACGGGCATTATGTCGAGTTCAAAAAGAAAATAATAACATAAATAACAGGCATACAAAATGAACGAGTATTATTAAAGAGATTAGGAATTATGACAAGAAATATTTAAAACAAATTGAAGAAAATAATTCAGTTAAAGAAGCAACACAAGAAGAGTGAGGCATATGAAAGAAATATGGAACTAGGAAGTAAAAAGACAACTGAAGTTAAGAAAATTTCTTTTATTAACTCCAAACATTGGTAAAGTTTCGGCCTAAAACATTTGCTGGGATTAAACAAACAAAGAATACCAGCTGGGGTTTATTTTTTCCATCTCTGGTATTATATTTTATTATCTTGGAGATAATTTCCACATGTTAGAGACAAATATTATTATCGTTGGCGTTGTTGTGAAACGTCTAATTGAATTTTGTCTCCCGTAGCTGTGTATTTAGGTTGGAAGGACAACCCGGCGACGTGGCCCAAGTGACTATATTGAAAATGAATTCCGGGGACCGAGGCTGTCACAGTAGAGTAAACAATGACAGAGGGACATTACAATGCGTGGGAGACACTAGCTCGTCGCTGAGCCTTTTGGACGAAATCAACGGTCCCAAGACAATGTTAGTGCCCCGGCATTGTTTGTGCTCCACTAACGCGTCCCTGTTGCCATTCACTGTCGTCACTCTGGGCCCGAAGGCTTCGATCAAATGGCAAGTGTTCAACATGAACTCCACCGAGGACTTCCGGCTGCATTATTTCGAAGCCACGGTGCAGTTTATTCGTAAGGAAGTGGTACCGAAACGCTGCGAAGTCAAGAGCAACCTACTGTCCGGACCCGGGGGCCATTTCACATTCCATTCTTATTACAACGTGAGTGGTGGCGTTTGCCGGCAAACAAACTTAATTTACAGGGTGTTTCAAAAATGATTTTCTGTTTCAGACTTCGTGCGAATCTCATTTCGTCATACTCACCCTACAACAGTACACGAATAGTTATCTGTACGCAAAATTGCCCGGTCTGGTGATGCCGGACTCTTCGCACGCGGTAGCCAAAAATTCTGAGCACGTACATTGTCCCACAAAGAATCGATTCATAGTGCACGCCGGCAACGTGATGCACACTGTAGTGTGTCCGGACCCTTACTACACGGTGGAGGTTTGTAATAATGTAATGATTTATTAACGTTGGCCGGTGGACTTACATCCCTGTACAACTATAATGCCGATTTTCGCGCAGGTCTTCTCCGACGGATGGCACACCAAAAACGTCATGACTAACACTTCCCGAGACATCGTCATCGAATTTATACCTATGGATCCGGGATCGTACATCGTGTCTTGGATACAACTTTCATCCAGGTAAGTACAAAACATTAACATGGTTGAAAAATTGTTAAAACTTGAGTGGGGTATTATATTTACACTATTTACATGACTTGAGGTTACTGCCACTTGGATGTCTTGACTAGTTCGCCAACGTTTCGGAACAATTGCACGTTCCATCTTCAGGGCTGTGGTTCCATGTTGCTCGTACCGCGCTCTCCTGCAGACTGACCGATTCGCTTCCGTGGGTGTAGTCATGCGACAGCCGGCCAAGGTGAAGGGGAGTGGCCGTAGAAAACAGCTAGCAGCGGCAAGAGGAAGCGGAGAATACGGTGGGGGTATGGTATATAACCTACGCCCATGGAAGCAAATCGGTCAGTCTGCAGGAGAGCGCGGTACGAGCAACATCGAACCACAGCCCTGAAGATGGAACGTGCAATTGTTCTGAAACGTTGGCGAACTAATCAAGACATCCAAGTGGGAGTAACCTCAAGTCATGTAAATAGTGTAAATTAAAATGGTTGTTTACAACAGCTTTTATCTTAATCTTTGAAAAGTATACTTTCACTTCAAATTTCGAATGACACTCATTTTTTAAAATTAAATCTAATTGTAAGTCTTGTCTCCTTCATTCAGAAATAAAACCGACCCATATCTTTCTGCGCCGATTTCATATGTTAATAGTTTGTAGGGGTGGGTCTAATTAATAGAGATAGTGGATTAGAGATACTAGATTGCAGGACATATCCATGTATTGATGTATCTGCAAGAAGAAGTGTGGTTGCCCTTAACCTTTTTTTTTCTGTTCTCAAGGATTAGGAGTGACGGTCCGTACTGCCTGAGTCAGTGTCCAGAGCTGAACGCTTGCATCAACGAATCGCTGTGGTGCGACGGCATCGAGCACTGTCCGTCGGGCTACGACGAATCGTTCAGCTACTGCATGCACCTGCTCTACACACATCTGGTGTACACCATCGGTCTGACCGTGGCCGTGGCCATCGTGGCCTTGTCGGCGGCATTGACCATACTGTGGTTTCGCCGGTGCAAGAGTGACGGTACGGCGGCGGCGGCGGTTACAAGGGCGATGGTGAAAAACTCCGACACGGAAGCCATGGTCGCCCCTTGTGACGTGATTTACTGACATACGCCTAACGACGTAGTGCACTACGTCGAATACGACCGGGTGACCACAGTCTGAAGTTGTGGATGTGTGCGTTTTGGTTTGTGCGCAGTACCATTCTCTGGTGAGACGGAGCATAGTAAAAACCGATAACGACCGGATTGGTCAACACTCGAGTTGCCTTTTCTTTATTGCCAAAAGGAAGACGTTTGACTGTCACGTTTTACTACTTAATATTATAATGGCAATAAACTGGACGGCGATAGGTTTTTTTTTGTCGTTCTATTCGATAATAAAACCACCTTCAACGATCATATAATAATACTATAGAATAGCTTGTAGATAAAGTTGAACAGATAAGTATTGAAAATTTCAAAAATTAAATCCTACAGTCATTATTCTAAAAACGTATTGTCAAATGTGGAAGTATCGTTTCAATATAATATTATGCCCTTATTCAAATTTACACGTTCAAATAAATTTTCATCCGTTAATAGCAATAATAATCAACACCTCTGAGTTTAGTACACCCAACAGTACTGATAAATATATTGTGTACTGACAAATTTGAATTATAACTAAAATTTACTAATTAGAAAAATGCATTAATGATTTAAAACGTATAATAAATATTTAAAAAAACACTGCCCATCTCTAATGATAACACTATCCATGTAAGCTGTGCTTGATAAAATAAAAAAAGGTTATAAATTTTATTAAATTATCAAAGCTATCATTCTTGAACACACTGTACACGTGTTTTGAGTGTTTTAAGATTATTGTAAAAAAATAGTAAGTTATTTTGAGTCAAGGGAGACTCAAGGAGGGAACTCTTTAATTACCTACATTGCTGTAGAAAGTACCTAAATAAAAAAAATGAAAGGCTTCTTGATTTATTTTTGTTTCTATAATACTGTTCCATTGACAAAATTCAAAATTATTGTTATAATATAGACCCCGACTGTTACACTAATTAAGTGCCTAACGATTTGAAGAGTTTATAATAATTTAAATTATAATAACAGTAAACAGGGGCCATTTAAGGAAATCCCAATAATTACACTCACAAGTACAGATAGAAAATAATGATTTAATATACTATTTTTTGGGGGTTTTAAAACAAACATTATTACCACAAGTATTACTTTCTGTTGAAATCAATATCAATAGATTATTATAAAAAAACAGCATTTGAGTACAAAAAAAATGTTGCTTATAATATTTATATAATTATTCTTTCCAAATGTCTCCGTTTTGGTTATTTAGTTTATATTAAATTGTGACTGGCAATATATTGAAAATCTTACATCACACGTTTTTTAGAATCTAATTAGTCGGATATGATAATTAATAAAACGTTTAAAATATTTTCTCACGACGGACGTTAAATGTTTTATTTATTTGGACGTATTAACATTTAAGAAGGTAGTTTAAAAATGAAACAAGTCTTCACAGAGCAATATGAATGGCAATAAAGCCGTCGGTTTTATACATTTATAGCTATTCCTAGTTAAAAAAATATTATTCCTGTGATTAGTACTATAAGTATTACAGTACTTAATAAAGTATGAGTATTTAGACTGCAAAATTTAGTGTTGGGGCATTATTTGAATAAATTCTTTGTTATTGATTGAAAATATTATAATACTAATTACTCGAAATGGCGATTTATTCAAATGTGCCACAAATAATATAACTAGTCTGATTTGAAATGCATTTTATTTTCAATATTAATACACAGTTATTCCATTTGTTTTAGTGGTAATTTATTTTTTGCCCAACTCTTAGTGTAAAAACATAAAATATATATCCAATACCTATTACATTAATTCTTGATTAATTTACTGTATTTGGAAATTTAAAATAATTATCCTTGTTCATTAATAGCTATTATTATTAATATTATTGTTATATAATATTAGCATTTAGCAATATAATAATCGGGTACGACTGATCCAGCAATCCTAATTAGTTGTGATTCAGGGTAAACAAATGAGAATAAAAAAAAAAAATTACAATCTATTAAATGTATAAAATTGAAATATTATACTGTACTAAATAATATAATTGTTTTTTTTTAAATTAAAATTACTTTATTGAAAAATTACGTAAAAGTTCAAAATATTTAAAACTTATTTAATGATATTGTATTGACTTATATAGCTGTATTGTATAATTAATATGTACGTTGTTATTACTTATTTTGTTTACTATATTATATTATAATGTTTAATCCCGAGTGCTTCCAAGTACAGTATTATTAATATTGTTATGTATATTTACTTAACTAAGTATCCATATTATTATTATGGATGTGTTTCAAAACATATACCAATTCGAGTTAGATAGATACATCTATATATTACAGTATTTTATCTACCTATATAGTGATATCACAAACAACCCGAGGACTAATAATTATTATTAATTGTTTTATATTTTTTAGAAATACTTAATTATTGTTGTGATTGTAACCGAAATACTTGTTATACTATACAAATGGTTTGATAGATATATACATAGATTTTTAAATATTAATTATCTACAATGTTAAAATATAATATTATGTTTCGTTTTAAAAATAGTTTATTATATATGAATTATAATATACATGTTTAGAATATAGGGACGTAATTAACGTGATAAATAGTTGTAATTAATTATGTTATCTAATTGTTGGTTCACAGACAATGTAATATTTTATTATCAAAACTTAAGTAGGCATACTCATAGTACCTAAGTCAAATATTGTACTAGTTTCGTGTATTTACTATTATTATTAAATGTGTTAATATTTATTGCTGTATGTATATTTTCTAGAACAAATAATACCGTAATAGTATCAGTCATGTTTAATATCTATAAACAAAAGGTATTTTAATAATAATAAAAAAATATAGTTTAAATATATTGTAATAACAAATTTAAATTATGCAACTGCGTTGGCCTTGGTAGATTTATTTTTGCGTCGTATTATTGTTGGTTAAAGAACAAATATAATAGGTATTGTCTTATTTTAATTGTCTAAAATAAGTTTAATTGTTCGTAATAACTTCATGGTCTGTATAAAATATATAGCATTAAAGTTAGATAGGGTTAGGTCAAACACATGATTCAACAAGAATATTTTAAAACGAAAAATAATCACATATTTAATTTCTGCTTTAATATAAGCCAATAGCCGATATATTTTAATTGAATAATAATATATAGTTATTATTAATGGCAATTATGATTAAGTTGGTTATAAATCAAATCTGTGAAGCAAAGGCAGTTAAGGTTACATTTTAACAATGCCAAACAATTAAGAAAATACACTAATTTCTTCAAGATTCTTAAATCCCCAGTTTACGCAGTAAGTTATTCTCAGTATGATATAAACTGGTATTTAATATCACTTGTGATAAATTTTTCAGCAAAAATACTTGTATAAATGATAATGTAGGTACTTGAATGTATATAAATAAAATTTATAAAAAACAGATACTTAAACATTTTTTGTCTGATTCATAACTTTAAAAGGATAAGTGTTAGGCGAATTTTTTCTTCGCCAAAAACTTTGGTGTAAAAAAATCTAAAAAAAAATAGCAAATTACTAATTTTTATTTAAGTTATTGCATTTAAAAAGAAATAGGTATGCAAATTCATTTATTGTGCTTAATAATTGTAAAATCAAGTATGATGTTATGTACATACGATTAAAACAATTTTTTTGAAAATAATTTCGCTAGTTTTGACAAAGCTTTTGAATTTTTATTGATGAAGTAACTTCAAAATTAAGTTTAACTACGTTGCCGTAATTTTTAACATAAAAAATTAATTTCATGAAAATAATTATTAACTCAAATATAAATCTCAACGAATTGGATTATTTTTGTTTTACTCATTAAAAACCAATTTGCAGGGCGGCAACATAACAATAATTCTACAAAAACCTAAAAGGACTAGAGATAATTTAAAAAAAAAACCCTGTTATTTTAAAAAATAAGTATGTAGTAACGATTGTCTTGTTTAAAAAGCAACAGTTATAAAACTCAAGTTTAACTGAAGTTTTTTATTTTATAAAATAAAAGTTTATCTCGTGAATTCGATGCCCGCCAAAACTTATAACGTTTAAAGCATATCAAATAATATGTAACTATTCGAGAATTGCCATTGTAAATATTTAACAATTATATTATCTGTAATAATCGTTGTAGTGACACGAAGGACAAACGTGATTGAATATATTTGACCTTACCAAACGACCGCATGCACTTGAATTACACCGGTTGTAGTATAATATATACCAACCTAATATTATGTTATAGGTACAATACATATATGATTACAATACTACACCGACACCACGAGTAAGACTTCTTAATGTAAATTATTATCGGTGTTAATTGTTTAAAAAAAAAAAATCTACAAAAATAATAATTGGAATTTGATTTGATTTTGATTTTTACCATAAAATGTATTGAAATCGAATTGAACAAAATGTATATAAGATTAAAAATAATAGATAATTTAATCGAAAATAGATTACTTTTGTTTCATTCCTGCTTAACATTACTTTTAACCCGATAAATAAAAGACGATTTATTATTTTTGTAATTAATAAAAATGTGTTTTACACTATAATATTCGTATATGTTAAATTGTGCTTTTTTTTCAATCTCAGATAGTTAAAATAATTGTACTTACTTACCATTGTTTAGGAATTCCTATACAAATAATAAATAGAAATTACTAAACGAATTTAAATAATATAAAATAATTTGTAATAGTAATTAAAAAACACCAAACAAATTTTTGTCTTCAATAATAAAATCAAACAAATAAATGGAATAATTAAATATATTTTTTTTAATTTATTGCTTCACCTAAATAAAAAAATCACCCCGATTATCATAAATACTAAATCTATTAAACCGACACTTTAGTCACTCTGTATATTGATATTATTACATATAGCCAAATTATATGCTTATCATCAGTTAGTATATATTTAATATAATTTGGTATTCCGTATAATTATGATAACGCAGTAATAGCGTTATGTAGTTATTAAAAAAAAATATATTTATGAAGACTGATTTAAAAGCATTTTTATTTTCATAACACAAAAATTTCAATTACTTATTTTGACTAGAAACATAATTATAACCACTTTACTTTGAACAGTCAACATAATATGGTAATTGTGGTCATCGATCTATTTTAAATCTTGTTTACAACAAAATGAGTCTATAATATTACATTTACGGAACAATGGAAATATTTGAATTTTCATAAAAAAAAAAAATTAAAAACAATTTGTTTTATACATTATAATTTATGCAAAAAACAAGGGTAACTATGCTATTTTTAGATTGTATAAATTTAAATCATCACAACAACATAGTGAAATATTTGAATTACATTATAATATAATACAACCTAATCAACATATTATACTAAATAAAATCATACCGTGTAATTAATGGAATGTGTTTGATACAAAATAAAAATAAAATATTAATAAAAAGATAAGTATATTGATAATACTTCACTCAAAAAATAAAACAGTTTACATTAAACTTAATCTTAATGGAAACGCTTGGTTTGGTATTGAACACTTAATATAAAATGATATATAAAAAAAAAAATTGGATTTGGTTTCTGATTTATTGAAGTGTTATACATATCAGTCAGACTAAAAAGTAATTTAACAACTAATTTGTTTAACAAGTAATCACATTAGTTAACCCGGCAAAAATTAAATAAAAATTATTACTTTACACATTCTATTAAAATGTGTCTGTATATTAATTATTTACAAATTGTTTTATATTATACTATAACTAATTAACTAATTATTTTAATAAAGAGGCGACTTTTGTGACTAGCGATAAATAAAAGATAAATAAATTTATTCTATTACATTATAATATATAAGCTAGTTTTAAACCAACTGCTTTTTGGGTGCTCTTAATTAATTATAAGAGCAATTTTCAAAAACAATTAATCAATAATCTCATATATTATAAAAAAAAAAAAATATATAACAATTCAATACTGTTATACTAATAGTTAAAAACGGTTAAAAAACTAATAACAATAAAACAAAACATGGTAAGCACTCTAAAAATTGAGTTATCACGTGTTCAAACAACAATTATCGTTACACTTAATTAAGTTATTAATTCCAAGTATTCATTGTTCGATTTTATCAGCTACGGGCAGTGTTTTACTTGTTTCGTATTTAATATAGGCTAAAAACACAGTCCACGCCAGGCTAGCAAAACTGACGAAAATCAAACGGTTTTTGGGAGGAACGACACAATAGTTTATAGATTGCAGAAGTGGCCACACGGTAACAGCAACCTAAAGTTGTAAACAAAAATCAGGTAAGATTTTTCATTAGTTATCAAATGTATTGAATTTGAAATTTTTTTTACATAAAGAAGACAACAGCAGGCATATCAAAAATAATAATTGAGTCAGGCTTGTTTGTTTACCTTCCATGTTGGAAAGAACTTCTTTTGAACTTCCAATTTGGCGTCTTCGACAGATCCCCCGTCGAGTAAAGTCATAAAGAAAAAAAAGCTTGCCGTAGCGAACGGCCCATAGGTAAACTGCTCAACGACTGCCTGTAAAATAAAAAAAACAAAATGCATTAAAAAAACCATCTGAAATAATAAAATATTATTAGAATCGATGTTAATTTACATTTTAGATTGTATTATTAAATTTTTTGTGACACATTGTGAAAATTGATTCAGCATTAATAAGGCTTCTTGTTTGGTTTATTGTAAGCAAACTCTGTTAAAGTTAATGATACCAGTGCAACATTGTGTATATTGAAGGGTTAGTGTTCATATCGAGTTTAGTCATATATTATATAATGACATTTCATAAAAATACCCATCAAGTTATGTAATATTAAATGCAAGGTGTTTGGGAACCTAGACATACATCATACCCTAAGCATCAAAGTGTTTAATACAAAATATTACTTTTTAACGACAATGTTTTCATCAAATCTTTAAACTTTAGGTAAATGTGAAAAATAAAATAAAAATTCTTCAAATAAGAGCAGCAATGTCAAGCAACGTGCATAAATTATAAATATCTACTGCTTAATTCATCTATTGAAGAAAACGTTTAATCATTAGCTTACAATATACATAAAAATACAAACAAGCTTAATATAGTGTACCTTTGTTATGTTGCCGGTAATTGTTTGTGAAGGCCATATAAAACCAGCAAATCTCATCCAACCATACAAAGTCGGTACTACGAATAATGTACCGTACAGGCCAAATTTAGCTGCTCGTTTGAAATCAATTTCTTTGTTCCATGATGGGTCCAATGTCTGTTGTATTATACTGCTAGCCGGCCAGGTGACCGAGTAAATTGCCATGCCTCGGACTAGTCCGTGGTTTACCGATGCTCGGTAAATTTTTGACCACATTTTCTAACACAAACAGTCTTCTGCATAAAACATTAAAAAAAAATTGTAAATTCAACAAAGTATTTAGTTATAGAATACATTAATGTTTTTTTAAAAATACAAAATACAATAGTATACATCTGCTTATCACATATGTTGAAAAACAAGCTGTTAAAAACTAGTTGTTACCCAATTATACGTCTTTGTAATCGCGCCTAACGTGTTCTGCAAAACTTGAATGTCAGCTAGCCTAATGAATCAAACTAAGAACCGCGAACAAATCTTCCATTCAAATAACTCCTTCAATTTGTAAACAGATATGTGTGGTTTAATTTAAATAAAAGTGAGTAGACATTGTCTTGCCGTCTCCTATGACGCTACACCACAGCTGGCCAACACTAACACAACGGCAGGTAACGCTACTATTTACCCGCAAATTCTGTATTTTATCATATTAAAACAATTTTCAAATCTAATAATGGATTTTCAATTGAGAATTGAGCTATAAACTAGTTTACGTGCGTTATCCGTCTACACTATTAATATAAATCTACAATATTGGTCACTTCATGTACCGTCGTCTCAGTATACTCGGCCAATAAATTTTTAAAAAAATGTATAGAAAAAAATTACTTACACGGGTATTACTTGGAAATGTAAAGTTTGAAGTGAAAGTCGGTAAGTTTTAAAGTAAAAATTAAAATTAAATAATGCAATATTTTAATAATAAATTGTGGAAAACAAAAATTTTATTGACTAAGGTGAAAAAATTAAAACTAATTTTAGAAAAGTAATACGATCACAAATTAGTTTACTGTAATAAATTACTAAAAGTCATTATTGAAAAAAATATATTCCAGGCTGGATTTCGTTTCATTTTTTTTCCATATTGTAAAAATCAAATCGTGTTGCTCTGCGGGTAATTTGCAGACCGCGACGAACTGAAACTAGTAGCGACTACCTGACTAGCGAGTAGGCACTAATCTCTCAACTCTCAAGGCAGCTGCCAGTGTTCAAAGACAACTGTCAAGACGTTGAATGTTAATTTTACAATAATAAATAATAGGTAGGAACGTAAAATATAATCTGTTCGTCTCTTATCAACGAACAGTCAACCCGTTCGATAATTGATAAGAATTTGTTCTCCGTGTATAAAATTCATAGACCATTTACCTGGTAAAAGGTCTATGATAAAATTATGAATTGCCTTCCCCCCCCCACACACATAAAACAATTTTAAATTTTAAAAAACCATGCTTTAATAATCAAATAACTGTTGATTGTTCTTATTTAAATTAATTATTGGTATTCTTTCATGAAACAATTTTCAACACAAGCAGATTTTATTATATTATTTTTCTTACTGACAATTTCAATTATAATTAAAAATCACCTAAATTGTGAAAGATAATTAGAAAAATGTGTTTAAATACTAATAATACATTAGTATAGTAATTGAATTAAGAATAAAGATATATATGTATATTATATATATTAGAAACCAATTTTTAATTTAAAAAATACAAGTATTTAAAGTGCATATTTTAAATATTAGTAGAGTAGGTACATAAAAATATTGAAGTACATTATTCTTTATTTTTTAGATATCATGCGTCAGACCTGATGCGATATGCCATATGGTGTGACACGACAGAGAACATAAATCGCTATAGTGACTAATCACACTTCAAACCCACAGACTAGACCCATAATTCTATATATTCACAGAATAGACTTTGTCAATGTTAAAATCCAAATGAAACAGGTAAAAATACAAAAAAAAATCCTTAAGCGCAAAATATGTGGGGATAATAATACTAGGTATTTTTTTAAACTAAATTACAAAATAGTATGACAACATATTATTTAAAATACAAAATTATTAGACAAATTTTAGTAGGAAAAAAGTCATCTTTATAACAGAAAAAAAATAAAAACATTTATTGTTGTTCATTCTTTAATCGATAAATATATTAGAAACCAATTTTAAATACGAAATACAAGTAGTTTAAGTACATATTTTAAATATTAGTAGAGTACATACAAATATTGAAATACATTTTTTTTTTTTAATATACATTTTGAATAACACTGTTCAGACAAGGGTAAAATTAAGATTTTATAAATGTAAAATAACATAACAATTCGAAAAAAATAGTTTTTGTGTACATAAAAAAAATGTATAGTACATACCTAGTAAAAAATAAGCAATAACTTACTTATTAAAATAAAACATTTAAAAAGATATAACCATATAATTTTAACTTTAATTATTAACAATAGAAAAATATTAATTTGTACCAATACTTCAACATTAAAAAATATACATATACATAAATAAAAAAATATTTATCGTGCAAGCAAATTTTTTTTAAAACAATGTTTACATCCAAAACAGCAGTCGAGAAAAAATTAATATATTTGTTTGGCTAAAAATTTAATGCCCTACAAATATTATTTACAATATTTTGTGTGAACATTTTATAAATATTATACATATTTGTTGTATTTTCAAAATATTCAAATAATACTTAATGAGTAATTAATATTCTGGCAAACAAATGATAATTAAAAAACATAAAATTTAAGTAGTTACTTTTGTATAATATAAAAAAACTAATTTATATTTTTCTTTCTAATATTAGCATAGTTTACTAATTCTTCGACCATGTTATAATCCAATTTTTTTTTGTAAAATTTACCAAAATAGCTTAAACTAATTAATCAACTTTGACAAAACAAGTTGTTGAATTACTATCACAATTTTCATATTGGGCAATATGAGATAATTCATTATTACTTAATTTTTCTAATTGTACACAAGCACAGCGTACTGTTAACTTTCCGTTAGTGCTGATTGTTTGAAATTTACGAGGTACTCCAGTCCAATTTCTTTTTACTCCGCCACTAGAATAAACGATTATTCAGTAAAATTTAAATTGATTTAAAATTATATTTTAATATATTTATGATTTATCTCACCTCAATGTAGTACACCATACTTTGCTCATTTTTGTTTCATTACTATATTCCAGATTACAATTTGGGTAAATATTCATTTTTTGTTTTTCCGCCTGTTTAGCATCTTTAGCCAACTTAATCTTTTCTTGTAACAACTTATTGTAGTCGGTTTCTTTGCCAGATGAATCGTAATAACGGCCAACGAGTTTACCTTTTTTAAATGATATAATAAAAAAATATATATGTATAATCTGAAAAGATCTGATTTATTATGAAATTATAGTTACCAATTTCTGAATATTTTTTTTTATAAGTAGACGTCCACGTATCTAATGCAATAAAATCATCGGGTTTCATATCAAGTACGTGGTCAGTTATATGTTCTTTGTCAAATAATCCTGTTATGTACGAGCGGCTAGCATCACGACCTTAAATGTGTTAACGACATTAATATATATCATGTTTTTCTTTTTTATAAATTGCAAATTAAAAAGTGAAATGTTGATACATTTCATTTTAGTTTGATAAAATATTGTCAGTCCAGAATAAGAGGGACAAATCTCACACATTTGAATGCATGTAAGATATATTCATCTTAAAATTGTTTAAATAAATAATCCTTCCAATTTTAATCACAATATAAATTAAACAAAAACAAAAATCATGTAAACGATACGTCCCTTCTGATTTTAGACTGATGTTTTGAATTGTTTAAAATTTAAATACCGGCAAATGAATGGTAAGAACCACCGGGTCCGTAGAATTTTCTGCCCATTGTAACATCAAACACTATGCCTAAGAAGGACAAATATATTTTGCCACCGTCGACCCCGTTGTACCTACTCAACCGAGCCGTGTCAAACAAAGAACACACCGAAGGAGTGTGAGTTAAGAATCGTTGGAAAATAGCATAACTACACAACGCGTCTTGTGTAGGTTCGTACAAAAATAAAATTGATAAAATCAACACGATGATTGAAATTAAAGAAAATATCACATTTTTAATACTCAACGATTCCATTTCTCGGGTCATTCATTAGGTTCAAGGTTTTTATAATTTTTTTTTTATCAAAAACAAATTAAAACATGTTAAAATTACATAATATTGAACAACGGCTAACAATAATTGCTACAAAATAGAATGTGATGAAATATAGTATATTGTTTTTAATTTTTATCATAGACTATTATAATAATAATATTATGTCTATGGTTTTTATCTCTTGAGAGTTGGAAATTGGAAGACAAAATATTAATCTACTATTATTATCAATTATTATTGTCAGCATGAATTGATAAAAAAAAAAAAGAAAGCAAACAGGTATATCAGCAACGCTTGATAACCAAAACATGGCTGCTGGTGTCCCTGGCGGCCGTGTATTACTGAACAGAGAACATCGTCTACCATATTGGAAAAATTGCAAACTCCATTTGCAGACATACCTATTTGTTTTTGATCACAACCTGGACGATCTGCAGCTGTGGAATAATTCCGGTAGACAGCAGTCGACACAGCAGGTGTAATGTGTATGGATTTTGTTTTGCACCTTGCTCGATTGGTTGGTCGGTTGCTGATGGATCAATAAATGAAGAAATGTCCCATTTCTCAAGGCTCAGCTCAGTCGAACAATCGGACAGTATTTAAGTGATAAGCATTAGGCAAACAACAAGACGAAGAGTGTATAGTGATAGTCATTAGTCATAGATGAAGTCTGTCGTCACTCGTCTTCAGACTTCATCGTGAAATAATCTTAGTGACAATTACGTTTTACATTGTTATTAAGATTTAATTAATACATAATAATAATAACACTAGCAATAGTTGAAAAGATTTCGCCATCGATACTTTTCGTCCTTTTTAATTCGAGTCTCGTTGTTTGATATTATGTGACCTGTGTTATATTAACTTAACAGCCGAATATCACCTATACCCATACAAATTTCTATTTACTAGGTAAATTTATAAATTAATATAATTTATAAGGTTTGTCGTCAAATTGTGTAATTGTGAAAAATTTTCATAATTTTTTTTTTTCTGTTATTTAGTCAGTTATGAATCAACTTTGTTCGAATTCATTGTTTGACTTGTCATTACACAAACTATGTGCTTCTATGAATGAAGATGATTTACACAATGTTTTGAACAGTTGCTCACCGTATATAACACTACAAGTTGTTTGGAAGGTAAATTTGTATTACTTTTGTATTTTAATTTAAACTAGTGTACCAGTGTATGTTACTATAATGAAGAATTGTTTGTGCAAAGGTTTTGGGAGTAAAGGACGACTTTGATCTAAATGGCTTAGTTAGCTATAGATCTCCTAATGAAAATTTAGTAACAGTTCATCGAGGCCGTGCACTTGTTCAACCGACCAATCCATACCCACCAAGGACCTTGTTCCCTCCACGCGTAACGGTGCTGAATCGAAATGATATCAGACACAAACAAGTATGTTTGATAGTTTTGCAAATTGTTAAAATAAATAAATAGGTCATAAATTTATTGTCAAAAACAGTTTATTCCTGTGATAGAATTTAATTAACTATAAATTATGATCTTATTTATTATTTCAATTTTTATTAGCTCAATAATAATTTGCCTACTGTATAATTGCTGTATGAATTAACCATGTATGGTTATTATAAAGATTATTAGAAAAAATAACAAAATAACATGTTCAAAATCATTTTTAAGATTGTTTATAAATCTGTGGCGTATCGACGGCAACATATAATATTGATGGCAAACAAAATGATGGCCTATTAAAAAAAAGTTGAGATACATATATTAAAATATATGTATTCAGTTATAAAGTAGTACCTGCATTTATACAACATACAAGTTACTGACCTATATTCTTATCATTTTGTATTGGCCCAAGAAGATATTATCTCCCAGAGTCCTCCTCTGCTCGTATCATACAAACATTTTACCTTTTTGTCTTCTCATTTAGAAAACTTTATCAATGAAATCTTTTTAAAACTCTTAAAAGTTCAGGTGCCGAAAATTGAAAAGTCTTTAGGCAAATTTTGAATTTTTATTACCTATGTCAAGTTATTTTAGCCTCGGCCCCCCAGCCCGAAAACTACACTAAATTGCGATACTAAAGTAGCGCGCCTACTTTAAGTTTTCGTCGTCTTGCAAACAATCTTTTCATGTCAAACTTTTTATTTTATTTATAATTTTTTTTTTTTCAGACGAAATTTAAAGACAAACTTAATTTCTGTAATCATTTTGATTTAAATTTGTTTTTCAAATTACTTAAGGATACTGCTCATAGATGTCGACTCTATACAATATTTCAGGTAATTGTATGTTAATTTACTAGCTAATGTGTTTCAAGATATAAAAGTTGTATACGTTTTTTTTTTTAAACTTTCTTTTTAAGAGCTTTATAAAAATGTGTTGACTTATAATTGTTGAATAATGTTTAAAATATATAAACACCTATTTTTTTCACCTAAGATTTAGTACCTGTATTTATCTTTGAAATTACTTACCTAAATTTAATTATTTTTCACTAAAATTGTATTTTTAAACAATAATAATGAATATTCAATAGTGTATATATTTTTATTTAGCTGACCAAATTATTTTTTATTTATAATTTTACATAATATTTTATTTGGCTTTAACCTGTAACAAATTGTTTAACTTATGTACAGGACTGCATAATAAAAGTTAGTTTGATAATGTTTATAAACGAGTTGTTAACAAACCACTATTTATAATATTTTTAAAACTGTATCAACCGTTTAATATGTTTGTAATATGTTTCATTTAGATTTGTATACAAAAAAAAGGCTTTGAATTTCCTATGAAGTTTGCTATGCAATGGATAAGTGACAATGTCGAACAAGAAAGTGCAAACTGTTTGCATCATATTGATCAAGGCCTTCAACTCGGTCTGTATTGCTGTGAATTGTACTTTTGATTTATGGATGGCAACTGTTTTAATACTCGATTATATTCCAGGTATATTTCTCGGCGATAGCGGTTGGTTTAAAGAGAGTGCTCTTGTTTTGTCCTGCACATATGAATTGATTTCTAAAAACTGGGATTGCTCTAGCCAAACTTTGGTGTTGACTAAGACTCTACAATGCCTGACCAAGTTATTATTATTATTATTATTAGACTATTTTGTTTTAAACAAATGTTAGTTTTTAGTAATAATTGTTTTGTTCTTTCTTAGATGGTTACTGGTGACATCGAATTTCTACGATTTGGACGAAGCCAAAGAAGTGCTACAACATATTTTGATTATGATTGACATCGTTGAAAACAGTGATAAAAAAAAATTGTGTATCGCTTATTCTTATGTTGCTGTCTCACAGTACTATTATCAACTAATGGAGTTTGGAGAGGTTAAAATTGTGTAATTAATACGCGATGTGAGTGTATTTTATTTTCTATATCTGATTTCCAGGCTTGGTTGTGGGCAGTCAAAGCTGTTTATGGACTCACAGAGAGGAGCAGCGAAGTGCTGAAACTTCAAGTTATCAGTCATGCCATACGGGTTTGCTCTGCCGCAAACAAGTTGAACACGGCTAAAGAATTGATCCAGGAAGTTCACAAGATCGACGGTTACATCGAGCAGTATATTTGCGTTGATATGCTACTCAATGAAGCCTGCTACACGTTGAGGGCTGATTTGGCTAAAACCAGTATAGACAGTTACTATGTAAAGCAAAAAAACACTAGTATTTCATTTTAGTCAATAGTTATTACAGCTGTTTGAGTTCTAAAATTTCAGATGGCGCTAGACTGTCGAAGAAACTTGTTTGGTTATTTCAACTTGCAAACAGCAACAGTTTTTGTCGACTATGCGTATGCTCGTTACGTTTGTGATTATGAAACGTGTGATTTTGAAGAAGCTATGTAATATAAATAAACTATATTCTACATATACCATAAGTTATTATACTAAAAAAAAAAAAAAATTGTCATTTCAGGTGTTGCGTGTTGCAAGGCATTTATATTATGGAGGTTATCGGTTTGCCAGACGATCATATGTTGGTAGTAAACGCTGGCCGAGTAAAGGCTCTAATTTTGGAAGAAAAAGCATTGTCAATAATTGATCTCGGTAAACTGTATATGTAAAATTTAAATTTAAAAAAATGTACACTAGACTGGCAGTTAAAAAAATGTAACCCAGACATAAGTCTGTAAAAAAATGATAAGCGAGTGAAAAATGTGGAATGATCCATTATTAAGACCTGTAACTTTATTTTTTTTTTTTTACTGTCACAAAAATCGAGGTCTATCTCATTGAAATAGTATTTTATGAAAAAACAAAAACAATTCACCGGTACTCGATAATATTGAGGTAAAGCGTTGAAACTTTCAGGATGTTTATTTTTTGAGGTCAACTTTACTATTTTTTTTTTTTTTAACGGCCAGTCTAATGTGCACAATTGAAAAATATTCGATTTTTTGTGATTTTTTCTAAATTTAGAATTAGACAATGATATTTCGAGACGAGTAAAACAAGATATGCTAAATGAAGCTGAGACCCTTCACAATAATGCTTTAAACACATCGTTGAGAGCAGTCGGAGAATCAAATCTTCTTACAGCCAAACATTATTGTAATTTGGGCAGACTTTATCAGACTAAAGAAGATTACAATGTGAGTTTTTTTTAATAAACTATTATCTATTATAATTTCTCTACAATTGAATTTTAGCTCAAAGGACATGTATATGGTTATATTTGTTATATGGGTATAAAATTTAGGCGAAATTTGAAGAAAAAAAATGGTGAAATGACAATTATTTTAGTTTTATCTATTATGTTTTGAATTTATCCTTTTTTTTTCTATTAGCAATCATTTATACTTGCTATTTAATAAAAATAATATTAAAAATCAGGACGAACGGCTGAGAGGATAAGGTGGCAGTCTGGTGACAATCAATATGGTATAGTGTATATGTTAATAGTCCGTTAAGCCAAATTTCAAGTAATAAAAAATGTATTTATGGTAAAAAATCCACAATTATTACCTCTATGCAATTTTTGTGAATTCTGTTTTCATTTTTCCATGACAAGTTAAAGTCTACTTAAATATAAATTAAATTTAATACGTAAGTGGATCTCCATAGTACCAGATTTTAAATTCTGTTAATTATTGAACTTTAAAATATGGCCTGACAATAAAATTCTTTGATTATGCAAAAAATTCGATTTAAAAAGTATTCAAATCGAAATCTTACTTTTTAATGAAAACGCATACCTATTTATTGTATTTTATGTACAATTATAATTTTTTACAGCTCTCTGAAGAAATGCACAAAAGGGCTATAGCGATCAAAGAATCCATATTGGGCAGAGACAATCCCGAAGTGGCCCTGTCGTTAGGCCACCTCGCTAGTTTGTATACTTACCAATTGGAAAATTATCTAGAAGCCGAACACCTCTACTTGCGATCAAAAGCCATTTGTAAGTCGATGGGTATTTTTTTGTTATTTTTTCCACGATAAGCTACTGTTAATGACGGTTTTTTTGTTATCTAGATGAAACTAGTTTCGGTAACCAATACACGGGAATATTGTACGATCTTCAAGGGTTAGCACGGGTTTATGAGAAACGTTACAATTTGCCCAGGTACTCACAGTGCTTAACATCTATTCGACAATTCCACGCTAATCGTGAAGCGTGGCTCGAAAGATTAGCATCGTCAGAGGTATCGACCGTCAGCGACAGATCTACCAGTTGTAATATGGACGCCATAAAATCCATACTCGATGACGGTTTTCTGTGAAAAGCATTATAGATAATTATATTTAAGTAAGTGTAGTATAATATGCATAAAGAAAAAAAAAGGAATTGCTTAACATTTAGCTATCATCTATCGTCATTTATTTATTAAGTTACTCGACCCATGTTATCCTATTGTGGTTTAGTAAGATGATCATTTATGAATATTGTAATTTTTACTAATCATAGTAGGACGTAATAAATGTAATCGGACTAGGTCTTATCTTGTAATCTCCGCTATGTTACTTTTATTCGGCCAAAATCGTTAAACGCAAAAAATATTTATTAGTTTTTATATTTTATGTCTTGTTACGATTATTTTTATCTATAATTTATTCTATTTCGAACTGTATAGGTGTCATTAAATGTGTTTTTTTTTTTTACTTGTAATTTATGTTAACGATAAATCTTTTGAAAAAATAATTTTTTTTGTTTTTTTTATATTTAAGTGTCCTATTTCTTGCAAACTTTTTTTAAAAGTAAAATTTAAGGGTAGTGGTAACTGTTTCTTGTGTTTATGGATAGCATAAGGAAAAATAAATAAATTATATAGGTATACACTATCATATAGTAATTATACTCGTTAATAGTATAAAAATACTTATTTGACGTTAACTAGATGATTTTTATCTTTAGGTTATTAAAAAACAAATTGTTTCAAATAACTGTTTTAATGTTTTTTGAACTTATCAATTATTATTATTACTTAAGTGTATAAAGTAATTATAAAACCATTGGGTTTATATTATTTTATTCCGATTTGTACCCATCCTGATTCCTGGGTATTTTTAGCCTTTTTTAGATTGTTAAGCTTGACGACATGTTTTCCAAAATAAATCTTTGTTTCTGTAAAAGTTATTAGAAATAATATTTTAGAATAAATTATACTGTTAAATAAATATTTATTGTTAGGTAATTATATTGTTTATTTCAATAATTGTTATTATAAGAGTAATTATATTATAATATATCTAGTCAAACAATATCGTTGAACCAAAATATTTAAAATTTATAACTAGAAATTTTACTGATTATTTAAAAAGTACAATACAGACTTTTAAATTTATATTAATCGTTATATAAATTGTTAATTATCTACTAATATGTTAAAAGTACTTTAAGGAAAACAATAAGCAAAACCGATTGGATAATTTATATATTTATATATATATATATTAATGAATGACTACGTAACTACATTCCAAAAAACAGCATAATATTAACTTTAAGTTTACATATGTAATAGTAATTATATATTATTATGTACACATATTTTAATGCTCACAAATCAATGACATTTTGTTGATTAAGACTGTTTATAAAAAGTATAAAATACACAATAGTACATTACTTATCATAATAATTATAACATATTATATCTTAATCCACTAATGTAGTTTAAACAGTAGTAATCTAATAAACGTTTTACATTTCCGATACCTGATTTTTAAATTTTATTTATAGCTGCATCCTAGTAAAGATTTCACTGTAACAGCAATAAAAAAAAAATAAAGTTGTGACATTGACTTGACTTATAATATTATATTCACTTAACGGCTCAACGGCTGCCAGCTATAATGCGCAAACTACGAAAAACATGTATCGCAGATACCACAAAGTGTACGTAAAAGAATTAATTTTATTGTTATAATTTTTAATAAAAAAAAAATTGATTAATTTAATTTGACTATTTAATGAACGCTTTTAGCGGTAAAATTTAAAGTATCTCAAAATCGACAAAAATTCCACACTATAACTACATGTGACTACGTATTCAAAAATCCATTAGGTTGAACTAAGTACTACTATAATAATTATACCTGCTAGTATTGTACTTGTACAGCATACCTACATTTTATGCTCTACCCGTTCTAATTGAAGCGCTTAATAATGTCAGACCAATGCTGTTTAATTACTAGTTTTTTTTGTTTTAAATGTATAATTAGAAAAAGTACACACTACATTTTTCAACGTTTTAATAATATTTAAGTAGTATATTATATGTAGTATATTTAATTTCTGGCCCAAAACCGATGAGAAAACATTTTTTAAATATTTAAAACTTTTCTATCGACCGGGTACAACGTCGGTGGGTAGGTAATTAGAGTATTGTGCAGAAATGCAATAAAGTAATAAGTATATTTATAAGGTGTAAAAAAGCAAAATGAAAAATGTTTCAACATAACCCAAGCAGAAAGCGTAGAATGTACCTGTACTACTATAATATAACAACATACATATAGTAAGAAACAGGAAGAATGTGGAGGACATTAAGAAGTGTGTACAAGGCGCTGAAAAAAGTGTTTTGTAATGGATAAAGCAGAAGAAAAACGATCAAGTATAGTTTAGACAAGAAAACATTTGGTAAAACGATAGCGTTATATTTTTTGAGTGCACCAAAAAAAAAAAACGAGTACCACACATTTTTTACTTTAAAAAAAAACCCCCCAGAAAATGCCGTTTTGGTTTTTGAAGAAAATGTACTATTTATATTGTTGAAAAGCACAGACTGCTACCGAAATCCGACTATCTACTAACTGTGATTACACTCTACTTGGATTAATATTAAAATACACATAATTAAGTACAATATTATATATGTATTTAAAACTAGGATATCTATAAATGTAAACCCGACTTTGGGTGTATGTGACTAATTATATATGTGACTAATATATTATAATAGTAAGTATAATTATTATATCGTTACAATATTATTGCTTATAAATATATGAAACACATGTTTTACATTGCACAAACACACAAAAACACACTTTATAACATATAGTAAGTATTCTCTTAATAGTTAACGACGAAATATTTAATCATGAGATCAATTTGATCTAATTGCGATATTATATTATTATACACCTAATATTTAAAACGTGGTTAAATTTGTATAATTTACTCACGACAACTCAAATCGATTATATTATGCTTATTTATAGCTATGAGTGTATGTAGTATAGATAACTTCAACTAGTACTAGGTACAATTTTTTTTTTTTTTTAATTAACTAAAATTGTTTAAATAGGGTATTAAATATAGTTTATATAACTTTATATAAACTATATAAAGTTTTTACCGTTACAAGTACCTAAGCAATACTACTTTGGTCGATAATAATATTATAATGTATTGAACATCACTCTCTAATCTATATAATACCTTAAAATATTATATACTTAATAACTAAGTGTCAGCCAATAATATAAATTAATAGTCTACTTTTTACTCGTCACTACATTTTCTTTACTACTTTTTTTTTTAGTTTAACTGTTCTCACTAAACATCAACAGAGGCCATGGGACTTGTGAGTCTCACTTGTGCCGGATCCGTGAGTATGTGCAAACCGTTAATAGAAATCGGATCGTCGTCGTGTTCATCGCGCCAAGGTGTAGTCAGAATTTTCAATCTCTACAATAATATAGTAAACCAATATTTTTTTTAATAGGTATATATATAATACATATTCTATAGGCCACAGGCAATGACTCGAACCTGGTCATTTTTACAAAAAAAAATAGTAATTTAGTAAAAACGGGGTTCATTTAAACGCCTAACCTGATGTTTTAGGTAATACAAATAAAATTGTGTTTATTAGTCGAGATCGTGTTTTAAAAAAAATTGCAGTAAAACGTTTATTAGAATTTCTATTTAAATACAAAGTTGGTAAGACAATGCCCAGGGTTGGGAAATGTACAGCATATCTGCTTATAAGTTAGATAATTTCATTAATCAGGCCCTAACCGGATTTTTTGTTTTTAAACAACCGAAATGTGCACTAAAACGTACTAAAAAAGTCTCTAATATGCATTTAAGAATTTAAAAAAAATGGTTTAATGAAAAAAAAATTATTTAAATACCTACATAATACTTATTTATAAATTGTAAAAATATAATAATTTTTTTTTTTAGAAAACCACAAATAAAATAAATGTTATTCTAACAAAATAAACGTCGACCCTTTTCCCCTTCTTATTGATCTGACAAAATATCAATTTATGTTGTACTATTTATTTTTCTATTTTTTAAAAAACTGTGGTTTTTTTTTTAATAGTTATGACTAATGATCGTTCTTTGATTACATATTATTACACTTTCTTTGTCCGGCGAATATACAATATGATCACAAATTCAATTTCATCCATTATTCAATGGCGCGCCTTTGACCGATTTAAAACGGTAAAAACGAAATTAGAAGAAAAAAAACCCAAATACGTTTAATTACTGTTTCGTTGTGAATTTAAAATGGACAGACGATATTAAAAAAATGCAAATTATAAGCGTAGGCTTGTAATTTAGAGACTTTTGGTGACGCCACAACTTATACACCTTTGCCAATTTCAGGTATCCAGGGTGTCCTATTTTAAAATACTAATCGATTTTTCTCCAAAAATACTAATCCAATCAAAAAGTTGCTACTTAGAGACTTTTAGAGTACAAAGGGGGGCGTTATAAAAATTAAAAAAATAGGGACCAAAATTCAAAATGGCCGACTTACGGTCAAAAACATTTTTTTTTTAAATGGAAACCGTGTATTTTTTGTTAACCAAACCAATGTTCTTTTCAAAACAAACAACTTTTGTAGGATACATTTTTCGGTAAAACCCATAGTTTATAAATTATCTTTATTTATTTATTTATATTAAATGGGCTTTTAAAACCTTAAGCAAAATAAAAATATTGGGTGTACATTTTCTGCTTATGCTAATAATTATAAATATATATATATATATATATATGGATAACAAAATTATACAACAATTTTTTTTTAAATTAATAAATACATCAATAAAAGTCACCACACATACTAAGGTTACCACACATGGCACAGTTACCATGTGCATCAAAATAAAATAACAAAACTAAAAATAGGTAGCTAAAGATACTTAATTTACAAGTTATGGGTTTTACCGAAAAATGTTTCCTACAAAAGTTGTTAGTTTTGATAAGAACATTTGTTTGGTTAACAAAAAATACATGGTTTCCATTTAAAAAAAACATATTTTTGACCGTAAGTCAGCCATTTTTGAATTTTGGACCTTATTTTTTTAAATTATTTTAACTTCCCCCCTTTGTACTCTAAAAATCTCTAATAAGCAACATTTTGATTGGATTAGTATTTTTGGAGAAAAATCGATTAGTATTTTAAAATGGGACACCCTGTATATCGGTAAATTAATTATTATCAGGTAGTATATTCCTCCCCTGTTCATTTATTCATTGTAACATTGTTTTTGGCAAATAAATATTACCTGTGTGGTAGTTCCAGGGGTTATCAAAAACTGGTAAACCGCTACTGTCGGTATCATTGCCACGCTACTGCCGGCAATGATCCATCCCAAAACGTTAGCCCAAGCTGGATACACATATCCCTCGTAAGTCAGCGGTTCATAACCGATAAGTCCGTACACGATAATGAACTAAACACACACGAAATAAAACATGTTCACTATTTTGTTCACTATGTTTTTTTCCCTTATTACAAAATATAATAAAACATCACAGCTATGTTATGTACCGGTATTGAAACTTACTATCAAAAAGAGCGGTGCCGCAAAACGCCAACAGAATTTCCAGTACACGCCGGGCAAATGACCCATCATGTCTTTAATATCATCGCAAAATCTGTCCACACCTAAAAAAAAAAAAAAAAAAAAAAAATGAATATCGTTTTAGACCTCTGTTGTTGGCGGTAGTATCATATTATATATACGTTTGTAAAAATTGTTTCCAAACGTGACTAAACGAGAAACCGATTTTTGCCTTCCCTTTTCTAAACCTTAGCTTGACCCTCATAACAGCAAGGATGTACCTCGGCGTTATAATGTTTGCATGTAGACAGGCGTTATAATGTTTGCATGTTTATGACTTTGCTTTGTCAAAACTATGCTTACCTATTTCTTTTATTGGCCAGTAGATATATAATTACTTTTTTAGACATCGAACAATTTTTATAGATTCTACATGAATGGATACTAACTAAATCGACATAAAAACTATTAAAACATTTAATTTTAGTAAATTTATAAAGGAAGAAAAGTTGAGGTTTTTAAAAAAAAATTATTAGTCGTGTTCTGCATATAAATTAAACATTAGCAGAGTTGGGAAATATTTAACCAGAATAAAAATTAAAATTAAACATGTCTCATTCGAATAAAATATCGAATAATGCCAAACTCTGAACCTATGTCTAAGTGCGTGTACAGTTAAAAGTGTATGTGTATCTACTTGTATACAATTTACAATCAAAATGGCTTATGTAGACGTGAAAAAAAGCATCTTGCACTTAACCATTTTGTGCACCATATGAATGGAATATTAAGTTTAAGATGTTTTATGCGTTGGCGCTAAATCGAATTAAACGTTCAAGTCGAAATAACGTTTATCTACCGAAGCACTATATTTTTATTTACATTATTATTATTATTATTATTTTTAGTTGAAAATATACCGTTACAAACGTTCTTAAATATTGTATAGACACAAACGGTACCTACCAACGGTATCAGGGAAATAATAATAGAAAACTCAAAACTGCATTTTATTATTTTAAATTAGGTACCTACCAAGTTTTATTGAGTATATATTTAATAATGCGCTACAGGGGATACAATTTAATAGTAATAAACATGTACAACTTGACAAGCTGTAACAAGATGCTTTTGAAAATTACTCTTTTTACTGTGTATGGTTTAGCAAATATTATGACCACAATTAGTTGTAAAGGGTTATATATTCATGTAAATTTTGTAAAAAAAAAAACACTGTAAAAAAAGGAAACGATTGTCATGGCTAAAGCCGAGTCCAGAAGAGTTAATTCTCAGTTCTAACAGAATCTAAAAAAAATGTAATATTTAAGCTCTATGTGGAATATAAATTCCATAAGAACCCTTATTGAATGTTCTTAAAAAGTTAAGAAACTTTTATATTATAACTTAAGCTGAAAAACACAAATCATAATTGGTTTTAAAACTAAATTTAGTACTTAAATTATATTTGATTTCTAGTTAAAGTGCTTGAACAAATTAAGAAACGCAGAGAAAAAAATGTAGATGATTTTGAGCTATTTGTGTCTAATAAAATTGTACATCTAACCATGGTTGAAATATACAGGTAATAACCTATTACCAGGTATGGCGCTTCGTCTCGAAATGTTATCTTCAGAAATACAATGACAGCGTGACGGGTTATCAATTTTACCATATACCTACTTTAACCATTACTATATATGTTATCGCGTACTTATATACTTGATTTTGATTGGCTGCCTGTTATGCTGACATGATTGTATATAGGACCTTGTATATTTTTCAGTAATGGGTCTAAGCCCTAGGGTTAAATCCGTATGCTGATCTCATTGGTTTGCAAAATAATTACCGCACACTTGATGTTTTATTCGAATAAACCGTGTGTACGTTTAAACCGGCAAGGGATTCGGAATATCATTATTGAAACTTCGTGGAAGTCAAGGGGTCGTTGGTGCACCCCAATTGGAAAACCGTTCAGCCGTGTGCCTTCGTGCGAATTGTTCTCAGAACGGACTTGTCTTGAAGCGTTGAAACAAATATTTGGGTAAGATTTATTGATGTTGCGCGTGAAGTGTGTGTGACACATATATTATAGTCAGTGCGTAGAATTTGTTTTCGGCATAATCGGTTTGCTTTTCTTTTTTTTAATCTTTGCAGACCCGCGCCGGGGACGACATTTTCTTTTACACCAATATTGGGAGCGAAACGCACTATTTTTTTTTTATACAAACCGTAAATCCAAGACACGGCTATGGTCTCGAACAACACGGCCACGAGCATTGAGTATCCGGCAGCGTAGCGATCGAGCAAGTTGAAGAAGTAGAATCCACCTTGGGCACACGAAGCCAGACCGACGACGAAGTACAGCAAGAACAGCAAAGCGATGAATATTTCCCTGTTGCGCCTGATCAACGGGAATTCGTCGCTCATGGCCGTTATAATTGCTTCGGATCCGCCAAACTAAAATTGGTAAGTACAATGATAATTGTGTGAGTTAATAGATTTAAAAGGAGGGCACGTTCATTGGCGCATCTACTAGAGGGGAGGGGGGGGCTAAAGAAGTTCCAGTCCAAATGACACAGTATATACAGGGTGATTCCTTTATCATGGGCCACTCGATATCTCATAGGGTTTACTAAGAAATTACATTTTTTTTTCTTCAAATTTTATTGTTTTTACCACCCTCCCCAACTTGGTTTTTTTGATAGAAACTTTTGAAAATTAAATGGTAACGCATATATGTCGTTAACTTTTAAAATTTGTACTAAAAATGTTGACAGGTCGATAACCAGTTTTGGACAATTATTTTTAAAGTTATAAGAGTTTAAAAGTTAGGATGGGAGGGGAAGTGCGGCTGGGAAATGCGCGCAGATAAAAATTATATCTATTGCACTCCATCTTTTCTCCTGCCCTAAACTTGAAAATTGTTAGTATATTATTCTCAATTTAAAAAGTTAATAAAATGTATTAAACCGTTAAAAATTCGCAAGTTGCTGTCAAAAAAACTTAGTTGGAAGGGAGGTAAAAAAACAAAAAAAGTTGAGATCCATTGTATAAAAACAGTTTAATTTCTTATTATACCCTATGATAACTATCTCATAAATAAATAAATAAATATCTCACTCAATAGAGTGGTCCATGATAAAAAAAAATCCTCCTGTATATCAGACAAAATTAGTTGCAATAGTTAAAAAATTAAGTTAGCAAAAAATACAATAATAATGTTAAGAAAAAGGATGAGCATTCTGCATTTTACATTATATTATGAACTAGATAAATGTTTGTGAATAATATTAAGTGTGTCATTATCATATCCTTAAGACGGATATATTTTTATTCTCGATAAACACTTTTTGTAACTCGGTGAATAAAAGACAATATAATTAAGGTTGTTTATTATTTACAGTTGAATACAATTATTTTTCAATTTTATTCAATTTCAGTTCCATAAATGATAAATTAAAAAATACCTATTCTTTGGTTCGTGTCAGATGTAAAGTTGTTTTGAACGGTTTTTTATTTATAAACAAATTATCATGTTAAATCTTATTAATTTGTTTTGTCAATCGGTTTAAATAGTTTTGCTATTTAATATTACAGGAACCCTACTACTTAGAACCTGTAAGTACAATTTATTTAGAGGGTGACCCTTTAATAAGAGCCATGTCTTTAGTTAATAGCCTATCAAACAGTGAGGAGTGTAGTTAGTAGTATTTATACTATTAGTAGTAATTAATTTATATCTTTTTATAAGTATATATGTAGGTGTGTTTTATGTCTATTTTTTGTCAAAAAGCTGAATAGCGTTTATACCTAAAATAAATAAATACAAATAAATATGAGGGGTACTCACCGAACTGTCCAGACCCAAGTTCAGCAACATCATGAAAAATATCAGAGCCCAGAACACCGATCCGGGCATGGCGGCGATGGCAGCGGGGTAAACGATGAACACCAGACCAGGTCCTTCGGTGGCCACGTTTTGAATTAGCCGACCGGACACGTGAGACATATAACCCAAAACGGTGAAAATCACAAAACCCGACAAGAAGCTGGTGACGGAATTGCACATGATCGCCAAGTACGCGTCTCTGTGTGGACGACGAACCACAGAAAAATTGCAAAAAAAAAAAAATAACAATAAACACATTTTATTAGATTATTAGCTGTTATTCAAACGGTATAACTGCAGCGAGCTTTGTGCATTTACCTTAGTACGTTGTTGTGGTATTTATTGTACGAGGCGTAAGCCAACAGCACACCGAAACCGGGGCCGAGTGAGAAAAACACTTGTGTAGCCGCATCGACCCAAACCTTTAAAAGCAACATTTTTGGCCATATTAATATTGGAAAAAATTACCTATTTAGCGCGCAAAAAAAAAATGATAATGAAGATATTTTGTCAGCGATCGTTCTTTATTTTAATTTGAGCTTTTTTATTTAAAAAAAAAAAAAACAGCACAATGGAAAAGGAGAGGTCACATATTATGTCTCCAGGTTTATATTACAACTAAAAGTGAAACGTACACTTTAAAATGAACGCTTCGATGTACGACTATAGATAATGAAAAAATATTAAATTGAAATTGAAATTAATGGTTAGACACTTAACGTGTCTAACGTACGTTTTTATTATGGCGTTATATTTTTTTTTTTTACTTTTTCTCAATAAAAAATGTGTGGCTACAGATTTTTTTTCTAACCATAACGTAGATATTATGTGTTTTAAAGGCTTTTCAAGATAAACACTTAACATTTCGACCTTTCGGAAATTCATTATATTGTATTAAAAACTACCTAACGAATATATTAAAAAAAAAAAATTACAAGATTACTTTTATTTAAAAATAACGTTCTTGAGTTAAATTCAACCTCTTGTGTACATGGAAAAATACTGATTGTTAACGGAATAACCAAATTAAATGTGTTTGAGAATATTATTGTAAATCACTTTGGACAATATTTTTTTTTTTGGATATTTTTACCGAGCACCTACAGTTGTACCGAGCAGTTGTGTGGTAGGCGCATAAGAAACAATAAAATATAGAATACTATATATTCTTTAAAAAATTCTGACATGTGTATAATATAATGCGCATAATATTATATATAAATGTAAAATATTATGTACATTATATTATACACCGTCATAATGTGTTATGGAATTCAAGGAGTGTATGATATCACGCGTACGGATGTAATATTTTTCAGATTAGTTGTGAAAGAAAATATAAAGTACACGTATGCTTAGACCACCGTTGAGTGGTCAATATGAAATTCCACACGAAAATGAAAATCTCATTTGGACACGACAATTCCATTTCCTCGATGGGTGCTCGTAATGGACACTGCTTTATAAGTCGTAATGCCAAAGGAATACATAAGCAGGCACTGTACATATATCCCCATTCTCCCACACAATACAAAAAAAATATATATATATATAAATAATAAATATATGTATATCTAACATACTGTTGCTGTGCGAAAATATTATTATTATTATTATAGCACCTATTACTCTCTGAGTAGGAGACCTGCACTTGGATTGCCATAAAAAACCAATATATTAAACGGATCTTTTTAATATCATATTATAACCATGAACGCGGTTTGTCATAACCAATAAAAAAAAAAGGTAACATATTATAAATTGTAAAATTATCCTTAATAATACCTTAAGTGAACAATATAATCCGACATTTTATTTAAACATGTATTCGGAAAATGATACACCGGTACTATACTGGGTTTATTTTTGTACAATAATCATAACTGATGTAATTTAGAAACAAATACAAAAATGGCAGATAAGTTTGCTTGAAGACTTAATTGACAAGTGTTGTTAATTTCTAATATTTTAGCGAAACACTAATGAATTAATGCGAACATAACGATAATATTTTCATAATAGCGCTGTTTTAGGGTAAGCTTTAGAATATTATATAAAATATTTTCAAAAAATCTGTATTCAGAACATTTATTTTTAATAAGAAAAAAACTAAAATCAATTATTTTCATACTAAAAAACTAACAACGTCAATGTGTTATTGTACACACTTATTGTGTACAACATTATTTATACTTTGTACTTTTTACCATCTGTAGCTTCGCATCGAAGGGTTTTATTAGAAAGTGATTTTACCACTTTCAGTTAAAATAATTACTCAAGGTCTGTGACCTTTCTCACTCCACTATTTAATATCAATTTTGTTTTGGTTAGTTAAATAAAAATGTAAATACCTAGCTACACATATTAAATGATTAAAATAAGTACATTCTTTAGATGTATATCAGTAGGTATACCTGTCTATTGACTAATTGTTTTAATTTAATAACTATACACCAACAAGAAAATATATTATATTAAACAGTTATTAGTATTTCAAATAGTCAATACGTTTCTATAATAACATAATTATATCTTACCTCAGGTTTGGCAATCATGGAAAAGTTCGGATAAAGGTAGTATCTAACGCCTTGGGCGGAACCAGGTAATGTAATTCCTCTGATCAGTAAAAATATCAACACCACATACGGAAACAACGCGGTAAACCAGACAACCTGTACAAAGCAATGTGCTATGTTTTAGACACATTCAATTCAAAACAACCACGGTCTACCACCGTTGTTACTGACTTTTCCCGATGTCGAGATGCCTTTCCACAGACTAAAGTAACATATCAAGTACACCAAGAACAAACAGCCCGCCATGTCCCATTTGATGTATCCCAAGTCGTGAATCCCTTCGCTGTGATTTAACTCCAATACTTTGCGTCTGAAAATACAAGGGGGGGGGGGGGTTGAGTAACGGTTGTAATTTAATCAAACACTATACACAATATTATATTATAACGGTATTTTATTTGATTATGTTTGCCAGCCAGTAGCGTGTTTATTTGCTTGATTACTCACAACCAGTATTCCGAAGAAGCAGACGCTAACCGCGAATCGTTTGCCAACAGTGTAACGTTGTCCACATAGTTTGTTTCGTTTGACCATATTGTCATCTAAAGAAAACCGCACACGATAGTAATAAAGAGGCGCCAAGTGCTTTGTCATTAATAATATGTTGGTATAATGATAATAATATGGTTATTATTACAGGCTGACAGAACACGGTATTCCAGTCGTTGTCGCACGTGGTCCACGGAAGGATGTCGGTAAACGAAGCCAACAGAAATCTCAGAGCCCATGCTATAATCACATTGTAGTAGAAGTCCACGTAAAACGCTATTAAAACCACCGAATAACCAATGCCTAAGAAAATATTAACATTGATATTAATATTTAAAACGTTTTGCTTCAGTTTTGTCTTGAAATCATTTTCTAAAACTCATTATTTCCCCTGTAAACCATATACTTTATATGTAGCCTCATTTACAAATTGAATTATCTATTTTATCGGATTTGACGGTAATTTAATTCCTTAATTAATATAATATATGAACACGTTTATTGCCAAAAGTTATTATTTGCAGTAATACACTTATAGGTAATATTAACCGCTTGTTATCTACATACCGGTTTTCATATAGGTAGTAATTGTCTATATTTTAATACTAAGGTTAGAAACAGTTTTAATATGTTAAACGAAAACGGTAAATTATTTATTGTTTACCAAGTTTGTTTTAAAATTAAAAACGAAAATACAAAATTCGTTATGAATAAAACCGTAATGATTTTTTTTCCAGAAATAACCAACTTAAATCCGAATATTTTTTCTTCGATATTTTCACTTGACTTAAAGCATAGGTAGTTACTAGTTACAATAATAACTTGGAGTATAGAGCAAAAAATTGCATGTTATATCTATATCTGTAATATATTTTTCTTTTGTCTTATTATCTTTTTTCATAAATATTAGTTTATAGTTAATTTGATATTCTGTACTTTGGGCTGCGGCCCGTATTGAAATAAAATAAAATAAAATAATTGTTCAAGTAATTTTAAACAGTGTTGATATTAAGTTTTGGAAAATATAGGCTACTGTATAAAATATGGGTACTCACCTTTGAACAGAGGAACAAGTCTGCCCCAGCAGGTTATAGCGCCCGTTTGATAGAATTGTCCAAGTGCAAGTTCCATGTAAAACAAAGGAATTCCGCCGACCAGCAACATCGTACAATATGGTATTAAAAAGGCCCCTAGAAATATATATTTGATGCAATGATACGCTCGAGAAGAGATATCAAACGCAAAACGATACTATTTTCTTGGACGGCGTATCAAATAGGCAATATCGATACAGTTGGGCATAGAAAATACTATAAAATATTATGAATAATATTATAATGCAATCCCTTCGACAATTTTTCTACATGAGTGGTAATTATATTTTGATTTATAAAACCTATTTATATAAGACATTTGAAAAAGACAAGTAACATGTCAATTTTTATTGGTTTATTATTCAAAATATTGTCACATGAAACACTAATAATATGATTAAATGTATGTTTAAGCCACAAACGAGAGTTTATTAAAAGTGACCAGAAATAGTAATATTAATATTTATTTTATAAGAGACCATACTAATAGTCATATGATAATATATACATATTATCATATGACTTTCATTACTGTAGCCAACAAAGTTGAAAATTTTAATCATTGACCCGTGTAGACTGTAATGATGTTATAAGACAGTTGAAAACTATGGGTGTATATAATCATAAGCTTGTAAAGTATAGAGTTGCAAAATGTTAAAATCATAATAGCTTGAGTGCCGAGTGTGAGTTTCATTAACAGCCGGTTGATAATATTTAATAAGCTAGAACGACGCTGCATGGTATATTTCGATTCTGTAGTGTGTGTGATGTGACAAAGTGATTTTAAATTGAATAAACACCGTGCATGCATCGCTGCTATAAAGCTATTGTAATATTACGTTGGACGGTATATCGGGGGTGCGACTCGTGAACAAAGTTAAATACACCTTATAATTATTGAAGGCGAATCGGTATAAAGTAAAACCAAAAGGTGACAAAGGGCTTTTGCGAATATCAAGTTAAAATAATTTCCGCAGCATTATCGCGGCACCTGCTCTTTTACGCGCAATAAACTGCTGCCACTTTGTAATTAAAACCATTCAGTTGGCTTTTGTAGATTTTAAGTACAATATCCTTCCAAGAGAAGCGCGTGACATTATTATTTACATCGTATATCATCAGCGAGTATAAGTCAAAATACTACTAGCTTTGGCTGTTTTACGCCAAATTCTAGATTTATACTTGAAAGAAACTATGGTGTTTTGGGGGAAAAAATATGTTTGAAATTATTTTGATTATTGTTTCAATAAATCGACACAGAATAAAGATATAAGTAGGATAATATAATACTGTAAAAGCGTAAAACCAATAATTTTTTTTTTTTAATAAATCCGAGTAGAATCATATTATATTTTGTAGAGACTATACCACTTGCTAAGGAGATTTATCCAATTTATTGGAATGAAAATAAAAGAAAGAACTTCGTGTAAGAGGTTTATCGCGTTTAACGAAATAACTATTGAATAAAGGACAATACTAAAGAATCACGGTTGAACGGTATATTATAGGTAATTGAACAATAATCGCTCAGCAGATATGACTTAGAAGAATGGTTTTATTATTGCATCGTGTATTACAGCACTTGCCAATAGGTTCCACCATCTCAAAAACATTTTAGGGTTAAACCCCGATTATAGGGTTTCTATTTAACAACGAGTTAAGCTATTTTCTTAGGACTAAACATAGTTGGCTCAGATATTATTATTTCTAAGTACACGATTTGTTTAAGATAACGCTGTTAAAACGCATCTAAGTGCTTTTGATTTACTGTCTGAAATGGTTTAGAATATTATACTTTCAAACAAAGGCATAGAAATAATAAATAGTTTGTTATTTAAGTGCGAATAAACGTTTTTTTAATTACCAATATGTTGTATAGTTCCTATCTAAAAATTATTACAATATGTACCTACTACAAAATATACATTTCCTGCATTATAATTGTCTATTATGGCTGTTATTAAAATCCTACAATGCGTTTAACCATTGAAAAAACAAGAGTTGTTGTAATTGAAAGAAAGCTTCAATTAGTTTGGCCGATTATGTATTTATGAGCTTACAAAATTTAGAATAGTTGGAAATGAAATTATGGCGATTGTTTTTCCCTTATACTTAGATATTTTAGTTAAAAATATTCACTATTAGGGACAGTGCAGATCTAAAGCTATTTTTTCTCCCTTAAAGCCAGGAGGGTTTAATTAAATATCACAACAAAGATCATACGAATTCGACGATTTATGTCCACACACACACACACCTTTTGATAGCGGTGATAACCAGCTGAAAGGTAGAATTTCTGGAGGCCATATCTATATAATGAATCATTTCCGTATGTTCGAACATTATTTCCGGCCACTAACACAATTTCCTCATTTCCCGTAGGAAGTCCTTTGATCAACTCCGAACCACCCATCTCTATACCGAGCGCCAGGAACACAGGCGTCCTTCTAGACATGCTAATATAATGTGTGCAGTGCGCCTTTTTCCCAGTACAATAGTTTAAAAGATTCATAAAAAAAAAAAAAAAATCCCAAAAATGTCTCCCTTTTAATATTTGTTATATTTTGTTTATTGGCTATAGGCAAAAATATCACCCGAACACAATGTGGCCGTTGCGATATTTATCAAAATAATATTATTTATAACGTAATAAAATGTGCTAAAAAAAAATGTATACTTATATAATATATATTATATATTTATTTATATTTCATACTCCAAAGTATCAGTGGAACACGGTTAAGGTAGAACCGTGACCGGCCGGCCATGGTCCGTCGAGCACTTTATGGATATGCCGTGTAACCGTGTTGATAAATCACTTTTGTCACTTGTGTACTTTTTGAGTATCTATTGTTTTAAAACGCAACACGCATTAACTCACTTCGGGTTATTAGCCATATTTTTCAAAAGGGGAAGGTGTATACTCTAATTAATGTGTCCTATTGAAAATTGAAAAACCAACATTTCTGCTGTGTAATGTGCTCTTGAAAATAACTGCAAGGGTGAATATTCACTCGACGCCATGTTATTATAATAATTAAGTACCGCGTACTTTTAAAAACAATACCGTTATAACGTGTCAGAAATATCATACTTAATCAAATACATGTACAATGATTGATACTATTCACAACTGCCTACTGTTTTATGTTTTTTAGCGTCGATGCACAACACCAAGAAGACATTGATTTCACATATTATTTTTAGCGTTTCGGTTTATTCGAATTATTCTTCTAAACGTTGATCTTAAGGTATTACTTAACTTACTAGGTTTTACTGACCATTTTTTAAATTCTATGTACAATTATTATAGTATAATACTGGAAACATTTTTAACATTTACACAAACCTGCAACTGTATTATACTTTGCATTACTATCGCTTGTTACTTTTTGAATATACATTGTGATGTATAATTTTTTTTTTCTTAGCAAATTGGTTCTTTATGGATGTCCATTATTTTAAATCCTTTTTTTTTTTTGACAATGCGAACTAAGCTATATACGTTTTAAAAAACCTTTTTACTGCATCGCGCACATCGTCGGAGATTGAGTAAGAAAATTGTCATCAGTTCCGGTGCACTCATCTTCCTTATTTTATTCTTCGATTCTCTTTTTTTTACGTTTTAAACGGTTTATCTTTTTTTCCCCTTCACATTTATTGTATACTTAACTCCAACGAGAGGTCCGCAAAGAAGCTTACAATAGAACGTCCTTTAGACTGAAAAAAGTACCCACAAAAGAAAAAAAAAGTGATTCCGTTCAATTTTCCAAATCCATTTTAACGAGAAATAAGAAAATTATAATGTATTTTTAACTAGCGTTACGGCCACAAATTATTATTTGCCAGTAATTTCACCAGTTGCAGATTTTCCTAAAGCGTTTATAGACTCAATTAATTTTATCACTTGTACATTTTTACTATAATATACAAATCAGACAGCTATCATTGTTTTTTAACTTATAGTTTTAATTATGGAATATAACCGGTTTTGTACTTGTTAAGTAAAGGTTTTTTTATTATTTAATAATTTTTTTTATGAGAATTTTCGGCCATTACATCTTATGTAGTAATTTAATATTTACATCTTATGTAAAAAAACATATTCGTAAATATTGAATAAATTATACTGACGAATAACAAATGATAAATAATTTGAAACGAAGAAAAATACATTTTTGCTATAAATATGGGAATAACAGATGATTAATTAAAATATATATTTTTATTTATCGCTTCATTTGTGCAAAACATTACCAGAATAATACCAAACTTTGCTTGCAATCATCATAGTTTTAAAAAGTATAACTATATTGTGAAAATGATTGATGTTATTTTAATAAATAAACCCATTTTTATCAAAATGTATGCCTGTAAATTGTCCATGTTGGACATTTATATGATTTATTTCAGGATACTCAACGCCTATTTTAAGTATCTTTTTTTTTTCATTCTAAGACTACAGATTTGGTATCTGAATTAATTTAAACAAGTATATATCTCATAGATAAATCAATTATATAGGTAACACTTGCTTACCTCCTCCGTTTTTGTAACATAGATACGGGAATCTCCACACGTTGGCCAAGTCCACGGCGAATCCAATCACCGACATGAGAAAATCCGTTTTGTTCGACCACTGTTCCCGGCCGGGTCGCCGACGACGTTCCGCCGACTTGACCACAGGCACTTCGGCCATTTCCCCATCTCCGCCACCATCCTCTTCGTCCATGGCCGCCACTTGCACAGCTATCTGCCCCGAAGCAGTAGCGCCAGCACCAGCACCTATCCTCCGGCTCGCCTGTCAAACGTTTATTATTAATAATTCTGTACCCATTTGGATGCAAAAAAAAAACCCCACTGTCATTGTACCCAAGTCGATCCGCTAGACACGAAAAATTAACTCATACTTAATACACTGTAAACAAAAAAAAAAGCCTAGTACAGTGGGGTCGGGCCATAGTGGGGATGGAGATAGGTCACAGGTCAAAATCACTTTTAAAATTGTGCCACGACCGAAGCCTTGAAAATGTTTTGAAGAATTCAAATATTTGTTCAAAACTTAAATTGAGTATTCTTAGGAACAGTACAGTTTGAACTAGAGGCCCCTTAAGGAAAAACCAAAAAATAGGGGAAAATTACATTTTGACCGTATTTGGTTTTTAGGTTGTATGTGTGGTACATACTACCTAAAGATTCGCATCGAATAGTTTATTTAAAATTATTTTCAGTTGATTAATTATTTCAATATAAAAAAATGCAATTTTTAACTTTTTTCAACTGAAATAATTAATTAACTGAAAATAATTTTAAAGTTGTGCCACGACCTATGCCTTGAAAATGTTGTGAAGAATTCAAATGTTTTTTTAAAAATTGTATTCTCAAGGACGGTACTATGTATGTTTAAAAATGTTAGCTTTATGTTAAGTTTTAGCGAAAATTGCCTATATACAATGCACCTTAGCTAGTATAGAAGCTCCTTAATAAAAATAAAAAAATGTTTGACTTCAGATTTTTAAGAAAATTGTATATAACATGTTTAGATCCATTGCTACCTTTCGTGCTAAGTTGAAAAAAATGTACATTTTCCGGTGTTTTTTCTCGATTTTTAAAGGGAAAGGGATGAATTTTTTCAAAGTTCCCGTCTAATAAAGTACCTTAAAACCACGAATTGTACAAACTGTACTTAAATTGTAAATTGTAATTATTAGATTAGTAATAATAATTCTTTTTAGGTAGTTAATTTATTTTTCAGAATATCGCAGCGTCTTTGTCATCGATTTTGAATATTTTTTTCCATTTAAACATAGTTTGCTTATTCCAAAAACACGGCCTACTGGGTGGTTTTAGAGTAAAAGTTCCAATTATAAATGTTGTAGGTGAGAACTATTTCTATGTTTTGTTGAAAAAACCAATTATAAATAGTTGGGGTTTAGATATGGAACAATATGACATAAAGAAAGGGCATATTTTTAATTATTCAAATGTATGTATCTTAAAATGAAAATCTAATTCCAACAGAGCATATTTAAAGTTATCATGTTTCAAACAATTTATAATTTATATCCCTGTGTGCATTGTAGACTTAATACCATTGGAAATACAAAAGTACTATTTTGAGGTGCGACGTCCCCACACGAAGCTGCCACACAAAAAAATCGGTTCAGTGGCTTAAACGGATATCGTGGGTGCAAACACAAAAATATAATATAAATAAAAACACATCATTGTAAATACAATACCTCTTCTCAGCTATCGCATCAAAGCTAATATGTCACCGTCGAGGCAAAAATCGAATAACTTATAGTTTTGTAAACCTCATTTACCAAAAAATTACAAAAAAGGAAAATTGGCTCAGAAGTTGTTGCCCGTCAAACATGTGCGGCAATTATTATTGAATATTACCTATATAAAATGTCATTCACATTTTTAAAAAAAAAAAAATGTTTTCAGGAGACGGTTAAAGCCCTAAAGAGGGAACACTTGACTAAGCTGTACACGTTTCATTCAACTGTCAACACAACACGCGGTTACTGTCTACTGGATAAGTGCGACGGGCATGGTGTTAATTATTAAGCAATTATAAACAACAATAGAAACGTTCCAAGTAGGAAACATTGTGGGGTCTACATTGTTTGACTAATAAACTTTCAAACAAATCAAAATCTAAAAACCCATCAATGATAAATGGCCTGCATACAATATTTGCACAACGACGATTGTATTGGAGAAACGGATTTACCTATTCGAACGGTGTCGGATTTTTTCTTAGGGAAATTTTACAAAGAAAAATACAACAGTGAAGTCACCTGGTTTCGAGAACTATGTTTTTACCCGTAGTGATAAAACCACTAAATAAAAAATATACAAGTCACCGTGCTGTATGCACTCTGTTGCAGATTAGGATTTTGTTTTTGCTTTTATGTGTAGCACTCACACCCATAATGGTATTTTTAGTGTTGGAGTTTGTCTGTCTAGATTTACCTGCAATCTAATTTTCAGTTCTTACCTCCACAATCTACGCTCAGGGCCTATGATATTTACTTGGGTTTTCATTGTTCATCGGTAGTACTATAATATAATATATTATCTAAATAACATCCCACACAAATTTGGAAATAATTCTACTATTTTTCAACTTTAATTTTTATAAATATAATATTAACTATATCGAAATGTTAAACATAAAATTATTTTTGTTGACCTGGAACAAGGATGAAATGTCCCCCCAAAACAAGAGAACGTTTCATTATAATATTAAGTAAAGTGTAATACTATTAAAACTAATAAATAGGAACTTAAACTTTATTTTTTTTTCACCTAACAAACTGTTTTTTTTTTTAAAAGCCTTGGGTTTTCTCGATGATTCGACTTTTTTATAAATAGATACAAAATACATTTTGTCCAATTGAAACTCGAAAACAACATATACAATGTAGATAAACAAACTGTTGTGCTTATTTAAATAAACATAATTATTGGTCAGGCCACGAGGGTAAGATTTACACTCAAGAGAGCCAGGGGGAAATTTTTAAGTGAAAGTGGTGAATTTTTTTTAATGTTTAGAGCCCAATAATGTCATTATTCTGGTAGGTAAGATTCGGACACAAATACATAAAAAAAAAAAAACAAAAATAATGAACTAGAGAGAGTCGTGCATCATTCGAATAAAACGTTATCTAAATAACCATCATGAATTCAATAACACATTATTCATAACTCAATTAATGTTAAGAGGGCGTCGCACCGGTGATTTTCAGTGGTAAAAACATGTTTACGCCAACTGAAAATAACTCGCTTAATTTTGGTTTTAGAGTAAAAGCACCCATTATAAAATTAAAAGAAAACAATATTTTGAAGGGCGAAACGGTACGTTTTTTAAAAAAAATTATTTTTTTGAAAAGTTACAGTCATTTAAATATGTTAAAATAGTCGTTATTTCTGAACTATGTATTGACTGTTATACTTGGAATAATGAAAAAAAACGCACCGTATTGCCCTCTGGAATATTGTTTTCTTTTAATTCTATAATGGGTGCTTTTACTCTAAATCCAAAATTAAGCGAGTTATTTTCAGTCTGCTTAAACATGTAGAGATGAAAAAACATTTTAAAAACGCTTTCAAGCATGCTGTGATAGTCCGAAAAATAAACGAACTACCTACCAAAATAGAGACCTAGTTATTGAACAAATAATTACACATCACAGTGTAACCTTTAAATTAAATTAATTTTGTGAAAAATTGCCTATACTTTACTCCTTAAAAATAGGCGGTGCGACGCTCTCTTAACCGAATGTAAAATCGACTGTTGGTCGAAGAATTATTATTCAAATTTAAATATTTTATCGGAACGATAGAACGATCCGCACAACTGTGATTGTAAAAAAAACAACATTTTGTTTTTGTTTTTTAACGGTTAAAAAAATTGCATACCTGGTGCCTCGCGGCTTGCTGGATACTCGCCTCCGGAGCATTAGCACACCCGCGTAGATCGGTGGCCGCGTCAAGATCAAATAAGGCGCGAGATGGGCAAAATTATTATTGTTTCCGTCACCAGGCTTTGTGCATGTTCGTTTCAAGCCGACCAATCGGATCGGTGCAAATCATCATCACGGCGCGACGCTTGCGTGTTACGGCCCAACCATTAGGTACAACAATAATATTACACGGACAGGACCACCACAGCTGCATCGGTCGGTTTTTTTTATTATTTTTTTATTAAAGTAAAGTACACGTATTCAAAAAAACGGCACAAACATGCATGCATGTATATGTGTATAATGTAAATTATTCAACATAGTACTGTTGGGTACTACCTCCTATTAAACGCACTGTAAAAAGTCCACCTAGTACAGCAACCATATACGTTCAGTTTAGAACTTGAGCGCTTTGGAATCAGACTCTACTAACGGCGGTACACATTGATATGTAGGTATACCTACTTGTATTAATATAATAATAATATACATTATATTGAAACGATTATTTTTGTTGACAGTATCCACCGGGGTCGAGGTAATTAATATATTTTTATAATTATATCGAATAAATAACGTGCACTTGGAATAACATATTCGGTAAAGTATAGTCTAGACATATACCTATACACAATTAATTAGATATAGGTATATGTGCATAATATAAGCTTTAGTTTTAATCGTTAACTCGTATTAAAACAATATTACAATATACAAATCAGTGACTTTATGCGAATCCATAATTTTCGGTCCGCACAATTTAGAACACTTCATATATTTGAATACTACAATTTTTCTTATTAATAATATATTATAAATTCCGAAATGCGATCATTAGCTGTTATACGTTTAGATAACTTAATGAGATATTATGGAAAATATAAAAATGTATTATTAATGGATCAACCATTATAGTGTCGTGTGGGCAATATACTTGGATGTCTTGTAATGGGGAAAATGATTTTAATCATTTTATTTGCCAACATTATCAGTTACATCACAATTTTTAATTGTACGGTTTAATCAACAAAAAAAATCTGTAGCAACAATACAAGTACCATATTGTATAGGTTGATAAACAAACAAAATCAATATATTAATTACACTAGCTTTAATATTATAAGATCTATTATATTGTATTATCTTATAAGTAACACGACTGAGGTTTAGTCGACCAGTAAAATAATCATTTAAAAGTTGTATTTAATTAAACAACAAATATAACATAGCATAGACACGGTACCGTTTTTTTGGTGACGTGTATTTGTTGGTGAAACGGTTGTTTTTGAGTTGAAATTTCAAGGTGAAAAATTCTATAATGTAGTATACCATATTACACAAATAATCTACTACAATAACATTTCCTAGTCTTTAATGTTATACAAAGAATTGTTTGACCAGCTTTTAGTCCCAAATCGATTTCTTACATACGTTTCTTATATAGATAGTTAAACTGTACTCTATCAAAAGTCTTGCGTACCTACCTAAATAATAAATACACCCTTTTATGTATCAAATGATACCATTACAGATTTAAAAAACTTTTTTTGTAAACTAAGTAGCAACATTAGAATAAAAATACCATTAATCTCTTCTAATCATATTCCTGCGGTAACCCCGAAAAATGTCTTAAAAGGCGGTGGTGTCGTCTCCTGCTTGCTTTATAAAAAAAAATACATTACTAATAATTGTTATCACATTATTTTATTATATTTTATATAAAAAAAATATATATATTAGATTGTTTTGCGCTAGTATGAGTATCATCACACACTATATGAAAATAGTTAGTCATTAAGTCTGTGGCATTACATTATATTTATAGAAAACATATAATACAGTTATAGCCACACTTTAAGGTTAGATAGATAGTTGATTTAAATTAGTATTACAAGTCACAAATATTTAAAAACGGATTAGGTACATATTTAAACTAATTTGGTCCGATTAAATAAGCTCACACATAAACTTATTATTTTCATTTTAGTAAAATTATAATGATCATTGATACAATGGTAGACGTATAATTAATTAATACTTATGACAAAATATATATATTATTTTTTTCGTTTAAAATTTGTCGAATAATGTTTTGAATTTCCTACTTTTTACTATGGCCATGAAAATAACTAGTAGGTATGATTTATGAATAATTTCAATAAACGATCAGACCGCACTGACTGACAGGGTTTACACAAGAATACAATTTTTTTGATATTGTTTTATCAATATTCAATTGGTTTCCTCTGCGGTTTCAGACAAATTATAATTTTTTCTTTTTACATGGAACAATACATCAAATGTCAATTGACAGTGACTAGTTCATGTCAATGTCGGAAAGAACTATTATTCAACATATACGTTAATGTCCAGCCTTGACAAAAGTAATAAAACATAATGTCTCTAGATTTCAAGATGTATCTAGTAATCACATAAATTGTAGTTTGTATAAGCCCTGGGTACTAATAGGTATAATATTAATACCAACGACTATTTATTTTTGATGGCATATAGTACCTACTTAAACAAAGGACTTGAGTGTTGCTGGTTTAGTATAGGTTCAGTTGGTTTGCAAATTATTTGGTAAATGACAGTGTTTTTATCGTTCCTTTTATAAAAGATATACTTCCAATGCTTTGTTCACTCTATAAGTCATTTTATCCTCCTTTCCTTATAAAGGACACTTGTTCGTTCCCAGATTTATAAAAAAAATATATATATTAATAATAATAATACTTAGTTTTTAAACAAATTTATTTTGTAGGCTAAACAATTTGTTTTTAATTTTTCCCTCAAGTATTTATATATATATATATATTTTTTTTTTTTTACTAAGCAGTGTTATCTTCAGATTTTTCTGGTCACACTAGCTTAAAATTAATTCTAAAACTACTAAATAATAATTAATTAAACCTCGAAATTCAACAAAGACTACTTAAAAAGTTGTTTTTTATTTCAAATGTGTATAAACTAAGTAGGTATATGTTTGGAAAATGGATGTACATTTTTTCGCATATGAGATTTTTAAGCTTAAGACACTGCACTTGTCTAAACATGACCTATTTTTCCCCATTAGTTTCAAAAGTGCTAACAATGTAATATAATAACATAGGAATACATTTTTAGTTGAATTGTATTTTTTGCTAGTTTTTTGTTGTAAGATTCTTGTGTCAGCAGCATCTTAAGCACAAAACATAACATACATTTTTTTTGGAGAAGAGGGGGGGGGGTAAAATAAGTTTTAAACAGTTATTTCATTTTGAAAAACAACACTGAGTAGTTGATTGTAACGATAACTGAAAAAACATGTAAAACCCTTATAATATCCAAGTAAAAAAATATTCACTAAGTATAAAAAAAATGTATCAAGATTTATGCCGACAATTATAATATTTATAACTACCTGAGTGTATATTGTTGCATACATTTTTGTTGCTATGAAATACAAAAATTAGTAAAGAAACAACCAGATAAGTCCAGTTTCTAAAATTGTTTAAGTAGATTAAAATAAATCTCTTTACCTGATTTACTTCCATTTTGGGGGGGGGGGGAATGCGTTTTGTATTTTTATAGTAATAATCCAATTCCACTGTATGTTACACCAAAGTTTAGATAATTTTTCCATAAAAAAAAACAATGGACTTGTAAGGTTGTTGGTCCAAGCTCTTTAATTATAGCATAAATTATTACATCAAATTAAAAACTGTCGATTAAACAAGCAAAGTAAAAATTTATAAAAAAACCTAAATAAAAAGAATAAACAATTTTTTGTTTCTAAATAATTGTACAAGCTTAATTTCTAGCTAAAAAAACAATTTAAAGAGAAAAATGTTGAACATAACATGTCCATTTAATGAAATAATAATATTTAAATTTAAAATTTATATTTTTTTGGACTTTAATCGCTGAATTGTAATCTGAATTCGATTTTTCTTTAGCACACGCAATTATTATTTTCATAATCAACTCCAAAATTACAACTAACAAAACAGAAATCAGAAATTTAAAATTCTCTTTTGTGTAAAAAAAAAAACTTTACAAATTCTACATTAATAATTATATGTTCAGAGAGGAAAAGATACGCTTATTTTCTTATTATATTTTTTTTGGAGTTTACTCTATTTGAAGTACATTTAAGATGAAACGTGCCAGAGAAATAATTTCGAGACCAGATTTGGATTCAACTAAAAATAAATAAATATAATTGTAATAGGGCTTTTGTTCCTTAAAAAAGTTAAATTTTTTGCTGTAAATATCACTGTGGCCTGAAATATTTTCTAAGGGAGGGCTGGACTCAGTTCCCTTTGAAAGGTTCCTCCCATTTGCGGTAACACTGGTAGATACATGGTTACTGGTTACTTATGGTACTGCGTTGTCAGGTGAATTTAAATAATATAATTATTTAAAATATTAGTTACTATTTATACTTGGTTGGTTACTGTTGGTAACCTATGCGCTGTTGGTTATCAAACTGGCGGAAATGAATAAAACGTGTGTTGGAAAAATTGGCATAATAACGCATAATTAAAATTGGACGTTAATACGACGCGGTTTGTTTGTTTATATATATTGTTTTCATGTGAACATATTTTATTATTTATATAATATATTTTCTACGTCGTATACTCGTGTAGGTCTCAGTCCTTTGTGAGTATATCCGTATATATATATATATATATATATTTAGGTATAAATTGCACACATCCGTTAAATTCGGACAGTAAATACCGACAAAGAAAGAGCTGGCCGAGTTATTATTTTTTTTTGAAGTAGTGCGCAAATGCATTAAAATTAGATTTAAACCTAACAGAACAACAACACAAGGGGTCTTTATTATTTTGTCTAACGTCATCGACAAAACGGCCAAAATCAGGCGTATCTAGTGTGTGTGTAATAATATTATCAATAATAATAGTAATGTAATATTATGCGTCGTTCATTGTATAAGCCAATTGTCTGCTTGTAATAATTGCATTTTGAAATAACAACCTTTTTGAATTGAATTAATGTGTACGAAAAACAATATTCAAATATTCATTCGGCGTGTTCTATATTTTTGCATTTAAACTTCATTGGGTCTAATGTGAGGCTATTATTTTTGTGAAATTTGTAACCCTAATTTTTGCCCCAAAAATAGAGGTTTTTAAGTAATTTTTAAAAAAAAATCTGATTCTGAAATTTTTATCATAAAACCAGAGACTCGAATCAAGTCTTTTGGTCTAATAACGGGAATGGGCCGAGATTTATTTATATATTTTTTTCAACAATGAAAATTTTTTGTTTTTTAAACCTGAAAAAAATGTATAAGTCGCATTTATCATTTGTTTACTCCCATAATATGCAAAAAATCAAATTATACCGAGACATGTTTTATTTTAATTTAGTTTTTTAAATAAAAAAACCAAAATTATACATTTTTTTTCGGATTTAAAAAAAAAAATAGAAATAAATCTCGGCTCATACTCCTGTTGTTAGACCAAAAGATTTGATTTGTGTATCTGATTTTATGATAAAAATTTCAGTATTTTAAAACGGGTCGAAATAGATTTTTCGTGAAAAATAACATTAAACAAAAGCTCTGTTTTTGGGATAAAAACGAGTGATGAAATTTTTGAAAAAATCAAGGTCTTATAATCATAGGTGCAAATACGGGGGGCTAAGGTGGGCTTAGCCCTCCCAATGCTAGACATAGCCCCACCAAAAAAAAATAGGTTATGCATACCTACAATTTTAAAATACAAAATTATATTTACTTATATATATATAATTTAAAACAAATTCCAGCCCCCCAAGTTAAAAATTGAAATTGCGCCTATGCTTATAATATTAGACCAATAGAAGTTTAATAAGTTTAAATTTCGACGATAGACCCCATATGTATGTTTTTGAAAATTTCGAGTTACACCACTTTTACAGATAATCGACCTACATATTATACATCAGTATGTATATTTTGAATATTTGTAAATAATCGCGGGCTTGGATCAGTATTATTATCGCAAATTAACACCGAGTGGAGAGAGGACACGTAAACCGTTTTATATATTATCATATAATAAGAATATTGCACAGATAGGAGGTGGATGTCGCTTTATCAGCTGCTGTGCTCAGTGCCACAATCATTATTACTGTATACTATATAAATACTACACCTATATGTGTGTATTCAAACATTATACAGTAGCTGCTGTCCGCTCTGTCGTTTTGCCACTATTATCGCGTTATCAACGTTGGACGTTCACTGTACTCCGTTCCAACTCACAACAAATAATAATAATAATAATAATAATATTATAATATATTTTAACTTGGCAGGTACACTCAAAACTTAATATTTTACCTACAGTTGTTGTTGTTATTGTTATTATTATTGTTGTTGTTGTTGTGATTGTCGTTTCTAGTCCGTTAGTATTCGCATAATTTCTACGGTTTTTTTTTTCAACCGACAATTTTTTTAGACATTTACTTTTTTGCAATCGACCCGCCGTCAAGTATAATATAATTACATTGGTTATAGTAGGTACGTTTAGTGTAATTTTTATTTCCACAATTTGTTCATATCCGCTAATCGGCACTTGTTCGCTGAACCCATATTGTCGTCACGGTACCTACTTAAGAAGGTGCGTAACATCCAGATGTTTTTCGACACACACACACCGGACGTTAATAATAATAATAATAATATCCGTGTCAGGTTTTGCACTTAAACATATTTTGGTTTGTCTTTAGAACGGTTGAAGATGAGCGACAACGATCCGTGCGAATGCTTCTGGAATCACGAGTTGTCGATGCAACGTCTGATATCGCTGGTAACGTACCATCATTTTATTTTAACCTTAGTTATTATTTTGTTTTAAGTACCTAGATCATCTAAACATACACACATTATTAGTGTGTAAAAGTTACTAATCACTACAAGCTCGATAGTACTATCATAATTGGTAACAAAAGAGAAAGTTTGTAATATAACGTGAAGTTTCTCGATTACCTGCTTTAGAAAATCTTTAAAGACCGCAGTTTTAATGGTTTTCAAAATGAAAACTAAAAAATTGCATGTTCCTATACGTGTTTGATATTCATTTAAATCAAAAATATAATTTAGAAATGTTATATCAACCGCCGTTATCAAAACTAATTTGATTCATTTGCCTTACTTATAGTAGTAGTGTATTTGCATCTGTTTAATGGCAAAAAACTAATCAATTTCATGTTTACAATTAAAAGTAATAGTTTTGACCTATTTAAAACCAACGTCGAACCTAACAAAACACAATGTAACTGGCGCCCATGTATAGTAAGTTGATATTTGATATTGCCGTTTTGGAATTTTTAAGTCTTGTCTCTAAAAAACAAAATCATTAAGGCACATTTTAACAAAAAAATTATAATTCTGCCCCTATTGATGATGATGTACTTTTAATCACTTATAATATAATATTTGTTTTAAATAATTATCATTGTAAAAACCGAAATATAGAAGGATCATTAGTAAACCTGATTTATGCTTAGTTTGTAAGTCTTGCATAATTTTTTTAACCATACGTTAATAATTATTATTACTAAAGCGCATAACCGTGTAAACCACAAAGTTTATAAAATATATTTTACATTTTTTCCTAATAAGATGAAACATGGCTTATTACCAAATTTTATTCGGTCCTTGTTAGATTCCTTTGTTAGACTTAAGTATAATAAAACGTATCTTGGAAGAGTTTCTTAAATTTAATCATGTTCTAAAAATATAAATATTTTGTGATACGTTGACTATTTTTTAATTGCTTAAAGGAAACATGTAAATATGTCAGAACATTTTATAATGTCATATTAATTGTTTCTTAGAACTGGTATTAGATGAACGCACGAGATATTTGATTTCATTGTGTTATAATAGTATTACGGTATGTTTTTCAACATTTTTAATTTGTTCATTAATTTTTTTGTTGTAGCTTCGTCAGTCGCAGTCGGCGTGCACCGATATCGACTGTTTGGATCCAGGTAATTTCAAAGAATATTTTAATGTTAATTTTTAATCTCAAATCGGTAGGTTGAGCCATAGAAAAAACAATTTTATCAGAAACAACGGACATAATATGTGAACACTGGATAATTTGAATTATGACTAGACTTACTAGTTGGTAATTGATCGGAGACATATTTTGATTTTACAGTGCAGAGATTGGACACTCCAGGAGCGTCGAACGGCGAAGACACTAACTTCATTCTACTGACAGGCGTATGGGTGATTGTCGCTTTGGTGTTGTACTTCATGCGTCCCAATCGGGCTCGTACACAAGAAGAGGAAACCAAAAAATTGCAGTTTGGCGGAACCGATAACGGCGGATCGAATGTATGTGCAAAAGCGACGTCCACACTGACGAGATGTAGCACTGATTGCAACACAAACATGTCACGGCTAAATCATTAAGGGCCATATTTATAGTTAGTTCTTAAGAATAAGCATTGCTTAAGAACTGACTATAACTACGGCCCTAAGTCTTCAAAACGTCAAATCGTCTTGTAACGTTTTGCTGTAACCCGTTTTGTGTTGCAGTTTGCGCGTGTCGAGTCGTTTTTAGAATTTTTTACCTATTATTTTTCTGTAAAATTTTGTTGGATATCTGTTTTTAGGACCCACCGCCGCCGCCGCCGTCGATGGGAGCTCAATAATTCAGAATTTTTATATATATAAAAAAAAAAAAAAATTTACATTCTCCGAGCATTTATTTTAAGCTCGTTCACTTTGAAATTCCCTTCCATTATTCCATTAAAAAAAATCATCATTATAATCTCATAGATGTTAAGACCTATCAAAGTTTTTAAATACTTGACTGACGTAATAACTGTATGCTCCAGAATTGAATAAAAAAAAAACCGGTTTTCTTGTATTCAAAAATCAAGACATCGTCATCCATACTTGGAGACTTTTTTTTTTAATCTTACGACGTTATTTTAAACTCTACCATCATTCGTCGAGTAGAAAATGTTGTTAAAATATTATACATCTTATTGTTTTGTACAGAAATATAAATGTACACATTGTGACACGTAGCGTAAAGACGTTCTTGTTTCATTATTACTATTCACACAATTTTAAGATAGTACATTTAATACTTTATTTTTTGTTGTTTTTGTAAAGTAATACTTTACACTTTTAATTTATATTCACATAATATTGTCGATTAAAAATTTCACAACATTAAATCAATAAATTGACTTAAACAGCAAACATTTCGATAAAAAAAACTTCAATGGTCAAAAGGGGTTTAATATTTTGAATATGTTTCGGGTTAATTTAAATAATTTCTTTTTTTTTTTTTTTCATAATACGTATGTTATTTTACTGTTATTTTAATGTGATTTATTTATCTTTTATTTGTTGTCGCGACCAATTTTTTTTATTGGGTTTCTTGTTTTCTTCTTTAACATCTTTTACGTACGTCTTTGATATATTATAATGTATTAACTTTAATATTAGACTGTAAGCTGCATTTTATTATAATTGTCTAGCGTAATTCTATGCAATATATATATCGAATATAAATAATAAAGATATACTTTCCACCCAAAAACAACTGTTTTCTAGTTAGTTTTCCCCCTTTACATTGTTTAGCAGTATTTTTGTAAGTCTGCATTTGGTCAGCCAGTAGTGAATGGAAGTTCAAGGAATAATGTCTTAAACAATTTTTAATTTAAAATAAGTTGTTAGGTTAATACAGAATTCCACCAATAATAATAATAAAGAATTTAAAATTGTTCAAGTCTAAATATTTGATATTACCACATAAATCGTCGTAAAGCTATTGCACAAATTAGCATTGATGATAAAAATTTTAATTATTGTTTTTCACAATTTAATTTCCAGCTAAAGTAGGAACTTTCTCATTTTTAGATGTAATATTGCAGAAAACTGTTTTTTTTTTTGAAAAGTGAATTTAGTACTGTCAAATTAATTGTTTAATAGAGTTAAACTCGGTTTACACGTAAGTAAAATAGGTCCTTACTCCAATACATACATCTGTCGAATAACTACGGTAATTTACATACCAAACGGATAAATCCAATATATTAAATATTTATATAATACATTCACCTATTCATTTGCGTTAGCACACTAATACATTATTATTATTACACAGTATATATATATATATCTTTTTTGGTATTTTACTAAAACTACAATATTCAATAGCCCTCGAATTATCATAACAATAAATACCAAAATTTGTATTACAATATTATAGTCATTGTTTTTTAAATATAAATACAGTCTATTAATATGTTATGTTAATGCAGAAAATAAATTGTACTAAAATAATAACAGTTTTAAATGAAAAAGTTTTTGTCTTTCACATAATCATGTATTAGAATTGTATTTTGAACACCTCGTTTTCATTACAAATAAATAATCGAGATGTATTGAATTAGTATTTGGTTAATACACTCGAATATTGCTCTTTAATATTACTAGACCGAACCTTTATACAATGTATCTAATTAATATTTAGAAATAAGTTTTCACTTTGGACCATCCAAAGAGAGTAGTTGACCGTTCATTCTGCGACATTACTACGATAATTAATAAAAGTTTCTAAATTTATACAATATGAAGAAGGCGAGTATAAAAAAAGTTAACATTTTACACAAAAGATGATAATAGAACTATTATGTAACGCTATTAAATAAAAATAAACTATAATTTCCTAATCAAAAAAAAAAAAAAAACTTTTTAAATTAAATTTAGTATTTGTAAAACAAGTCATAAACGAAACTAACATTAACGTCCGTTTTACGGATACAATATTTTGTTTTTGCAAAAAAAGAACAATTTTAAATGACAAATTTATTGAGGCAGACACAACTTATCTTATATATATAGGACTCTTTTTTTTGCAAATTTACCTAGAGCTACTTTAAATCTATCATTCCATTTAAAATACAATTGTTTTTGGCTAAAAACATTTAATAGTGACGAGTATGTTAAATTTACGACATTATCGATTTCGATCAAATGTCAAAATTTCAATATTTTGGCAAATAAAGATGCCATCGCTTGATTTTTATTTCCGTTGAACCGATCGAGTTCTTGTATTACCTAGAAAGTGTAGATGAAAAAAACAAATTACTATCTTCTTTTTTTTTTAAAGTTATCTATAATATTGATGATTACCTGTTCCCGAGAAAATCCTATATTAATTAGTTCCTTGATATCGGATTCTTTGTACGAATGACTAGGAGAAGAACTACTGCTAGATTCTACAACACATGCCAACGATAAACGGTTTAAATGGTAAACAAAATATATAATAAAGCTTTTTTTGATATATGTTTATTTTAACGACACTATTGTAACTCTCTCGAGTATACTTGTAAGGAGAGTGCACAACACACAAAGAACAGGAATAACGGTAGTATGGAATCGAAAAGGTACCTCTGATTGAAGAAGGATAATAGCCGATTTCAAAGAAGTAAGCGTCTCTTCTTCGTTTTCCTATTACAAATTTATCGATCACTGGAGGAATCACTTAAAAACCAATTTATCGTAAAGGTGTAAACTTAATATGAGATTACCAACCACCACTTTGGTACATCTTTTTGCTTTCTTCCATCGCCTTCTTCAACTCTTTGTCTTCTTTTTTGTCCACATCGTAATCGCTGGACGTGGTCAAACGTGCACAATCCGGTAGCTCGTTTTCGGGCAAGAAAGGCGTTTCTGTTCCGGTCGTTCCGATTCTCAAAACATTATTTTTTAAGTCTATACAACACTAAAAAAAGAGTACGTTTTAAGGTTGTTAATATTTAATTATTGTTTTTTTTTTCAGTATTACTTGATGTCTTTTCAACATATCTAATCCTAGAAGCATGTCCATGGGTTGTTCCTCGAGCACGGAGAAACTAGTAGTCAAAAAATCGTTTTCAATCGCTACTTGGACCATGTGTATCCTGCCGATAATTTTTTGTATGCCAACACCTTTAGCTATACCCGCCCATCTGACGTCGACCAATCTCATTATGTTGCATCTTTCAGCACACGCCGACGACATGATCGTAGTTTGAGCTCCAGAATCGATAAACGCTTTGACGGGGTGTCCGTCCACTTTACAGTTAATATACAACATGACGACTGTTCCGAACATCTCCGGATTGTATTCCATTGCGGCTTCCATGTTGGCTTCTATGTTTTTTTGCCGTATTTCTTCAGCAATTAGTTTTTGTGCCTCCGAGTCGAAAGGATGCGCCTTCATCATTCTAATCCTCTGGTTTTCACGTCTATTGCGGTCTTCCACTTGTTCGGCCATGACTTTTGCAAATTCCTCTGCAATACAAATTAATCGTCCATCAAAGGTTTAGCTTAGTTTTTTTTAAGTTAATTTCAACCGATCAGTTTGACAGTTTTTTCAATTATCATACGTGAAAATATAATAAGACGTAAAACCTGTCTTCAAATGAATAAGACGGCAAACTGTTTCATACGAGATTTATTTTTTTTTGTCTAGTATCGATTCAGTTTTAGTCTGGTTTTATTGTATTTAAATTTAAACGTATTATCTTAACATAAAAAAATAGGTATACAAAAAATCACAAAAGAAAGTATAGTATTTAGTAACAATAGCATACTACACGTACCTAAATTATTCGAAGAAAGAGCATCAGCCAACCTCGGATTATTTTGTTTCAGGAGAGCCATCTGATCGGGGCTCGAGAGAAACAATTTCCTTACGTATTCTGCGTCTTGCATTTGATTTTGTCTGGCAGGCTGATTTCCGTTAGAGGTTCCGGGCACTTGAATACGACTGAAATCGAATTGCGGCAGGATATCTAAAAGTGACAAAAGATTAAATAGAAGGAAAAAAAACCTCCAATCTCGTATATTACTCACTAGTACTCGAGTTGCTGAAATCGCTGCCCATTCCGTTGTTGGTTAGCTTTTGGATTACGATAACGTCCCCATCGCGAACGCCCAACGTTTTCATAGTTTTGAAGTCGTCTATCATCAGCTGACCGTTGTGGCTGAGACCGATTTGTTGCGATTGGATTCCCGTTTCCATTTCGCATAGTGCTTTGAAATTGATCAGTTCCAAGTCTTCACTGACGTCGAGTACAAATAAATTATCATCGTGCGTTGTGACAGTGATTTTCATTTTGACTCGTTCACCAAATTCGTGTGTTGTGTAGAAGAATAATATATATATATAAGTTTTGGTGTTTATAATATAATTGTTAGAAATGTAATTATTTAGAACATGAATATATTTTATTTGAAGGATAACAAAATTTTAATAAAGAAAACCACTCAGTCATTCTTTGTTTTTGTTGTCATGGCCACACGCTTATCACGAATAAAGTTTTGCGGCGGATAACTGATAAAAATCAGTGCTGACAACATTAAAACAGAATTGCAAACAACGGTGAACTCTAGCATACATTTTTTATACATATAGGCAGGCAAGTCGAAATACCAGTAAGGTTTTGAAACTGAATTAACTTATGTAAGTTAAATAACTCAATGTATCTGCTCTGCACATACATTTTCAGTAAAATCGTCATTGGCCATTACTCACTAGGATGTCTAATATATCATATAAAAATTATTACCATAAGGGAAAACGTTCTTTAATTCCATTTAATAATTATTAGGTCTACAACAACCTAACTGAAGGCAACGTTTTCGATTTTAAAATACTACATTTCTCTTGGCGCGTTTTTGGTAAAGTCGCTGTTGGTACCACTGTCTACTGTGGAATACAACAGTATCATTTGTTATCACACGTTATCAATTTTTGGAAGAACTGCTTCCATCGCATTAGAAATAATACTAAATATCCCATTAGCTTTTTGACGGTTTTTTGAAAATATATTTTTAATTTAATAATAAATCATTTTATTACAGACGCGTTACTATATTTATTAGTTGGTTTTAAATACATACAGTTTAATGAAATTACAAAATGTCAACACGATAATATTTAAACGTTTATGGAAAATTTTAAATATTCAATTTGACAGTCGAGAGTGTAGTGAGTGTACGCACTGATTATTTTATCATTGGTAAATTCGACTCGTTAAAGGAAGGAAGTCATATGATATTATTTTAACCAAAATTCTACAATCAAAGTTAAACCAACGTCGATCCCCTTCGCCGACCTTTTTACAACTTTGGTGGTGCTACACCGAAAAATAAAACAAGTCACACAAACACTACAAGACGCTGTAAGTAAATATATTTACAAACATTATAAATAAACCGAAAAACATTAAAATTAATAAATTATAATGTTTTTCGGTAAAATTATTTTTGCTATACTTAACGCGTACTGTTGTTAGGTTAAAAAAATGTTGTCTTTCAACTCTCTGCGAAGCTTGAACGTCGCTTCAAAAGCGTCAACTTTCATGAGGCGTAACATTTCCGCATCGTCGGTTCTAATGGCCAACGTGTCCGACCCAATTCAACAGTTGTTCTTGGACAAAATTCGCGATTACAAAGGAAAATTTGACTCCAAGTCGTTCGACCCTTCCATCGACAAAGGTTACAAGGCCGATTTGGAAAAAATTGGCAAGCAGTTCAACATCAGCCCCAACGATGATCCAACCAAATTCCCCCCGATCAAATTCGATGAACCCAAAGTCGATCCCCAAGTTTAAATCGGTCGTCGTTGTATGTGTTTATTATAAAAATATTGTTTTAAGTAGAGTAAAATTATGTTCGAGCATAGGATAAGATGGTTAAATCATACAAACATGAAATAAAAATTGATTTATACACAACAAAAAGATCTTTATTGTGAATTCGTACAGTTCAATAGTACATTTCAAGACGCTTTACTATTAATACGAACCAATGTTTTCTTTTTTTCATAATTCAGTTGCATTTTTTAAATTCTCCATAAATCCTATCCTATAGGATTGTATGATCCTCGTAACGTCAAATATCCTGTAATTATATCACTCGGCAAACTCCTAACGGTACTGAATTCTTCGTGACCGGCATAATATAACGACGTTTGTGGATCTTTATACTTGGCCTACAATAATTATACATTGTACGGTTGAGAATAATATAGTTAAGTATTACTTCAGTTGGCAGATAGAAACACCAAATAACTCCACTGGGTTGAGCTTTTAAAAAAAAAATTGGGTTATGGCCAACTCTGTAAGACTTACGATTAATCCACTAATATCAGAATACTTTTTCGCTGGCTTGAACGACGGCGGAGCAGTAATACTGCTATCTAAAAAAAAAAACCCGTAACAAAGATATTGTTAACAAATTAACAAACCACATGCATAGGTAAATAATAACTGTTACAATTAATTGTATTGTCAGGCCACGGCAGGTTTCTTTCTTGAGACATTATTTGTTTTAGAGATCGCCACATTTTTTTTTTACCATTTACCGTTTTGTTGCTCTATAATATAAAAATGATTAAATAAATACAACAACGTATAATTAATGAGTATAATTTTCATTAAACGAAAATTATTATTGGTAAACGTAAATACACATAGCTTAATCAATAGTAACATGGCCAACTTATAAAAAAAAAACTATTTTAATTTGTTTGAATTAATGTTTAAAAATATTCAGTTTTACTGTATTTTATTAGTTAACAATTGAATAGTAGAACACTATAAGAACAGTAAATAAAAAACAAGATATTTATTTTACATTATTAACTACCAACTTAATTAACAATTTACCACATGCATAATATGTGGAATAATAAAAGATAAGTATAGTAATAATTTGTCTGTAGGCCAACGCTTCATTATAAATTATTTAAATTAGATTTAGGGAAGGAACATAATTATCATAAAAAATATAGTGTTGTAAATGTGTTCAAATACTGACAAAATAAGACTGTTATAAAATGTATTTACAGATATTTGTATTTAATAAATAAAAAGATCAATTATTTTTAAACCTATTACAAAAAAAAAAAAAGTAGAAATCAACCCACTTTTGAAATGTTTTGTAATGAAGAAAAACTATACATTTTCTTACAGTTGTAATTACAACGAATAAATATAAATTTGATAAAAACTTACGTCAAATTCAGGATTTTTAAACAAATATTTTTTTTCATCTTTATGAACTGAATCTTCAGTGGTATCGTTAGCCATGAATTTGACAATATATTTTTCAATTGTAGGTGATCTATATTTTATATACTGGCTGTTGACAAATGTACATAAAAAAAAAACAAATAAATAAATATACTATTATTCAGTTTCAAATTATTGTTGTATACTTATATGTAGCAATTTTGTAAAATCAAAATATAAAACTGTTAAGTCTTTATAAACGTACAAAATAAAAACAATGTCGCACTCTTACATTCGTCTGATGCAAAAGTAAGAATATATTTATTGCTAATTTGTTTAAAGGCCATCAGGACAGTCAATGTAAATTGTATTAAAACATTTCTACACACTTGTTTAGAGCATACAATTGAAGAGACCGATAGGAAGCATAAGTTATGCGATTAGATTTATTACGTGTTACCCAAAGGATAATTGGGGAAAAAGCTAAAATTAGTTTATTATGAGCGTTTAAATGAGAGGTGAATGTTTTTACTTTTCTCTAAGACCATAATTTGTTCATTTCTATTGAAAGACAGGCAACAATATATGTTTTTTTATTAAATAGTCGACACGATAAAAGCTAAATGTACTATTTTTAGGTTATTGGCACTAATTCGGTAATAATTAATTACTACGTACTGTTCGAATGGGTAAACTTGATCTGTAGGTTTTATGTTTAACGTTGCCAATGTCCAAAGTTGTTTATTCGTATGCCGGTGAACAATTTAATTATAGCATAATAATATAATTTATTAACTACGATTATTGGATAATAGTATAACAGTAATAATCACAAGTAGGACTAGTAGACTTGGTACCGGTTTTTTTTCACTTGTTATTTGTTTAATTGTTTAGAATATTTAAAAATTAAAGTTCAAACTACTGACAAACTCGCCGATTGTTATCTTGATTACAGTTTGTTGTTTTTATTTCCTTATCATATTGACCCCTATCAATTGGGATAATGATAACAACTACCTCTATGTAACCTCTATAAAGGTCAAACACGGGCGTGTGGTTGTCAGTGGTAAGTGACTGTCCGTGTCATCGCTGCTGATGGAATCTACTCACAAGTCGCAACAGTTTCTTCCCTGTGGTTAATATTACTTTGCACTTTTGTAAAATTTTTCACAATATATTACACTAAAATATTATAGTAATTCTACATCAATTCTACCTCGAAACATACACCGGTGTAACTTCATTTACTTAACTCGCAGCTGATACTTGTAAGTTACTGCATAACAAACGGTTATTTTTTAAACGGTTTTTGACATTTTCATGTATTAGAAGCTCTGGCACATAACCGAAAAACTTGTATGATAAAATACTTGTTTTTTTTTTTTTTTTTACTATAGAGCACTTTTCGCCACTTCCAAAATGTCGCGCAAATTTTTCGTCGGAGGAAATTGGAAAATGAACGGAACAAAAAAGGTAGCCGACGATCTTCTCGCCAACCTCATCAAAGGACCGTTGGACCCTAACGTAGGCACGTGAACCAAAATATAGACATTGTAGTGTCTTTTTTTTTTATTGATTTCAACTCGTGTTATTATAGACGTATTGATTGGAGTGCCCTCCTTATACTTGGACTACGTCAAAGAAAAAGTGCCGTCCAACATTCTCGTTTCTGCCCAAAACTGTTACAAAGTAGAAAAAGGTGCATTCACCGGAGAGGTTAGCCCGGCTATGCTCAAGGACATTGGGATCGACTGGGTCATCTTGGGACATTCAGAACGTCGTCAGATTTTTCAAGAATCGGACGAAGTAAGATATTTAAAATGAATTTCACCTTCAAAACAGATAGAAAAACAATTAACTGGTTATAAGTTGTGACGATTTTGTTGAAAATTAATTTTTTTAACAACTATACGGCTATAGATGGATCGTATACTTTGGAAAGGATTCAAATTCATATTATGATAGTTAATTTTATCATGGCGATTCAAACATTTACAACAAAAGTTCCTATTAATGATTTGTATATTTTTATAAGCGTTTGTTTAAAAAGTCATATTGGTAAAGTGGTTTTAGTTTACATAATTTTATTGCATAAAATCATGTTTACGACTAGGTAATTTTACTTATGATAAGAATTAAGTAACTCATTTGTTTATGAAAAAGGGTCAAATTCGTTCATTTAAAACCATTACTGTTGGTTAAAAGATTTGAATAATTGGTATTCACACAATTAAATTATCATAAAAATATTTTTTATTTATTTTCTTCAAGAACTTGTATGTAAAAAAACAGTTATTTTGAATTTCCCTGAAGTTACACTTTTTGGACTAAACATCTTTCATCAAATTGATGAAAAAAAAATTTGTTTTGTAACTAACATTCTTCCATATGTTGTATTACTTTCAATGTTATATTGTTTTAATTTTTTTTTACTCTAATATAAATCTAATATTATATTTGTTAAGTACTAACAACAAAACGAATTGTTTATTTTACACAGTTGATCGCTGATAAAGTTAAACACGCTCTCGAATCGGGTCTGTCTGTTGTGGCTTGTATTGGAGAAACTCTAGAAGAACGAGAAGCCGGACGAACCGAATGTGTTGTGGCCAAGCAGATTGCAGCTATCAAAGAGAAAATATGCAACTGGGACAATGTCGTGGTCGCCTACGAACCGGTTTGGGCGATCGGAACAGGAAAAACCGCTAGCCCACAACAGGTGCGTTGTTAATGTTATTTGTGCAGTTTAAAATACATTGTATTTTAATGTTTTGTTGTAATTATAATTATAATTTAGGCCCAAGAGGTGCATAAAGTGTTGCGTAAATGGTTGGCCGATGAAGTGAGCGAGGCCGTCTCTCAGAGCACTCGTATCATTTACGGCGGTTCGGTAACTGGAGCCAACAGCAAAGAAATAGCCAAAGAGAGTGACATCGATGGATTTTTGGTCGGCGGTGCCTCGTTGAAACCGGAATTTGTGGACATTGTTAATGCCAAAAAATAGTTTATTATATAATTATGATAAAAAAATAATAAAACCGTGACTGTACTTGTTGTGTTTCAAAAAAACTAGTCTACACACACGATGATTGTTAAATAACTAAAAAGTTAAATAAATTTATATCTACAAAAAATTGTCGTGAGCTTACTTATTATTGTTTATTTTCTTTTTTATTTGTACAAAATAATTATTAAGTACACTTTTTTTAAATGTTATCTTGAATGAGAGGTACACACAATTTTTTTTTTTGTGAATTATTTAATTCGTTGAATATAAAAGTAATATAATATTATGTTATTAATGTATGTTTTTATGTAGGTCTGGCAATATTATAATGTAAGTACAATAATTAGGATTTATTATAAAAAAATAGTGATTTATACATTTATTCTGTTAATAACCTAAACTGTAGACCGTAAAAATGTATTAATATATTATAAACCATTTTGTAGACAATAAAACGTTTTGCGATAAAATCTTTTTATTCGGCTTTTTGGGTTTTCCTCGATAAAAAAAAAAATAAGAGCCATTACAAATTGTTATTTTACAATCTCTAAATGTTTACCTTTTTAATGTCTATTTTTTAGAAGCCTTCCAACATTTGAAACTTAATTGGTAACACATGTATGTATATTATAAGCTTTTTAAAATGAGAACATAAACTGAAGTCCAAAAACCACACCCAATCCTTCAATGCCCAATTTTTTCAAATTTATATTACCTGTACAATTATTTTATTTATATTGAATTATTAAAAATTTGGGGGGGGGGGAAATTAAACATTTTAATACAACATTTGGTTGACTACAATTTCTTACTTTTTATCCAAAATCCTATAAAATACTTGTCGATGAAACTTTTGTCTTACTGTAGTAAATAAACTGTTGTTTTGTACAACAGTGTTGTTGTGGAATAATTTCTTTATAAAATAGGTAGATATGCAAAATAGTACACATTGAGGATTTTTAATTGCATAACGTTGGATGTTATAAAAAATACAATGTTTCGATAATTAGTATTAAGTGACATAATTCATTATTTTTTTTTTCTTTAAAACATTGTTTCTTCTTAAGTCGTCTAAGATTACATTTTATAATTATTTTAATTAAAAATGTATACTGCGTTTACAGCTATGTGTGTACTTATTTAATACCCCGCGATGGGTGTTAATACATATATATATTAAATAAATGAACATATATCATATTATTATAAACGAACAACAATATTATAATAATATGTGCCAACGCGTTTTATAATAATATTTTTCTGCGAGAGCGGCGAAAGCTATATAAACTTTTAATTTTTTTTTCTGGTGGAATAAGATAAGATGTAGGTAGCCTATTTCTGTCAATTATTATTATTTAAAAAAAAAAAAATAAATAAACTTTTACATTAATAAAAACAGATAAGTTTTGTGTGTTATTAAATAATATATGATCAATATTAATAATTTTCTGATGTCGAAGTTCTAGACTCCTGGACCACGTACACCTGAGAGCCCGGATGAGAGGTAGTGGTCACGAAGCTCCTGTGCTTGGCTCTGATCAACGACAGATTGCTTTCGGCAGTGTCAGCCCTGTCTTCGGCCGCTTCCAATTCCCTCTGGAATCGCCTTACCCGTGTCACGCTCTGGGTGCTCATGCCTTCCTGTAAACCACACATAAATACAGGTACATATTAGACAGGTATTCTCGATAAGTAGCCCACTTGGACTGGACCTGACGATTGCTGTAAGTACCAGTGAAAAAATATGCTATAGGCGATTCAAATTTTGTAAGTTCCCGCCAAAGTAATTTACAAAATGGCGGCTCGAAAAAGTACTCCGTTATATTTTATATACGTATTTTCGGTGTTTTAAACTTAAAAACTATTAAATATAATCACGGATTTGGATAAACAATCAAATACTTATTGTTTTTTAATTTTTTAAAGACCGAAATACGTACATAAATAACGACGTACGGAGTACTTTTTTGAGCCGCCATTTTGAAAATAATTTTGGCGGGAGCTCTTAGTTTGAATCGTTTAAAAATTGCTAGGTTTTATCATAAATCATAGTAATATGCTAAATGGTATTTTCACTGTGCTATCTGTGGTTTGAAATATGTTAGGTCTAGCTATAAAATAGCTAACTTGGCAGCACTGGTAAGCACTAAAGCGAAAAATATATATTTAACAAGTTAAATACTCGGACGTAATTAAAGTTAAGGATATTTTTGTTTAAATTTAAAGCACGTTTTCACAAGAAAAACAATGATAACAGTACCTAATTAATATTGTGCTAAAATCACGATTAGTGTGGTAGATACCATACTCTGATAAGTTTATCTAAAACTTTAGTGCACGAATACAAAAGCTTTAGCATACTACCATTCGAAAATAGACCCTCCCCCCAAAGCCCCAAAAAAGAGGTTAGAAGGATTTGAACACTTGCAAAGGATTTTTGTACGTACTTGTTCTTGTAGTTGCCTCTTGTAGATGTTCACCTTCTGGTTGAGTTTTTCCAAATGGTCTTGCAATATTTGCACGTTCTTGTGATCTTCTTCGCTCTGGATGACAATCTCCTTCAGCGAACGTTCCTTCTTGCGCAGGATTTTCACGCTTTCCGCATGGCGACGTTTCTCCTCGTCGATTTCCAATTCTAAATCGCGGATCTATAAAGATAATACGCCTTAGTTAGTGTCCTATCTCCATCACACCAGTTGTGTGGTCATGAAAGGTGCTGCGTGGCTCTGTGACCTGACTTACCCTGGCTTCCAGTTTGCTGATGATGCGTTTGCCACCGACAATGGCGTTGGCTTCGACCTCTTCGAGGCGGACCGACAGATTCTTGACTTCGATCTCCAGTGACTTCTTGATCGTCTCGATCTTGATCACTCGCTCTTGTTCTTCGTGCAACACCTCCACCGTGTGTTTCAGCTCGATTTGCACGCGCTGGTAGCGTTCGTCCGATATCTATTGACACAAAAGACAACCACCGGGGGGATTGTGAACTAATTGTGATTTGGAGATTGACGGGGGCATGCATTTAATATTACTCTCAGTTCTTTGGATGCTTCCTCGAAGTCACCGGCCAATTGGTGCAATTCCTGTTCAATCTTTGCCCTGGACGCCGACAGGTTCACGTTGATGGTGGTCAGCTCGTTGACGCGGCTCTGCGATTCTTCGTACATTTGTTCGACGGCCCGTTTGTTGCGCAACGCCTTTGATAATAACAAGGTAGACAAAACGGCGGGATAAGATAACGGGTAAAAGGGGAATAAAATACAGAAATAACATATGTCACGGGTTACTCACAGAGTCGTAGTTGCCTCGGAGTTCTTCCAATTCGCCGGTCATGGATTGCAATTTGCGATGAGCAATGGCCAACTGATCCAACGTCACGGCCAGCTGTCTTTGTCCTTCGTCGTAATGAGCTTGCAATTCCTATGAGAAATAACAGAAACAATGTACAGGGTGTATCGAAAAGAATGGCGTGGTTTCAAACGGTACATCCGCTTGACACCCGACCGTTCAATTCTGGCATTACCGTCAAATGTAGCGATTGCTTTTTGATTGTCTTTTGCAGCTCAATGTTGTTCTTGTTGGCCACGTCCAGAGACATTTCCAATTCGGTGATCTGGATTTGCATCTTCTTCTTGATTCTGGTCACTTCGGTCTTCAGCTTGGTCTCGGCCTCCACGACGCGGGCGTTCAACTGTTCGATTTCAATGCTCGTCTGTTTGCTGAAAAATGGAAAAAAAAAAAACAATTGATCATTAATCATCTGACCCCACAAAATGTCAGTGTGTGCAATGCATAATATTTCTGTATTATAGAATAACGGTGCGCTGCGCAAAAACAATGTGTCACAAGGGTGACAATGGTTGGTGGCGGTACCTTCCGTCTTGGAAGTAACTAGAACTTTTGGCTTCAAACTTCCGGAGTTCACTGGATATGTCGTTCAGGGGTTTCAATATTTTTTTCTCGTCCAGCTCGTTGTACGTGTGAGTCAAGTCGTAGACGGTCTTTTTCTTTAACTTGACACTGCGGTTTTCTTGCGTTTGCATTTGCCTGGTAGTTATCATCGTGTCTTCGGCAATGTGGGCAAACGCGGTTTTCAACAGAGAAGCTTCGATGCTCTTTGCCGATCTACCCCGAAAGTTTGTCGCCATTGTGGTTGTTAACTTGAAATCGACTACAGCTATGCTCGGCACAGAATATAATATAATATGTAAGTAACGTTCACTGGCGATCGAAGACAATAACTGATTTATTTTTATAAACGCATTGCCATCATGTCGATCGGTGGGTATTTATAAAACGGATCGAAGGTCTTCTTGTTCGGTGTGAGCCAATGTCGATTTTGATAGAAAAAAAAAAAAGAAGCTTATGCCATGTCAGACCTTAAGTGCTCGTGCCTTAAATGCAATTGACGCTTAACCGATAAAGGGAAAATCCTTTGTCTGTATTAAAAATATTATTTTGTAAAATTATCCTTCGATTTTATTTTTGGTCATTTGAAAAAAAATCTAGTAAACATTTTACACTGTTTAATTATTTTAAAACTATATTTTGCACTTTCTATCCCTCTGGTTTGTGCGGTTGCCCTCGACTTTAATGGTTCACCATAAACCGTGTTTGAATCGATCACTTAAGGTCAATAAGGGATCAATAAGGGTTTATGGATCCAATAAAGTTCTGTGAAATTCAGCATAGTTAAACAAATTCAAAATGGCAATACTTTATTATTTCAAGAGGTAGCTAAACCATGAATATTCCAATCAGTGTCATAGCCCACCTAAAACGTTTTAACACATTTTTTCTAGTATGGTAATTTTACGTTTCCAAAAAATATAAAGTAACTTAAGTACGGTTTTGAGTACTGCTTCCATATTATGTTCCACCCATTTATCACTGTTATAATCTTATAGTACATCTAAGAGTCTTACCAAATTTACTATTACCTATTTATTATTTTACCCATAATGTCCCAAGTGTAGTGGTTTGTTTTTATTATTTTAAGGATTAAATGAAAAAAATTCAACTAGTAGTATACAATGTAATTTTTGCACAGTACAATACTATTTCGAAATTGACAATCAGGTCAATGTCAGTCGAAGGCAACTAATTATAACAAGAGCCAAGCCTTATGAATAATAGCTGAAGAAAAAAAATTAATTTTACTATTGTTTCAGCCCCTGACTTATTGAAAATGTAATTTATTGAAACACATGTGTAGGCATAGTGTTTAGAAGTGAATTTATATAATTTATACATTCAAATATAAAGACTGTTATGATATCCAGTTTTAAACAATTCATTTCCATTGGTTATAAGACCTTAAAATCTTAAACGGACGAAGAGGGCAGCACGTGCTATTATTTTTTATTTGCTCACCTACTATTATACGCAACTGCACAGTACTTTCCGCTTAAACTTTTAAATTCCAATAACTTGAGAAAAAATTATTCAAAACTATTCACTTGACAGTGTATATTGTCATTTAGAAATAAATAAAAGGTTGGTGTTAATATCATAATAATTTCTTATAGCAAATTGTAATGCCACATGAATGACACATGAAATAAATATATCATTAATAGTACACATAATGTGTACTCTGTGGTCCTTCAACATCATCTTATTGTCTAATCTAAGCTTTTGAATAATAGATGCGTTACGTTTAAAAATATCATCTAGTCGGATTCGCATCAGAGCTAAAAAAAGAACAACCACTCATTCGTGAAATGCTAATTTTAGAAAACGTCGGTGGTGACATAACGTGTATTTGGTAAAAAATAAAAATAGCTACACTACATTTCTCGTATAAATGCAATTTTAATTTGAAAAAATATATATATTTATTGCAATATATTTTCATCATAGAGCCAACCCACCCCCAGTGTTCCAATGTTTCCTGAGAATTATCAAAAGTCCAGTTTTACCATGAAACTCTAAAGACACTTAAGTATCCTATTTTGGTGGATAATATGGGTGCCACTAAAATGTTAGAATCAAATAATCACTAGACTGATCAATAACATAATAAAGAAAAATAGTGAAAAACGTGAGAAACAGACTGTATAATAATCTAATAATTAAAAAAAAAGAAATATCCACACACAGACTTCTCTGATTGCTGTGTTAACATAAAAGTACACAACAACTTTTTTTTAAACTAAAATTGTGATAAAATTTGCCTACACCGACCTCTTAATAATAAATTTAAAAAATAATTAGCAGGTGTAGCAGGCCCTATTAAGAGGACGAAACATTTACTGCTTCTCAAGGTGACAATTTCCACAAAAAAAAGCTATATTTAGATACAGTTTTTGTTTGTATATATCAGCATAATAATGAGGGATTCTATTTGCTATGTTTTCCTAAAAAAAAACTCTCTTCGAATGTCAACACTTTCTCTTCTTCTTCCGCAGTCAGATAAAAGAAAAACACTACCTCAATTTTTTCCTATACTTACATTTTCTTAACTCTTATTTACATTAAAAGAACTAAAAAATGAATAATATTAGGACTTAAACCGTTCAAGAATCCAGCGACAACACCTATGTAATCTTATTTTTTTAAATATTTTAAAATTTAGACTTGATAAGGGATAACTATACTGAAAATAAAATGATAATGAAACAGGAGAATCAATTTAATGCTCAAGTTTGTTATTTGTGGGGTTTTCTAACCAACTTTATCTTTTTTCCTTTATTTTGAGGCTTTGTAAGCGATTGTACATTGATATAAATCAAATTATTTATGTGTCTGCTTTGTATAAATATTAGATGGAAGTAGAACTCGATAACTTATAGCTATTTGGAACCATACCTGGCAATATTTGACCAACACTACTAATTATTGGTACTTCGTTTCTATTACACATGAAATAAGGTATTTTATTAAATTATTTGTCCTTACAAATTTGTTCCTGTAAAATTGAATACTCGTGGATGGTTTTATTTTTATTATTAACTATTAGAGTATCATCCCTAATATATTTACAAAGCGAGCCGTTTTATAGGAATTTAAAATTGGAATGAATTATTGTGGTGAATAGGTCCGAATTGAAGTTATTCAAGTCAGCAACTATAGGACTACCCGGTACGATAAAAGTTATTGTTTAAAGCTTACCGGATTGATTCGATTTCTTCGTCCTTTTCTGCCAGACGTTTTTCAGCCTCGTGTCTGAATTGTGTAAGTTCAGCCGACAAACGGAAAGCTCTTCCTTCCTCGGCTTTTCTTCCCTAAAAAACGCGGGAAAACGGTTAAATCTTGTAATATATTACTAATAATTGTAAACGACTTACTGCTTCAGCTTCTTTGTATGCGGCGCTAAGTTCATCGCGCTCGTTCTCCAACCGTCTGAGTTCCAATTCCAGTTCGTGTAACCGTCTGTTGTACTCGGAAATGGTGTTCTTGGCGTCGTGCAAGTCGTCTGTAAGGGTAAAAAGTAAAATAAAAAATATTGATCGATTTGTCTTATTAAACTAATTAAAAAAAAAAAAAACAATGATATGTACCGGCCAGTTTCTTGTTTTCGCGCGTGAGTTGGTCTTTTTGTTCTCTGGTCTTGTCCAATTCGTGGGTCAATCGTTGAATTTCGTTCTGCTTGTTTCTCAAGTCTCTCTGTGCTTGTTCGAACAACTGTGTGGTCTCGTCCAGTCGGCTCTTCAAGTCAATGTTGATTTTCTCCAAATGTTCGCAACGCTTTTGCAAATCTCTGGCCGTGTTGTTAGCCTAATTTCGATTGAATATGAATATGTGTTAGAGCTTTGAGGGATTTCGCAATTATTTAGTAAGCATGTACAAAAAAATGTAGGTATACCTTTTCTAAATCGATGATCAAAACTTCCACTTCACTTTGAAGCCTAGACTTTTGTTTTTCCAGATTGTTGACTTTGACCAAAAGGGTTTCGATGTGCTCCTCTTGTTCTTGGATACGGGCAGAGTACTTGCGTCTGTCGATTTGTAGACACGGGTAAAATTAAAGCACGTTTAAATTGGTTAAAGTGGGTCCAAAAAAAAATGTCAAATACCTAAGTTCTTCGACTTCTTCAGCCCTGGCAGCTGATTCGGCGTCGTACTTGGATTTCCACGCTTGAGCATCGCCATTGGCCTTGATCAATTGTCTCTCGAGATCCAAACGGGCTTCAGATTCTTCTTCCAGTTGAACGCGTACGGATTCCAATTCAACTTCCACAGAGTGTAAGTTAGCTTCCAAAAGTGAACGCCTCTACGGTGCAATTGACACACGAGTATTTAATAAAAAAAAAAAAAAACACCATACAGCATCATCTTTACTACATACTCTTTCGTCGTCTTCCAGTCTCCTGCGAGCGTCTTCCAGTTGGCCGGCGATTTGCGATTTCAGATAAGTAGTGTTTTCAATGGACACTTTTAAATCTTGCACTTCTTTGATCAACTCAATGTTTTCCTAAAACGACGCACCGAGTTAGCCAATGTTTGCAGTTGCAAAGTACACCGCAAACACTTACCGAGGACAGACGGGTTTTGATGGATGTAATGTCAGTGATGGTTCTTGTGATTTCTTCAATGCGAATGTGAAGCTCGTGAATGGTGATCTCGAGTCTTTCGATTGTTTTGACCGAGGTTAACTGCAATCAACAATTACAATCACATTAGTACAACGTCCACATACGACTAGATGGACTATATTGAGATGGTCAAGGCAGAGTTGCATACAGGGTGTATCAAAAAATAACGGTGGGGTTTCAAACGGCTGTAGGCAGTCATTGGAAACTTGACAGCTCCGTCTTTCATTTAAGTCCTGCCAGAGCGCTGTAGGTACAATACTTCACGACCTACAGCCGTTTGAAACACCCTGTATCAGTGTAGTGTAGAATTTACACTAGTCAGGGTGGATCCGAGGAAAGAAAGAGTGTAGATCACTATGGGGATTCAGTCTTACTTTTTCCTTGTTGGCGTTTTCGATCTGGGATAACAGCTCGTATACTTCTTGTTGGAATTTGCCCTTTTCTTTTTCCACTCTGTAAAAAAGTTCAAATGTGTATTGCTCGACACTGTGTGTTGATTAAGGTGAAACGATGACTAGATACCTGGCTTTCGACTTGGCCAATTGATCGAGTTGCTCTTGGAAATCGGCGACGACTTCTTGGTGTTTCTTGCGCAACAGATGCGCTGTTTCTTCGGATTCGATGTTGACATCTTCCAATAATCTGCGCAGTTTAGTCAGCTCGGTATCGCGTTTTTTGTTGATTTCAAACTATAAAAAACAAAAACAAAAATATTGAAGCATTTTGTTTGTTTACCAGAACTAAGATTTATTATATTCATATAATGTTTATAAAGATTTACTTGGCTTTCGGCTCCACCCTCGGCTTCTTCCAAACGTTCGGACAGCGATATTAATTGCACACTGAGATCGGATTTTTCTCTTTCGATCTACAAGTATAAAAAGCTAGATAAAAACGCTATAAATGTAATATAATTATTATAATAATATCGCTGCAGTGCTTCTTAATGCACAGTGTGTTCGATTCGGTGTAGGTCAAAGGGAAATTTGGTAGAGATCATTAATTGCTCTGCGTCTCAGGTACTCGCCAAAACTCAAAAATAAACGTTTAAGTTAGGTTAGGCGAATAAAAAAGTGTCGATTGACACGAGACAATGAAACCAGGCTAAATTCCATTTGTACAAATATAACCAGTCGGTCCGCTTAGTGGCCGTTCACACCTCGTTCGTCGTCGGCTATATGGCATCACTTTCCATACACTTATTTTTAGAGTAGGTGCCTCTTGAGAAGTTCTGTGCCAATGATGTGTAAATTATGATGGACAGAGAAAAAGAGACAAAATATTGGTCGCAATACAATTTTTTTTAAATTTAAATTATCGTGTTAGCTCGTCTGTTTATAATGTTATGTCAATTGATGAAAATTAATCTGTCAAATTTCAGTTCAAAAAATCATCTACCGCAATAAATTATTCTATATTTTATTAATAGACATTATTAAAATGTATTTTTTTAAAACACATTAATAATATTAGTCATAAATTATGAGACAATAATAATATATGATATATCACTTTATTTTATTAATAAATTTAACTAAACAGGCTTGTCATAAAATAAAACAGGTGTTTTTATTTTTTGTTGGTTTACAGTATGCTATTTTTAAATTTGACCTACATCAATGGTATAATATATGTGTAGTATAAAATATAGCGTTCTGCCCATAAAAAAATCTTACATTTTGTTTGTAATATTTCAAACATTGTTTTCTAGTGCAAAATTAAGATAAGATTTTAAATAAGCTGAATACATTTTTTTTTAGCTTTGATGAGTTTTAAATGACAGATCAATATTATATTAGTAAAGACTTTGTACACCGTAACTTTACAGGGTGAAACGCTTCTTTTTTGGTGGTATTTATCAGTGTTAATTATTATCAATATAAGTATACTTAAATATATATGAATAATTTTCACACTAAGATAATAACAGATTTAATAGATGATTTTGTTACTTGGATTTATCGAATGATTTTTTAGTTGAATATTTCATTTTGTATCAAACAAATTAAAGTTAAAAAATGTATGAATATTTAACAAAAATCCATAGTAAATCCGAATAATTTGATAAATCCAAATTCGAACATCAGCTGAACATATCTGGATACATCCTTATAGTACTTGATAACTTGTGTACAACCATATTTTGTCAACTCGGTTAGGAATAATAAATAGTAAGGTATGCATAATATAATAGGTTTTATCGTTCTGTACAACTGTAATAATTATAATTTATAGTGTCTGAGGAAAAATAACAAGTAGATTTTCAGTGAATAATCTTGAAATCTAATGATATGTTTTTTTGTGTACAAAAATGTTCAGACGTTGTTATTTTAGAATTATTAATAACATTTACCTTAATACCTAACACTGCGTTGTTGAAACTTGGGTATACGATTGGTTTTCAAAAAAAAAAAAATTTCAAAATTGAAATATATTTCAGAAAAGCTGTGAAATGTGTTAGAAATGAGATCATCACAGAATTTCCCATAAAAATGCCTATTTAAAAGTTGTAACGGAACCGCCACTGCCAACTTTCGACGATCTGTTAATATTTCTTTTGCATATATTTTTTTTTTTTATATTTTGGTCACTTGCCATGTCAAACAGCAGCGGGAAAATAGATTTGAACTGTCTCATAATTCTGGCAACTGCAAAGAAAAACGTTTCCTCGCCGCCCTTTCCTCAGCCGACTATGGTAATTAAGATGTGCCGCAGTTATTTATAACGCCGTGTTGACTTATTTAAAGGAATTCGTGTATTTCATCACACTTTGCACCACACACATACAATATATGTTGGGGATCGGATTACTGCTGCTGGAATTCGGCAAAACAAAACCCCCCCACAACAATCTTTAGATTCCAGCAGCTGATAGATAGAGGTAGACGAGGCGATAATTATCTATTATAAACAGATTTCAAACGTTTTTCCAACTTTAACGGACAACAATTACACTTAAACGTGGATCAACATGATTTAGGTGTACAACATTTGGCATTCGAGGAATTGTAGTAAAAAAAATTTGATTATTGATTTTATAATTGGTTCTATTTCACTGGAGTTGAACATTAATTTGTAACAATATATATTTTTACAAAACCTATTGGACCATATTGCATATTATCACACAATTTACAATATGCAGTAGGTTACAAATTGCAAAAAGAGTTTTAACGGCATGCTTTTAGTATTTTTTTTTTTTTTTCTAGAACCAAAGACATTGTATTTTTGTGTACTTACGCGTTGTCGGAGTTCGCGTTCTGATTCTAAATCTTCTTGGAGAAGTCTGATCTTATCCTAAACGGGACAAAAAAAAAACAAATATGCAGGGTTCGGTTAATCAAGTCAAAAAACCATTAATGTACTTTTAATAATTTTGTTTGTTTTATGGATATAGAAAATGACATTAATTTATAGTGCGGCTTCACACCGTGCTCTGTACACAGTCTGCCCAGGAGAAAAAGGAGAAGACGGATTGACATTCCTTGTTCTTCTGGCAGCTGAATATTTGTAGCTGTTGTACTATACTTGTGACTAAAAGGTGACGAGTTCTATTTTTACAGGGGCCTGACAGCAGGGACATTAGTGGTGTTGGTGTTGGTTTTTTTGTTACTATTGTACGTGGATAAAAATATATAGCTATTGGATTGGTTTTTTGTATCATACAACGAATCTCTAAAAGAGACAATCATAATGTGTTTTTACTTACTTCGAGCCGCGACAAAGCGCTCAGGTCGTGGCTGTAGTCAATGTTTATGTCGGCGTTTCCGCCTCCTCCGGACGACCGGTAAACGTAAGACTTGGAAGTCTTGGATAAACTCGACATGATGTTTGGCACTGGATAAAAAAACGACTAGGTGGTCGGTGTGTATATTATATATTATCACTGCACGCCGCGGGATGAAACCACACCAATATAGAGCTGGTATATATTATTGTATTTTTAGAACACCTTCTTAAGCGCTCACAGAACGGACCGAGTTGAGCTGTCGTACTTAACTGATGAAGGCTGTGCGCCCGGCCGGCGCGAGCCCCGCGGTTTTCACGCCCACTCACCGCGCAGAGTTGGCCCCACCACGTACCTACATGGGGATTTTGTTTACTTCTGACAGGGCTGGAGAGTAACGAACTTGAACGAATTTGAGGTCAGCCTTGCTGGTGTGTGTGTGTGTCCTTGAAAGGGATACAAAATGCTGAATGTACTGCTGCTGCCACTAGTCACGATCGAGATAAAGAGTTTTAGTTAAAAAAAAAATCGAAAAAAAAAATCTATAGCGTTTTTTTAAAGTCTGATATTTTTTTTAAAAAAGTCTGACGCGAAGGGATAATTTTTCACAAAATACTACCGTGCTAAAAATAGAGTTTGGCGTCAGACAAACGTTAACAAAACAAAAATTACAATTTAAACAAAAAAAAAATAAATGAGTAATACAATTCCAAATAGTTAACACAGCGCTGTAAACATATTTTTTGTTTTGTCTTGATTATAATTTTATTTTAAGATGCACAAAATGTGTCGGTGCTGGACCGAGTTATTTCCTTGATTACGACCAATAAAATACCACCGTGGAAGTTAACTTCGTGGAAGTTACAATAAGGAAAAATACATTAACGTGTAGCTTTGTATTTTTAAATTGTATCTAACACATTATGTTTAAATACACACATCATTGTAAAACTAACACTTGTACAGCTTAGAACTAAAGTCGAATCGCTTTTCATTAGCACTCTACTTTTTTAAATAATTAGATAATCAGAGTTGGCGGAATATGTGGTAAAAGTTTTAACTTTACTTTATTTGTATAATTAGTTTTTTTCATCCAAAAATGTACCTTTTTTGGTTAAAAAGAAGTTGTTGGATATGATAAAGCCTATATTTGTCTGTCTGACCGTTTTCTTCGACGTTGTCTAGCTGCAAGTCAATATTTGACAAACCTGTAGATGCTGTTGGGATTTTGTTTCTAATTCAAGCATATAAGGTAGGTATATCAGTAATTCCTTGAAATTGGGAAAAATATCAAAAAAAATTACACGATATTGTCTTAAACATCTTGTTGGAGCTAAGGTCAATTGACAGAGGCATTTCGATTGGAACGTTAAGATTGTGTTTGAGGGTTTGGCTGAGCTCCAGAGGGATGTGTAAGCTATTGAAAGTTATAGTGGGGTAAACTTTTGGTCTGAGCGTGAAAGTGATATTTTTATACCAGGTTTGGAGTAAGTTAGGTGTGAGTGGAGCAAGTCTGAGGTTATTCCGGGGTCTGAATGTGTAATAATATAATATTAATATAATAAGTATAATGTAATATAATAAAACAGTTTTATTCTGACCAAGAGAGCTTTGTCAACTGCAGGTAAATATATGGTTAGTCGTGCACCTCGAGGAACTCCACCAAGGATGAGGATTATATCAGACATGACTGAACAGATAGGTCTGGACTATACCTAAAACGCACCAACACGGTTTACTTTTCTGATTTGATTAGGTAAGACGGTATCAGCATTCAGCGTGGGAATGTTGAGGCTGGCTAAGTGAACATGTTAGCTTATGCTAAGTCATTTATGGCCCAGGTTTACATTTCATCACTGCCGGAACTAGGTGTATTGGTTAGGTTTGTTTACACGTCTTAACGGTTAAGTTAGTTAATAGCGCTCCATTTAAGTAGATACACGAAAAATGCACATAAGAAACACACATATATTATGTATACACGGGTAATTTGATCTTGACTCGGTTACAGACCATCTGTGATCCGCGTGCCTGCTAGAGAGACAAATTAGAGATGGTGGAAATCAAATCGACCGACAAATAGCCTAGTTAGTAAACCGCGCAGCGGCTGTTAGTACCCCGCCACATGTACAGGGGTAGGTAGTACCTGTACTCGAGTGGTTAGTAATGGGTGGAAAAAACAAAAAACGATTGCGGTGCTCGTTAAAAATAAACGCGACAATCATAAAAGAATTCCAGAAATATTGTACGAGTCCGGCATTGTCATCATCTCTAGAAATAGAACAAACCGGAGTGGGGCGAGCAAAGGGCCTAATCTGGCTTGAGACAGACAACCGTAGGCGGCGTTAAGATAATATTCTACAACACTAAAGTCCCGTGCGCCAACATGGGAGGGACGCGCACCACAGCCGTGCACAATTATTTTTATACATTTTTCTCTGCATTTTCGTGTGCTTTTTGTGTGATTTTTTTTTGGAAAAGTATCCGCGTGTAACTCATCCGATGCACAATATCTTCTGTGCCCTGGTGGGGGGGGGGGGAGAGGAGGAACGACAGGACCACCGAGTCCTCCTTTTGGGTTTATTCGAAAAACCACAATGTTTACACGGGCCGAGAAATGGGATTATTATATTTTATAATTTATTAAAAAAGCTCCCCCTTGCCCTGGGTACTCTACTCCCGTGGGTCTGGAGCGGCGCCAGCATAGGTGGGGACGCGGTCAGCCAATTGGGCGGTGTCTATAAAAGGCTCGAGGTAACACGAACCCGGCCGAGTAGAGTAGTCCACACAAGAATATTATTTCGGGATCTCGGCTCAACGCGGTCCCGGTCTCTCCCGTCACTCCTGGCCTGCACACACACAACCGTCTGGAGAGTGGACGGCCGCGGATTCGAGTAGTACACGCCCATTTGGCAAATCCTTGCATTTTTTTTTTCTAGTTAGAACAACACACTATATAACTGGCGTCTAGCTCGACCTAACCGTAAGGCTGTGTGTTATTATTGTCGGTGCATTTTATAATTTTACGGTTTTCTCTGTTATCCGACCGTGTCGCGCTTACTAATGTGCCGAGAAAACAGCATATTATATTAGTTATTAAATACATACATACGTATATTACCGTTTCATTGGTACTGGAATTCTCTTATATACGAGCAATAAACATCATAATATAGACCGTTAATCGTTAACTATATGTATAGTACCCACTAGACGCGTTCGCTTTACATGTTATAATATTGTACATAACAAATGGCACATAGATTATCCTGGTACCTGGGCATAGTTTAAGAATAAAAATTTCAAAAATTAAAAAAAAACTCGGTTGATAAAATATTAAATTGTATTTTTTATTTGAACAAAATATATCCAAATAATAATTTCAAACAAATTCTATCTAGACGAATTTAAGTAACAAATAAAAATAAAAAAAATAATTTTTAGTAACAGCTTAAATAATAATGTCGAATCAAATTTGATTTAAACAAGTATTTCTAATAAAAGGTTATAATTGTAAAAGGTCGAATATAATTTGAAATTTAAAAACAAAAATTATTCAAAATTATTTATCATTTATCTATCTATCATCTATCTATCTAATTTGTATAGTTATTCTTTTAGCGTTAAAACTGCTAAGTTCTGTTAAAACTGTTAGATTTGGTTACAAATATGTAACATAATTAAATATGAATATAATTTTGCTACATCAATACATGAATAAAAATGTTAGCTTAATGCCATGTTTTTAAATAATTGCCTATAATTTACTTCTAGTAAAAAGGTGATGTGGTGTACGAATTATGCGTAAAAATTGTCATTATTTAGAAAAAATCTGAAGCTGTATTCATTGGATTTAGCGAAAAAATGTGTTTAAAGAAAATATATTTTTCTCAATGTTCCAAAATGATGTACAGCGTTAAAACTGATTTTTCTTAATATTAAGTTAGATATGTGTATGTGATTATATCCAAAATGTACCCTTTTTCCTATATTATTTATATTATGTTTTAATTGATGACATCCTGATCAAATCTGAGATGTTCTAAAGGTCTGAAAAAGTCATATCTTTTTAATGTTAAATTAATTTTAAACATGCTAGTGCTTGATAGTATTACATACTATTTCAATTTGTTATTCCAATTTTTCAGCACAATTTAATTGCAAACAATCCGACAGTTACCTAGGGTTTTAAAGACATTTATTTTTTATTTAATCGACATTTTTAAACTATTTGTGAAATTTTCTTTTCCATTAACTTGGCTTACAAGTTGGCTAACTAGTTTCAAGTGATAAACAATCAGTGTGTACATTACACTGCAATGTATCTTTATAAACTGTGATATAAATCTTACCACCTTATTAGATACAAAAAAACATGTATTTATATATGACTTGCGTGTAAATTTCTAGTGATAACCGAATTGAAAAAAATATAAATACTGTATATTATTTATTGTGTAAATAATATAAAATATATGCAATGTAGTATTATATCATATTAACGCGTATAGATCATAGGCCAAACGTTGACATGCGACCGACTTGATGAGTAATGGCTGTTTTATATAGAACACCCGTATAAAAATATAATAAAAAGGAACGTCAGGTAATACTGTAGAGCTTGGGTCGTTTCTAAAAATAATAATTTTGTCATTCTAAACCACAGTTGTACTATATAGTATACATTAAACATTTTAGATCTATAGAGTATGTGATAATAATTTAAAAGTTGGTTATTATTTAGTAGTTTTTTTTCCCATCAAAAACATTGATATTTCAATTAAATACATTTGTAATGATTATTCAGCGCCCAGCAATCTCGTCTAGTTACTATTATTATGTAGCATAAATAACTTGGAAACGATCCATTAAGTCGCTTGTTTTTCGTGACTAATCTTCTAAAGTGGAGGATTTTTTTTTTAGAATATTTCATACATTAAAATGGTTTATGGGGGTATTACATTATAATAATAATATGTTCGACTAAACAGAAAATGTTTTATTATTGTATTCAAAATGAGTCATTTTTATTAAAATATCAAAACAAATATCATCTGAAAAAAAAATGTTACTTATGTTCTAAAATAAAAAACATATTTTGTTTTCACTTTAATTATAGTTGTATTTTATTAGTTTAATATTAAAAAAAGCACATTAACAATATCAGAATTTCATTTCTTTGCTTTCTTCAATATTTTATGAGTATGCTTTTTTTTCCAAAAATAATCTCAGTTGTCTGTTACATTAAGCTAATTTTGTAATGTTCAAAGTATTGTGAAAAATATT